ACGAGGAGGGCGGTGAGGGAGGCGAAGAGGGCGAAGGCACCAGCATTCATGTAAGTCGATCGCAGCTAACTTAGACCCACTAACAACAGCTAACATCCCAAAAATCCGACATGTCTGACTCAGTGTCGGATGCGGCAACTAATGGTAACTATTCGCCTAGCTGAGATTACTAATCTATCGCTTTGTTTTGCACCCTTGCAGGGATTATTTTAATTTAACGTCCCACCACCCAGCTTTAAAAGTTCTGAGCCCATCAATAATTATCCTGTCTAATGCTTTTCCTTATCCCCTCGCAGGAACAAGAGATGGAAAAGCAGAAACTGCTCTTCCATCAGGCACGTCTCTCGAATCGTGGCGTTGCCGAAATGGTGCTGTTGCACATTTCCGCCTCCAAAGGTATACCTTCGGAGATGGTAATGACGACACTCAATCTCGGCATCGCCATCTTGCGCGGAGGCAACATCGACATCCAGATGGGCATGCTGAATCACCTGAAGGAGAAGAAAGACGTTGGCTTCTTCACATCGATCGCCGGACTGATGAACTCCTGCAGTGTCCTGGACTTGGACGCCTTCGAGCGCAACACCAAAGCAGAGGGTAAGTCCATCCGCCCCAAAATCCCGTAAGCCCGCCGATCTCCTCCAGCTTTCAGTTGCCGTGCCCAGTTAACTTTGGTTCGCACTCTTCTAAGTTCGATTACTTTATTGATTTGTGTCTACTTCCCTCCGACTGATTTCCCCACCACCCAACCAACACCACCATGCCTCGCATGCCATTACCACAAACCCACCAAATCCCGTGAACGTGATTCCCGCTATCTTTGTACCAATCCACCCAAATTTGCCACACGAACAAAGAGTATATTCCGAGTGCGGGTGCAGGTCTTGGTGTAGGTTCCGAAGGAGCAGCTGGCGAGAAGAACATGCACGACGCGGAGTTCACCTGTGCGCTGTTCCGGTTTATTCAGCTCACCTGTGAGGGCCACAATTTGGGTGAGTTCAAGAATATACATAGATGTTGAGAAGCTCCGTTACCAAACCAATTCCTTTCAGAATGGCAAAACTACTTGAGGACCCAGGCCGGCAACACCACCACCGTGAACGTGGTCATCTGCACCGTGGATTACCTACTGCGACTGCAGGAGTCCATCATGGACTTTTACTGGCACTATTCGAGCAAGGAGATCATCGACCCTGCCGGAAAGGCGAACTTCTTCAAGGCCATCGAAGTGGCTAGCCAAGTGTTCAACACCCTCACTGAGGTCATCCAGGGTCCTTGCACCCTCAATCAGCAGGCCTTGGCCCATTCGAGGTTGTGGGATGCAGTCGGTGGCTTCCTCTTCCTGTTTTCCCACATGCAAGACAAGCTCTCAAAGCACTCCAGTCAAGTGGATCTGCTCAAGGAGCTGCTCAACCTGCAAAAGGACATGATCACCATGATGCTGTCCATGCTGGAAGGAAACGTTGTTAATGGTAATGGATTTGGCTATCAATCTTTTTTGATACATACAACTTATTATAACTTATCTTCTTAACAGGCACCATTGGTAAACAGATGGTGGACACCTTGGTGGAGTCCGCTGGCAATGTGGAGCTAATTCTCAAGTACTTCGACATGTTCCTCAAACTGGCCGACCTTATTGAATCGCCCAGTTTCCACGAGGTGGACATGAAGAACGAGGGTTGGGTGACACCCAAAGATTTTAGAGAGAAGATGGAACAGTCCAAGAACTACACGCCGTAAGTGGAGCATTGAGGAGACCAACCTCAGATAGTTCTACCAATTAGTTATAGAGTAAAAGTATTTTTTGTTGTTGAAAAGTAATTCACAGGTAAAAGAAGTCACTTAAAAGGTATTATCGATCTAGCCATGCTCATCTGATTCCCAAAGTGGTCACTTTTTTCTTAATTTTAACAATGTTAATGCTTATGAAGCTTTACTTATAGATATATATAAAATTATCATAAGAAGAAGTCGGTTAACCCGACTGTTGCGTTATTTCCAATCTAAACTCCTTGCTTTTACAGGGAAGAAATGGATTTCCTTTTGGCCTGTTGCGAGCGCAACCACGAGGGCAAGATCGACTACCGAGCCTTCGTGGAGCACTTCCACGAACCATCAAAGGAGATCGGTTTCAACCTGGCTGTGCTGCTGACCAACCTCAGCGAACACATGCCGAATGAGCCGCGCTTGGCGCGCTTCCTGGAGACCGCCGGCTCGGTGCTGAATTACTTTGAGCCCTTCCTGGGCCGCATCGAGATCCTCGGCAGCTCCAAGCGCATCGAGCGCGTTTACTTCGAGATCAAGGACTCGAACATCGAGCAGTGGGAGAAGCCGCAGATCCGCGAGTCCAAGCGTGCGTTCTTCTACTCGATCGTCACCGAGGGCGGTGACAAGGAGAAGCTGGAGGCCTTCGTCAACTTTTGCGAGGACGCCATCTTTGAGATGACCCACGCCTCGGGCCTGATGGCCACCGACGACGGAGGCGGCAACGTGAAGCGGGACACCGCCTACAGTTCCTACATGAGCGAGGAGGAGGAGGAGCGGGCCGCCCGCGATCCCATCCGGCGAACCATCACAGCCGTGAAGGAGGGCCTCAAGTTCGGGGTGCACATGCTCAGTCCGTCGAACATCAAGCACCAGATTGGGGTGATGCAGACGAAGTCCATCCCGGAGCTCATCGTGGGCTTCTTCAAGATCATCTTCTACATCTTCTACTACACCGGCTATGCGCACTTCTGCGTGGTGCGCTACATATTTGGAATCCTGCTGAACCTTATGCGAGGACCTGCTCCGGAGCAGGAGGAGGAGCCGGTGGTGGAGGAGGAGACGTTCGGAGGAAGAGCCCTGCCGCCACTGCCGCTGGAGGAGCCACCTGGTACGGTGCAAGCCTTTGGCCTGGACATCAACAAGGAGGAGAATGGCATGTACAAGGTGGTGGTGCACGAATCGCCCGCCAATTCCTCGATGGAGGAGGGCGGCGAGTCGAGTCCCGAGGACGGAGCAGCTGCCAGTGGTGAGTTGGTGGAGGGGGAGCCGCACCAGGAGCCCATCTCCATCGTGGATCTCCTAGGCGGAGAGGCAGCGAAGAAGGCGGCTCAGGAGCGGCAGGAGGCGCAAAAGGCACAGGAGGCTGCCATGGCCTCCATCGAGGCGGAGGCGAAGAAGTCGTCTTCGGCCCCGCAGGAGACGCCCGCCGTCCACCAGATCGACTTCTCGCAGTACACCCATCGTGCCGTCAGCTTCCTGGCCAGGAACTTCTACAACCTCAAGTACGTGGCCCTCGTGCTGGCCTTCAGCATCAACTTCATGCTGCTCTTCTACAAGGTCACCTCGTTCACCGAGGAGTCGGACAGCTCCGGCGAGGAGGAGCTCATCCTGGGCTCCGGTTCGGGGGCGGGTGCGGACATCACGGGCTCTGGATTTGGCGGATCGGGCGACGGAGGATCGGGCGATGGCGAGATGGAAGACGAGATACCGGAACTTGTGCACGTGGACGAGGACTTCTTCTACATGGAGCACGTGCTGCGGATTGCGGCGTGTCTGCACTCCCTCGTCTCCCTGGCCATGCTGATTGCCTACTACCATCTGAAGGTGCCACTGGCCATCTTCAAGCGCGAAAAGGAGATTGCCCGTCGACTGGAATTCGAGGGACTGTTCATTGCCGAGCAGCCGGAGGATGACGACTTCAAGTCGCACTGGGACAAGCTGGTGATCTCGGCCAAGAGCTTCCCGGTCAACTACTGGGACAAGTTCGTGAAGAAGAAGGTGCGCCAGAAGTACAGCGAGACCTACGACTTCGACTCCATCTCCAACCTGCTGGGCATGGAGAAGAGCACCTTTGCGGCGCAGGAGAGCGAGGAGACGGGCATCTTCAAGTACATCATGAACATCGACTGGCGCTACCAGGTGTGGAAGGCCGGTGTGACCTTCACGGACAACGCCTTCCTCTATTCACTGTGGTACTTCAGCTTCTCGGTGATGGGCAACTTCAACAACTTCTTCTTCGCCGCCCATCTGCTCGATGTGGCCGTGGGCTTCAAGACCCTGCGGACGATCCTGCAGTCGGTCACCCACAACGGCAAGCAACTGGTGCTGACCGTGATGCTGCTCACCATCATCGTGTACATCTACACGGTGATCGCGTTCAACTTCTTCAGGAAGTTCTACATCCAGGAGGAGGACGAGGAGGTGGACAAGAAGTGCCACGACATGCTCACCTGCTTCGTGTTCCATCTGTACAAGGGTGTGAGGGCGGGCGGAGGTATTGGTGACGAGATCGGGGATCCGGACGGGGACGACTACGAGGTCTACCGCATCATCTTCGACATCACGTTCTTCTTCTTCGTCATCATTATCCTGCTGGCCATCATCCAGGGTTTGATCATCGACGCCTTCGGAGAGCTGCGTGATCAGCTCGAGTCGGTGAAGGACAACATGGAGTCCAACTGCTTTATCTGCGGAATGGGCAAGGACTTCTTCGACATAGTACCTCACGGCTTCGACACGCACGTCCAAAAGGAGCACAACCTGGCCAACTACATGTTCTTCCTGATGCATTTGATTAACAAGCCGGACACGGAGTACACCGGCCAGGAGACGTACGTGTGGAACATGTACCAGCAGCGCAGCTGGGACTTCTTCCCGGTGGGCGACTGCTTCCGCAAACAGTACGAGGATGAGCTATCCGGCGGAGGAGGTGGCGGCTAATCGCCATATCGATCGCTTTCTGGGCACAATTACTTTGACAATGGAAGGTCCAAGGACTCTCGGGATCCACTTTTGTATCGGTACTTTGACACCATCTGGAATTTTTACCTAGTCAACTTTAGCAATGTACTTTAAGCAATATATCCTACACCATCGTTTTTAAATACGTAGGACGACGACCTGTTTCCAAAATGATATATTGATGACGATTCTAGCACGTATAACAACAAATGTTCTTAACTCATTTTAAAATAAATCTATTCATTTTGAACGATTATTGTAAGCGGCATCGAAAATTTATTTATACTATATTTTTTTCAAAAGGAAAGTAACATTTCCTATACTTTTTTTTACCAAAAAGTCCTTAATCTTTTTAAATTTATTCATCATTTATTCAACAGTCGATTGCCTATATTTTGTTTTTTTTTGCAGAGTTTAAATTTTACTAGTTTTCAATCTTTCTAGACATTTATTAAATTATTTTTTTTATTTTGTACAAGAAGAAAGCTAATAAGACTGGTCAGTGGGAGTGGCCCAATGCGATAAATCCATTGGGTTTGGCCAATGGGATGGTCTGGTCAGTGGGAGTGACCCAATTGCTTTTGCCCACTGTAATTGGCCATTAATACTCACCACAAGGAGTGGCACAATAAGATTGACCGCTTATATGATCAACAATTTGATCCAGCTAATGGGAGTGACCCAACAGCGGCGGCCAATGAGATTGGTTCAGTGGGAGTGGCCAATAGAAGTAGCCAATGGGAATGACCCGCTGTGACTGCGCGTCGGAATAAGCCAATGGGATGAAGGGACTCAGGGCCCAATGGTAAAAAGCCAATGGCCGAAAGTGATCGGTCCACTGTGATTGAGATTGGAGACGGGTCTATGGGAGTGGCCCAATGGTGTTGGCCAATGAGAGTGGCCTATTATAGCGGCTCCAAGAGATTGGCAATAATAATTAGCCTTTAGGAGTGGCCCAAAAGGATTGGAAATTGGGATGGGCAATGGGAGGGATCGGACAGTAGGAGGGACCCAATGGAAGTGGCCAATGGTATTGACCCATTGAGATGGTATTGGCCAATGAGAGGGTTTTAGCAATAGGATTGGCAAATAGAAATGGCCCAAAGGGAGTCATTGGGTGATGGGAGTGTCCCAATGGGATTTGGACTCCGAAGGAGTGGCTAATGAAAGGCTCCAATGGGATTGGTCAAAATGATGGGCTAATGAAAATAGCCACTGGCAGTAGCGCATTACGATTAGCCAACCGAATTGACCTATTACTCTGTTTGCCAATAAGATTAACCATTGGGAGTTGCCAAATGGGATTTGACATTTAACATTAGTTGGTTTATTTTTGAAACATTTATATTTGTGGCTTTTTCACTAACTAATTTTCAACTATTTACAAGTTAACTCAATTTCAACGCTCAACAATAACAAAAACCATTCGAACTTTACCAAATGATCACATACATTTCAATCGTGTACATTTAACATATAAGTCATATTCTACAAAAAATCACAGTTGAATGTGGACAAACGTTACGTATGACAATTGAATATAATTACAATCGAGACTTGTAATTTTCCAAACCTTAGTGCGCGGTAAGTGTATGTTTAAGTGTGTATGCATATACCTCTATATCTGCTGTATATATGTAGGTATATTTGACTAAAGCTTTCACATCTATAGCCACGCTGCGGGGGCCTTTCGATAAAAATAACTATATGTGCGCTGATCCGGCGGCTGGGGCGATTGACTAGCGGAAGTTGTACAACTGAAAGTAGTACAAAATCAGGACAATAAAGATGGCGGCAAAATATCAGTAATCGAGTCGCTTTTTTAAACGGAAAAACTCGGCGTTGTCGATGCTCGTCAGATTGTCCATGTTGAGATTGCGCAACGTCTTTACGCCGGAGAGGCGCTCCTCCAAATCCGTGTACATGCTGCGGCAGCGGTAGATGGACAGCGTCTGCAGGCAGGTGCAATTGGTGATTATGGCGTCCAGCGTGTGTTCAGTAAGCTGGCTGCATCCGCTTATGTGCAAAGCCCGCAGCCTAGGCAACTTGGCCGTGACCACCTGAATGGTCTTGTCCGTGATGTTGTAGCAGTCGGACAAATCGAGTTCTTCAATGGAAGGACAGCTGCTGGCCATTGCCTCCATGCCCAGCAGCGAGATCTGCTGGCAATTGGACAGCAACAGCCTCTTTAGTTCAACGTGCTTCAGGCCGTACTTTAAAGATACATCGCTGATTTTGTTGCAACCGCGCAGGTTTAACGACCGCAATCCCCGCAATTGCTGTATGTTGTGACCCTCAAAGTCGTCGTCGCGTATTAGGTTCATTTCGTAGGCGGCCAGCATTGCCTGCTTTCTTCTCGCATCCCGCACAATCTCATCTTCGGCCTTACTCCTTAGAGATATTTTGATGGATTGAAGCGATCCCGCCAGAGTGTCGCGTTCCGCCAGTGTGTTGCAATACGGCGGATAAAAGTTGTCCATAGAGGCCTGCGAGCCGGACTGCTTGCGACTCATCTCCAGCTTGGATATGTTAATGCCGGTGAGAGCTGCATCCGTCAGCTAAACAGAAAGGGGAGGAAACATTTAACAGGAATTCAATGTATTATCATCGATGGACTCACCCCGTTGCAATGCTCAAGGGAAAGCTCACGCAGCCAACGCAACTGACCGATAACCGACTGAATAGCCTCATCAGTGGCTCCATTGACGCAGTGATTCAAGTGCAGGTATCGCAGGGAGCGCATATTACTCGCAATAGCCTTGATGCACTCCTCGCAGATTTGCAGATATGACACATTCAGCTCCTCCATCACCTGGTTCTCCTCGCTAGCCACGCCCTCGATGATCCCGCTACTGGTCAGGTTGTCGCAGTTGGAGACGTCCAGGCTCTTAAGGCGCTTCAGCTTGGCGAGGTGGATGGCGCCAGTGTTTGTGACACTCAGACAACCGTTGATTTTCAGGGTTTCCAACTGCGGATTCGTTTGCACCAGCGCGGCCAAATTGTCATCGTTCACGCACAGTGTGCCTGACAAATCCAGGGCACTCAACTGGGGCTGTGAGGCCAGAAAGTTCCGGATTGTCGCGCAATTGAGCTGCCTGCATCCGGACAAATAGAGTCGCTGCAGCTGGAGATTAAGATCGCTGAGGGTCAGCAAAGCCTGCCCAATTAGCGTGTGGCTAAAGTCCAGAACGCGAAGAGTGCGTCGCTGCAGGTTCAAGATGGTCAGGATGAACTTAAAGGTCAGAACAGATTCGCTGGGCAGAACATGATCTGAAGAGCTGGTGGCTGGGTAAAACCTCCTATGAATAGCATTGTGAAAGGCTATGTGGCAGCCGGACATGTTAATCGCCTCCAGACTGGGCATAAACGAGGTGAGCCGCATGAGTATGGCGTCGGTGAGGTACTGGTTCTCGCACAACGTTAGCTCCTTGATTCCGGCTAGGTTGCTGGCCAGGTCGTTCAGGTCGGGGCAGGAGTTGTTGTACGAGTCCAGGAAGGAGCCGGACATGAAAAGCGGCAGGCAGCGCTTCAGCGACAGCGAACGAAGATGTGGAAGGACGCCTAGCATGCCGTAGAACTGTTTGTCGTTTAGGTCCACATTGTCCAGGGCTAAAGATTCAGCGGTCCTGCCCATGAACCGCATCAGCTCCTTCACCTGGCCCAGTGTAACGTCCTCGAACAGGAAATGCCTAAAGCGGCGCTCGCAACGCATTAGATCCAGCCCGGGACTGAGTTGATCTGATAGCACCACCTTGGAGAAACACACGCGCGTGCGCATATTAAACTCCGCCTGGTCCAGTGCTGCATGCCATCTCTGGCAAGTGGATCCTGCCGCCTGCAGGTCCGAGTAGCCCAGATAGCTGAAAATTTTCAAAACAATCTGTGGGAAAGGGAAAAAAAACAATATCAGCTGACTGCCTACAGGTATATGAATATGTAGATATAGACACGCATGAAATGATGGATTGGTCACGGGACCGTTAGCAATTTCCATTTGATTTACTCACCTCAAGCGGCAGGTCGTCGTACCTGTGCGAACCATACTCCAAACAAGACATTTTTCCTTAGCTCTCCGATGTGAAAATTCCTATTTAAGTACAACCAACTAGCAGCTCCCAACCGCCCACTTACCGCGCCCGCAAACAACCAAGAAACTATTAAGTATGACCGCGCAACCTTGCTATCTATAGAGTCTATAAAATACTAAATCAAACATTTACCTGGCTTTCAGTTTCATTTAAAATGATTGATCGCAAATTGTGAAATGTATTAAGGTAGGATACTCTTATGTGAGCTCAAAATAAATGGGTTATTTGGTTAAAGCCACTTATTAGCTGTCTCAGAGATGTACTTACCGAAGTTTAGAAGTCTTGTTCCTCAATATGAATAAGAGAGAACAAAGGTTTGAGGTAAAAGAGCACTCGTTTTAAAGTTAATATTCTTAAGAACAACTATGGACATGTTGTTTACAATTAGAAAAATAGGGATCACCAGCAATACGTCCTATTATAAGTGTTGTAGTATAAAATTAAATAACTACTAAATAAGTTTCCTCCTGAAAGAAAAATGAATAAAGTTTTATTTATTGTTGTCTTTGAGGCTCAGCATTATTTCAAAAGTAAAATAATAACAAAGCATTTGCTGAAACAATTCAAACTCAAATTTTTAAAGAAAAATTGAACCGTTACTAACTGTAACTGATTTTTAGATTTTATGCCATATTTTAAAATTATAACATACCAAAAATATTTCACAACGGTATTTAACTCGCCACTGCATACGGTCACATTTTTAATGACATCAGTTTGCTTTTTGCAAAAATAAAAAGTTATTTTGCAAGGAAAAAACAAGAAGTATTTCGTCGCCCAAGAATTTAGGACAGCGCCGTCGACGTGCCCACAATAATGGCCGATCCCAAGTTCCAGAACCTGCCGGGAATTGTTAGTGGAAACTCCTCATCAAAAAAGTGACGTGCAAGCTTTCATTTTTGCCAATTTCCCTGTTGTATCCTTTATAGGCTTATGACCAACCAGATGTTTACGAAACTCCCGATGACCCGGAGCCCGATACCTCCGACTACTACGAGGAGGAGCCGGAGAACGAGGCCATCGAGCGCCTGCACATCTCTCCGAGCGTTGCCCACAAACGCTTCAGTGGAGCAACTCTCGAGGGAACCGTGGATTTCACGGATCGCATTGGACGCCGGGTATGCCGTGGATACGATGCTCGCGGATCCGGCGACTACGAGCTGGTGGGCCAGGGCGAGAAGGAGACCCCTGTGCAGAAGTGCCAGCGTCTGCAGATCGAGATGAACGAATTGCTGAACGAGGTAGCCGCCCTGCAGGTGGATCGCAAAGTTGCCGATGAGGAGAAGCAGTCGTATGACGCGGTGGCCACGGTCATTAGTACGGCCAGAAAAGTTTTGGAGTCTTTGAAACTAGAGCAGGTGCTGGGTAAAGAGCAGGCACCAGGCAGCAAGCAGGTAAAGGCGCTCATCAGCCAGGTGGAGGAGTTCAAGCAGTCCGGAGTTCTTACTGCCATACCAACGCCAGGAACTGATTTGGCGGCCACCGCACGAGTGGCCAGCCTGGAGCAGCGTCTTTCGCAGTTGGAAAAGGTGGTTGGAGCCCAGCCGGACAAGTTGAGCCGGCTTACTGCCGCTACCAACACCACCAACGTGCTGGAGGCCGTCCGCCATCTCAGCACCAAGGCGGCGCTGCTGCAGCCGGACAAATTGGACACCATTGAGCAGCGCCTGACCTCTTTGGCCGGCAAGATGGACGCCATTGCAGAGAAATCTAGTGGCAGTGCCCAGGACGCAAAGCGCGACCAAAAGATCACAGAACTTTACGACATCGCCAAGCGCACTGAGCCTGTAGTGGAAATACTGCCGCATGTCATTGAACGCATGCAAGCTCTTGAAGCCCTCCACAAATACGGTAAGTTTTTTTTAAACACTTGTTTTTCGTTATTAATTTTGTTTTTATCCCCTGAAGCGAACAACTTTGCTAAGATTATAGCTGAAATAGAGCAAAAGCAAGGAACCATTACCACCAGCCTGGTTAACAACAAGGAGCTGTTGCATTCCGTGCAGGAAACGTTTGCTCAGAATCTGGAGACCATCAACACCAAGGTGGCTAAGGTGGAGCAGCGCGTCGCTGCCATTTCCTCCGCTAAATAAGTGATTGCACAACAGGCGCATTAAATATAGCTAATATTTATAAAAGTATAATAAAGCGATCTACATTCAAAACTTTTTTAAAAAGTAGATAACAATTGGATTGAACTAATTTAATTAACAGAAAGGCTAAAAACGTTCTTATGTTCTTTTCCATATACAAAAATTTGCAATCAATTGGCTTCCTTTTACTATCATTATAGAAAAACATATTCCGCTTCCTGCTTAACAGCTTTGATTAAAACTAATAAAAAAAAAATTAAATACAATCTCATTTATAAAATCACAATTTATTGTTGTTCTTAGATTAGACCGACCCGAATTTTACAAATACTTAATATTTTAGCGGGCACTTATCCGTGATGTTATTTACATTTGCTTAGAGTAGTATTTTTGTTTAGGTATATTTATCCGGGCTGGTATATTGCGTGGCTCAGACAACGGTCACACTGGCCGGTCGGTTCTACGGTTCTTAAAAATATTAAAGTTTCCAGTTAAACTTAAGCACATAAGAATAAGTTACAGTGCAAGCAAGTGCAAATTCCGTTCACCATTGTTTGTAAGTACGGCAATAAACATATTTTAATGAAATAATAAGCCGGATGACGGAACTAGGCCAAACATTCAGTGGGGAAGCCAATGGCAAAAAGTGATGACGAGGCTCACTCCAATTGGACGTGACACAATTTTGTTCTGATTTCGCTGCACTCCTAATAATTGAATTTTTGTCTCACATTTACCTAACAGCACTAAGGGCGATAACAAGATGAAGATCAAGGAACTGCAGAAGACGGTAAACATCGCCTGGTCACCGGCGCAGCAGCAGCAGATTCTCCTAGCCGCCGGGACCGCCGCCCAGCAATTCGACTCCAATGCTAGTTCCACCCTAGAGTTGTACTCTCCCAACTTTAGCGATGCCACCTACGATCTGGAGTTAAAAGCCAGCGTGGCCAGCCAGTACAAGTGAGTTTTCGAGAGATTCCAAACCCAAGTGTTCCCCAATTTAATGGCTTTTCATCCGCAAGGTTTCAAAAACTCATCTGGAGCCCAGTGGGTCCACATCCCAGTGGTCTGATCGTCGGAGGCTGCGAGGCAGGACAGATCAGCATATACTCAGCCGACAAGCTGCTCGCCGGCAAGGAGGAGCCGCTCCTAAAGCGGCAAGACAAGCACACGGGAGCCGTCAGCGGGCTGGACTTCAATCCCTTCCAGAACAACTTGCTGGCCTCGTGTGCCTCCGAATCGGAAATACTAATCTGGGATCTCAATAACCCCGACACGAGCATGAGTCCCGGAGCCAAGACACAGCCCCTAGAGGACGTAAAGAACGTGGCCTGGAACCGACAGGTGCAGCATATCCTGGCTTCTGTGTTTAGCACGCGCTGCGTGATCTGGGATTTGCGCAAAAGCCAACAGATCATTAAGCTGTCGGACTCGCAGTCCCGTGTGCGGTGGCACGCCATCGAGTGGCATCCGGAGGCGGCGACACAGGTCTGGCTTGCCTCCGAAGACGACCAGGCGCCAGTGGTGCAGCTGTGGGATTTGCGATATGCCACGGCTCCGGCCAAAACGTACCAAATTCACGAGCGCGGAGTTCTCGGTATGTCGTGGTGTCTCCAGGACAACGATCTAATGGTTTCGTGTGGCAAAGACAACCGAATCTACTGCTGGAACCCCAACACTAAGATTCCAGAGGGAGAAATCCTCTCTGAGGTGGCGACTACGGCTTCTTGGTACTCAGATGTGCAGTTCTGTCCTCGGAATCCGGCTCTGATTGCCAGCGCCAGTTTGGAGGGAGCCGTTTCCATTTACTCCCTCCATGGAGGCACTCACCATTTGGTGCAGACAGCAAACAAGATTGCCGACTCGTTTCCGGGCATGGATCAGTTCGCTCAGGAGCCCATTCCCCAGCAAGCCACGCAAGTTGTCTACCATGACCTGGCCCACGCTCCCAAGTGGATGAAACGGCCCTGTGGCGTTGCCTTTGGGGTGAGTCAGTATTTAGATAGTTATTTTTATAAATAAATAACCACCTTTTCCTTTTAGTTTGGTGGCAAGCTCGTCAGCTTTGATGGAACCTCAAAAACAGTTAAGGTTCAGCAACTGACCACCGAATCGGCTTTGGTTGAGCGAGCTAATGCTCTGGAGCGGTCTTTGGTTGACGCCAACTACTCGGAATATTGCCGGCAGAGGGCAGACGAGACAGCCGACCAGCATGGACGCTACATCTGGTACTTTATCAAAGCGAACTTTGAGCTTAATCCCAAGGAAGAAATGCTGAATCTATTGGGTAGGGCAAATATACGCAAAGCCGGTGACGTAAACTTAAATTTTCTAATTTTGAAAGGCTACAACAAGGACGATACCGATAACAAGTTCAACAAGTTTATCAAGGAAACAGAAGGAAACTCACAATCGGATGTGGATACGCTCACTACCCGCATCTCGACACTGACCCATGTAAGTACTCATAAGAGCATGTCTTATCAGTTCCAAAAAAGCAGCTTTGCGTACACTATCAATTTCCACGTATGCTCATCATGCTCTGTATATTTCAATCCGAAAACATAATTCATGCTATGCCATTGCTGTAGAGCGACTCTTCGGAGGTTGAGTGCGATCAGAGTACAAATTATAGTACCGATAATTCGGTAAGAGCTAAGATTCAAAACTCACGATCCAAGTAATACATTTATAGCATCTTCAGATTAAATTATTTAGAGCGCATTCCCTAACACTTGTATTTCTACTACACAGCAGACCCAAGAAAACAAGTTTGATGGGAACGCAATCGGCTCACAAAATCACAACGACTTTGCCACTCCTCCGAGGCCTCAATTTAAGGTTCCCAGCGGAGACCGTAAGTAAAATTTGATTGATAATGCCAATAACAGAATGCATATACGAGCATGTAGATAGGTTTACTACATGACACTCACTTTAATTGTTTTGAAATAACTAAACCCAATTTACCGAATGCTTTTTCTTGCATAGTAAGTTAGCAATTACTAATTCGTCGGTTTTCTGCATTTAACAGACTCTGACAGCCTGATTACGGAGGCCATACTCACGGGAAACGTGGAGGCCGCCGTGGAACTTTGCCTGGAGGCCCAACGCATTCCCGAGGCACTAATCATTGCCTCGACAGCTGGCATTGAGACCCTGACCCGAACCCAAACCCGCTACCTATTGCAGCAGAGGAGCGAGCTATCGCACGTAATCTCCGCCTTGGTGTCCCGCGACTGGCTGGACTTTGTCAACCGCTGCACTGTGGACTCTTGGAAGGAGGCCCTGGTGGCCGCCCTAAAGCACAGCGAGCGCAAGGTGGTGGACATCTGCGAGCGACTAGGCGACCGTCTTTTGAGCGAGTGCGCGTCGAGCGCCGAGTTCACGCGTAATGCCATGCTCTGTTACATCTGCGCCGGCAGCATCGACAAGCTGGTGACCGCTTGGTATCAGCTGAAGCGGCTGGAGCAGCAGAATCCCGGCTACAAGCCCAACACCACAGAACTGCAGGACCTGGCCGAGGTGGTGATGCTGATGTGCAAGTCCCTGGAGCAGCAGGGTATATCCGTGGATCTGGCTGGCCGCTTTGCCGGCTTTCTGACTGAGTATGGCGGCTTACTTGCTTCCCAGGGAGCTCTCACTGCAGCCCTGCAGTACATAACTACTTTGGGTGGCGGAGCTGCCAACGAAAATGAAGTCCTCCAGAGCCTTCGAGACAGGATCAACAACGCTGTCAACCTGGACTACTCTCAGCCGCAGGGGCCAGTTGCTGCAGCACCACTTGGCTATCAACAGCAAAGAGGACGTGGATCGTTTTCGCAGCCGCAGCCATCGGTACCGTTGCCTTACGGCCAGCCGACCAATCAGTATGCTCAGCCAAGCTGGCCTGCACCAGCGCCTCCTGTACAGGCCGCCTATCCAGGAGCCCAACCCCCACAGCCGCCACAGATATTTAATCCGCAGCCCGTCAAGCCAGAGCCCTTGGCTCACCCGCCGCGACCACTTAGCAACGCCAGCTCCTCGGGTGGTCCCCCACCAGCGGGAGGTGCAGCCGCTTCTGGCGGATCGGGACTTTCCGGGCGCTCTAAATACGTACTGGATCCGTCTGTTGCAGCGCCAACCAGTTCCTACGGCATGCCGTACAATCCAGTGCCTGCTCCCGTTCCATCGGCAGTTCCCTTCAGCGGCGGCGGAGTGTCTGGACCAATTTCCCAGCCTGCCCCCGTGCCAACCTACAATAGCAACGCCTTTAACACGAATCCGATGGCGTCTGCCCAACCATACAACCCATCGCCATTCATGGGAGCTCCGCAGAACCAATTTTTGCCAGGCGTGAACCCCATTGAGGCGTTGCCGCCACAAGCTGCCCAACCGGTGATCCAAAATGTGCAACGCAATCCAACACCACCGCCTGGTTGGAACGATCCTCCTGCACTGAAATCCTCCCGAGCTGTAAGTGTTCGAGCCAGAAGCATCAGCAGCTTTATCTAATTTGTCTATTTTTTAGCCTAAGCCTAAGCCAGTGGTAGAACCGAGTGCTGCCATTTTTCATCCCCTGTTCCCAGTTGATCCCAATCAAAATCAAAACGGTTATGTGGATTCCGCTCAATATCAGGTAATACATATACGAGTTTCACAAGGAATGTGTTTAATTAGTGTGTATGTCTTACAGAATGCTCCACCACCTGGAGGAGTGCCCAATACGTACTACAATCCGGCAGCCTTCAACAACAATCCCCAACAGCAGCAGCCATCGTACCTTCAACCGCAGCAGCCATCGGGGATTCCAAGTCAAGGACAACCACAACAGCAGAACTGGCAGGGACAGCAGCAGACCATTGGCTACACCGAGCAGCCAGCTCCCATTCAGCAGCAGCGTCAACCGGAGCCTCCGAAGGAGAAGCCGCCACTTCCCGAGGAGTACATTTACTTGCAAACGGTATTGGAGGAGCTTAAGAACCGCTGCCTGAGCGCAACGAACGACCCGGTAAGAAATAAATGGTATTGCAAAATTAGTAAAACGCACGAAATTAAACCTTTTCTTTTTCTTTGTTAAGCGCACCAAACGCAAGTTTGTTGATGTTGTAAAGAGGCTGGAAAACCTCTACGATTGCCTACGAGATGGCAAGGTAAGTCACCGCTAAGGATGACCTTACTACACTTGAATAACAATATGGTATCTTCCAGCTTACTCCCACAACGGTGCAATATCTGAATCAAATAATACAGTACATTCAAATATCGGACTACGCCAATGCTCTGGAAATCCACACACGCATTGCCTTCGGCACCGACTTTGCGCAATGTGCCGGCTTTATGCAGGGACTAAAGGTCCTTCTGCAGTCCGCATCCGAGCTGCAGTTGGTCCTGCGCTAAAGTCTTGCCAGCTCCAAGCAAAGCTCACTAACCGTATATACTAATTGTGTCTTCAAATATGAATGTCTTTTGTGTTTTGTATACAAAATGTGTTTTCCTTTCAAATTGTAGACGGCTATGTTTTTGCCAGATGAGCGTCAACGTTATTCCGTGTATTGAAATATATTTCCACTTAAATAGCAAAAAGACATGCATAAACAACAATACAAAATTCGGGCTTTGCTTTCACAACAGTTTCGGCTGGTTCCTTATGTTCTCCAAGTCGAGTTGCATTTGTGGTGACGCCGCCTTTAGAGTTTGGGGACACACTTGTTCCATATGCTCCTCGGGCAGCAGGCGATATTTCTTGAGGTATTTGTAGGAAGCGTTTGAAATGTCGTTTGGACTTTGGGAATGTGCGAGATTCTCAATCTGCCGGAGCGGTTCAGGATTTGGGGATTTAGGAGACGTGCCAAGACGCATCTCCTTCATTAACTCGTCTACAGGCTGGCGCAAATACTTTAGGGCAAGTTCGTTCATCACCAGGCTCTTCTCGGTGTTTGGCTTAGCCAGTTGAGGAATCCGTTTGATTTGTGGTGTATTTGGGCGGTAGCCCGTTGATTGAGCCATGGGCGGAGTGGGTCGTGGTGACTGATACTGTGGGATAACTCGAGCTTGAGGCGAAGGCATGGGTTCTTCCTCCTCTGCAATGTATTCCTGTATAACAGGAGATATTCGTCTGCCTACTAATAAAGGTGCTTTTATTGGACTCTTAATACACTTCAAATTTACCCACCATTATTGGCAGCCAAAATGTCACACTGGCTGGCAGTCGACTTGCTGGGTTTCGAGGTGGCTTCGGTCTTCGCCCGCTGCTGTTGCTGCAAAAGCATTTCGCAGAGACTCCTTAGCTGCTCTTGTTCCTGACGCATAGTCTCCAGAAGGGAAACCAGGGAAGCCAGGTCAGCCTTAGAAGCCAGGTTGCTGACATCAACATCCGAGTAAACCACTGAGGGCAGTGATTTTCGCGGGGAAGATGGACTGAAGGGATCGGTTTGTGTGCCAGCACAAATCGTCAAAACGTCGGCGTTAGATGAACTGGACAAGCGCCTGCCTTGATATCCCTGCTGCTTAGGTTCTGCAGTATACCCGCCAGAGTTATCGGACATGTGACTCGCACTTGATGGAGCATCGTTTGTAAAGTTACGGTCCCTCGGCATCAGGATGTATTCCTTGGGGGAGCGCGGACTGTTGTTGTTGCTTGGAGCAGATCGTGGTCCCAATTCCGTGGCCAAGATGGGTGAGAAGTTGACCCGGGGCAGCATTTGCTTCTTCCAGGATGCAAAAGTGGGTGCAGCACGGGGTGATGGCTCTTGCATAGGCTGCTGTTGAATTTGCATCTGCTGCTCTTGAGGAGGCTGTCCAAACAATATGGACACCTCCGGCACAGTGGGCCTTATGATTTCGTTAGTATGTCCCAATGGCACCGCTGCACTTGGTCTAGGCGCCAGTCTGGGCAGCATATCTTCCGTTTCGGGCACAAACATTTGGAATATGATTTGTTTATTTACTTATTAAATTAAATTCGAGCGGGAAGTTCGTTCTGATTGGAGCTGGGTCGGGTTAGTGATTAAACTAGGGATGACGCAAAAATAAAAACATCGATTACTTTTTGATCACATAAAAATTTACCAGTACTTTAAGTTAAAATTTTTTTTTATGTTTTTATTATAGAAAGGTTTTAACTGAATTTCTAGTATGGATTTTGTAGCCGAAAGAATTTAAAAATGTTAATTTTTGCAAAATATATAATTCTTTTTTTCAAAACGTGTAGACAACTCTGTTATAGGTAATCGCAAAAACATCGCATGCTCACGATACTTCCGATTTAAGTGTGTGTCATACAAATAACAAAAACCTCTCAGGTATTCGGAAAATAAATGCAAAATATGCCTATTTCGGAGCACATCAATGCAATGGCCGAAACTCCGACTCCAGCTGGAAATACCACGGCTCCGGCAGACGCGGATGCTCCGCCCCAGACTGTCCGGGAACTGACCCAAACGGATCATCTGAACAAGCGCCTCCTAAAGTCACTCCTGGACAACATGCAGGCCACCGAAGGCATGGCGCAGGACAGCGAGAACGCCTCCAACGAGGAGGACAACGAGTTCGAAGAATAAATCCTTTTATTAATGTACAGTAAAGCTAGTGAACTAAAAGTGTCATAACAATCGTCCGTTTCGAGAGGGGAGCACCTAGATGCGACGGCGCTTGTTGCTCTGCACGGGTGGCGGAGTTGTTGATGGACTGATGGATTCATTGGACATGGATCCGCGGGTGCGTTTGGCCGGACGCTTTGGCAGCTCCTGGGGCTTGGAGACGCCCTTTTTGTCGACATCTTTAGTAGTATTCGAATTTGTAGGCTTGGTAGCAGGTGCTGTGAAAAGACCAACAAATAATGGCGGTCTTTAATAATATCGACAATACTAACCTTTCCCATTGCTATCAGTAGCATTGTTGGCATTATTGCCCGCCGCTTGTACGTCTCCAGCCTCTTCGGAGGCGTTTACCTCCACCGTCTTTTTGGTCTGTAGCGTTCCAAACTCCTGCTCCGGCAAACTGAACTCGCGCTCCTCGTTTGGAAAGGGCAGGGATTCAAGGTCATCCAACTCCTTAAGCTTATACATTGTGCCCAGGTGGCGCCAAATAAGCTCACTGGGCATCTCGCGGTTCAGGGACTTGGACAAACGTTGGGCGATGCAGGACATGTAGAAGTGCTTGTTGATTCCGACCGGGCGCAAGCCCTCCATGGCGTGGAACAGCTGCAGCTCCTCCTCGGCGGACCATTCGTGGTCGATTGTGGCCGGCAATGGAGCCGCCGACCCGGCTACAGCCAGGCCCTTGTCCTTGGCCATCATTTTGTTAAAAGCATGGAACTAAAAGTGGGCTCGATTGTTCTCTGAAGCAAATATTAGAGATGTAACTCGGCGTTACTCACGAGGGTCAAGTATCGCTGCAAGGTACATCTCTAGTTTGGGTGTGTATCCACTTTTTATTCGTCAACTTTTGCTCGATTTTGGCCTGTAGCGTTCGAGACTAAAAAAACATATAAATCGGAGCTGGTAATTAAATAAATGTGTGCAAATATAGTTGTGTGTTGTGTGTGCATCCGTCAAAACCTTTACCTTTCCACTATAGCCTCTATTTCACCCATACGGCGCATATGGTTCCGTGCGGTTGTGTGTCTCTCTTCCTCTATTCCCCAATAAAAAACTAAAAATTTGGGTGTTTCCAAATAGTTGCGGAGTGTTTTTTGTACATATAACGCGATTTCCATATGAGGTGACAAGTGTTGTCCACTTTTTCCAGTAAATAACCTTGCACTTGTTCTGTGTGTCAAGGTTTCCAGTTAGCCTGGAATGTTAATCAGCAATGCGATCGATTAAACTAATGCCTGCTCTTACATGTGTTACAGTTCGAGTCCACATATATGTGACTCATTCACTGTCCTAACTTTCTGACTAAAACTAAAACCTAAGCTAATCCTGTCTTTCTATCTTAGAATCGGGCATACATGTGCATATAAAATTTATACAAATAGATAATAGACTTGTGTCGCTGTCGCCTGTTCAATGTTGTAACCGTGTGGGAAAAAACAGATATCTAAACCATAACCAAACTTGTTATTTCCAGCCAGCCATTAAGATCCATCCAAACCAGTATACCCAGAATAAGATAAGCCCTAAGGCTAAGCCACACAAGCACAAGCACACACTGAACATCCTGTAATTGCATTTCCCAGTATCCGTATCACTGAGAACCTTTTCAACCATAGGCCTATCCGAGACAGCCATCATGGACGTAATGTCATCATCCCTGCAGCAGCAGCGCGTCGTGGTGGAGCAACTGCGTCGCGAGGCGGCCATCGACCGCCAGACAATCTCGGAGTCGTGCGCCAAGATGATGAAGTACATCACGGAGCACGAGCAGGAGGATTACCTGCTGACCGGGTTCACCAGCCAGAAGGTGAATCCGTTCCGAGAGAAGTCATCTTGCACCGTTCTCTAAGGAGGCGGATGTTTGCAGGAGAGTGGGAGTTCCGCTGAAACGAGGAAGTTCAGGATTGCCAGCGGATGTTTAGTTTATTTTTAGTTTAGCAAGATGGATTAAGATGCGAATGTGTGTGGAGTACGATACCAGTACCAGTCAACGCCACCTGGAACCATATATCTTTGTGCAAAAGCCGCAATAACTACGATTGTCATAAGCAATATAGTTACAAGAAGTTTGAATTCCAATTGCAAGGAATATATATATATAATATATCGATATATCAATGTGTACCATTCACGTTAACAAGTAATGTCCGAAAATAGAAACCCAAATTCAAATTTAAAACGAAGCATTTGTTCCAAAGATATCAGAGTTGTTTCCTTCCCGATTAGTAAAGCTGTTAATGTACACGAATATCCCAACTATACCGACAATTAAAGCGCTGACTATAGCATCTACTACTACTACCTAAACCGAAAACATATATATACAAAATCTATCAACGTAATCCGACATACAAATTTATCAATAAACGTAAACTCAACCAAAACTGGAATACATATATTTTGCCTTCTTATTTCGAGATATGTCTGTTATATTTATTGAGATTTGAAAAGATAACAAGACAAGATAAAGAAGAACGAGAAGAAGTTGTATTAAAAATGTATGTATTTTGAGGCTTATTAACCACCAGAGGTGGATTGAACCACTAAAGACAAAAATACGCAAATATCTTATTGAATTACTTTAAAAGCTTTAATACGAAGCAGAAATGCTACCCACAGCAACAAGCTAGTTGAACTTATCGCAATGTTTAGTGCGTTTATTATCCAATTTTTCTTAGCCAAAATGTATTACAAACTGTTGCAGTAACGCAGCAAAAACATATAATACCAAAGAAATCTAAACGTATAATCAATATTTATCTCTCTAGCGTAGTTTCTCCATTTTAATTCATTAAGGCGTATTCAAGCCAGTATCTAGTGAAAAAATAGTTTCTAAAAACCGATAAATTATTTCAGTATATTATTTTCGCTATGAAAACCACGCTATACAGTTATCCGATGAATCCGAAAATTGTCAGTTTCTCCAGTTTAGCGAAAATGACGAAAAGAATGTGTGATTTTTCCCCTCTCTGTCCTACACTCAATCAAATCCCTTCCCTTCTATAAAAATATTCACATACATTTATTGAGCGCAATGAATTAAAATGTTATTGGCATGAGAGACAAGTAACAACCTCAAGCAAGTTATTTTTGTACTATCTAACACGGTATAGGGCATATTTGTACGGTATTGGAAAGAAAAGTAATGATTATCCTGTTCGGAAAGCACGATGATAGCATCACACACAGTCGTACATACATGTTGCATTCAAAAATGTCTATTTCCATCGGGACAATCTGTCTAACTCCTGCTGGAACGACATCTGTGTTGATGGGAATAGTGAACTTATATTTTAATTGATCCGTTCTTCCAATGATGCATTTAGCAGATAATTTTAAATTGGTGGTGATTTTAGTTCATAACGTTGAAAAATTTAGACATAGTGTACTAAGAATCACACATTTTTGCAGGGAGCATTTTTCTTTTTTAAAACGTGTAGAAAAGGTTTTGAACTTCAGTTTGCTGTCGTGAGCAAACAGCAAAATGCGGCCCAAAACCGCAAATTCAAACAGAATTTTTGGGGCACTACAAACCGAAACTGCAGTTGGTTTGGCAGCTCACCTTCCCGCTTAAACATTCCGCTTAAGAACAGTTTTCGATTTAACGGACACTTTTCGTGGAGACTTTTAAGTTATCACCTAAAATTTGCCTGGGAACAGCCGGTCCATTCATTGAAGCACGGATGGATCTATCCTGTTCCCAGGTGTAAAATTGTTACAACTATATTAAACAGAGGGTTAAAAATATAACAAAATAAAAGGCATCACCAGCACACGTACTCCAATTCATGGTCATCGAACACACTTTAACACATTTTATTCACTTCAATTGAAAAGCGACAACGAGATCGTATTTTATTCGAAAATTAATACAAATCTTTTGCGACGCAAACGGGGACGAGTCCTCACAAATATTATTGAAATGTATCTGCGAATAAGCATTTGAAATATGTATTGTACTCAACAAATTGAATAATCGTTTGCTTAAATTTCAAAAATAAAAGGAGATAACTAACATAGATTTGTTATCTAGCGGTGGCACCGGGTTCGGTGCAAAAAAATTGTTGTTTTATTTAAAAAACTCCCAAAGATATAAACATTTTCTCAGTTTTGTAAGTTTAGTTTATTAATACAAGAAACTGTGTGCATGGCTGTGTATGTGGGTGAGTGTGAGAGTAGTTAATGAAATTTATAATTTCCATGGGACTGTTTTATGAAAATACAATGCACTCTTTGTGGGAGCAGGAGAAACTAGTTATAGTAGGGAGTACGAATCACAGAGGAACCGCTTAACTCTCGTCATCGCTGCCGGCAGCCTGTCGCGGCTTGGGACCTCCGGCGCGCTTGGCCATGATGATTTGGTCCACCTTTAAGATTGTTGTGGCCGCTCCAACAGCGTACTTAAGTCCCCAGAACTTTGCTTGGTAAAGATCGAAGATCTTTGCCTTCGTTGTGTCGATGGTGCTGGCCTTCTCGGCCTCAATGTCGAAACCAATGGTCTTGCCGGCCTCAGAATTGTGAGCCAAGAACAACTGGTTCACGATGTCAGTGCCGTTGATTCCGGAGTTCTCGGCCAGAGCCTTGGGGAACACTTCCAGAGCGTTGGCGAACTTGCGCACCGCGTACTGCTCCAATCCTGGCAAAGTATCAGCATATGCGGACAGCTGGGTAGCCAACTCGATCTCGGTGGCACCAGCTCCTGGCAGATAACGGCCATCACGAGTTAGGCACTTGAAGTTGTTCACACCATCGTCCAGAGCGCGCTCAATGTCGTCCATGAAGTTGTCGGTGGCTCCACGAATTACCACAGTGGCAATGCGCGAGTCTTTGCCCTCATTTCTACCAGGGAAATTAAAAAAAAAAATAGTATTGCGTCCATTTATATAACACCTGTATCAAACTCACCTGAAGGCCACAATTGTGGTGTCACCCAGTTCCTCGATGCACACCTTGTCGCAGTAGCCCAACTCCTCCTGACTGGGTGTGGTGATGCGCGGCAGTACGGTAGCGTTCACGGAGCGGCTCAGGCGACGCAGGTCGAATTTGGAGTTCAGGCGCACAGCCATTAAGCCGTACTTGTTAAGGAAATGAAGGGCCATATCACCAACCTTTCCACCGGCGACAATTACCTTGACTCCGGTGTCAGCAATCGCCTTGATCTGGCTCTCCAGTAAGCTCTCTTCGCCGGAGGAGAAGCTCAGTAGCTCGTCGGCAGACTTGATCAGCACGGTGCCCTTGGTCTCCGTCTGGATGATGTCGACGGGACAGGAGAAGATCACGATCTTTGCCTTCTCGGCGAAGGTGACATCGCCCTCGACGAAGCGCTTGAAAACCATTCCTCGAACAACCTCCGACTTGGTCAGTCCGCTGCCCAAGATCTTGCAAATGCGAATGTTGTCCACGTTGAAGGTGCCCTCGTCAGGCAGGATGGAGACGCAGGCCTTGCTGACTAGGTCATTGAGAAAGTCCTCCTGACCGTACTGCTTCGACATGATCGATGTGCGCAGCACTTCCTTAACCTTGTCTACGTTTCGGTAGTCCTCAATTTTGTGACTCACCAAAGTGGGCAGGATCTCGAGGGCCTTCTCCAAGGCCTTTTCATAGCCATCAGAAATCTCGGCGGTGGTAATGCCCAGACGCAGCAGCTCCTCCGCGGACTCCAGCAGTGCACCGGCCAGGACCACCACAAAGTTGGTACCATCGCCCACCTCGGCGTCCTGCATCTGGCTGGCCATGACGATCAGCTTGGCGGCAGGATGCTCCACATCCAGCTCACGCATAATGGTTCCTGCATCGCTTGTCACAAACTGCTTCTCAATGTGGTTAATGATCATCTTGTTCATGCCATTGGGACCGTAAGCAGAGCGCATGGTCTGTGCAAACTCCTTGCAGGCGCTGATGTTTCGGTACACCGCCTCCTCCAGTCCACTGTACATCTAAGGATTCGGGAGAAACTATTAAATTAGTTATTTTTCAATCATATGTGGGTCCTCGTTTCATGGGTATGACTAATCACGCGCCTCCCAGACAAGGCATGTATTTATTTTCAGTCGAATCTCAATGAAACCGATTCCCGGCTGGCATTTCCCAGAGATTTTCTTGATTGTTTCACTTACCCGGGCGCCATCCTTGAGCATCTGCGACACTCCGGGAGCTTTGGGAACGGATAAAGCCATTTTTGTACACAGATTTCGATTTCACACGGAGTCAGTCGGTAAATTTCAGCTAGAGTTATAACCTCAAAGTGGCGGCGAACATTCTGGATGGGATAGGGATGGGCATTATGACTTATCGATTTATGTGACCTGTGACTGCTACTTATTGTGTTAATATTTTTTGTATATATAAAAAAATTTCGTATAAGTTTTCGCCATAAGTCACATATATGCGGTATCTAAATATAAATATTTATAAATAAGTAAAGTGTTTCAATTTGCGATTTCAAACCTCATTCATAATAAATATCTCACGAAATGAACTACAAAAAATATAAAACAGTCATTTACAACAAAAAGTAATTATGAAGTGTTTATTACTTAAAGATGTAAAAGTCTTTAAAAAAAATATTATAGAGATTCATCCGAGGGTATCGAATTGTTTGGAGATGTTTTTGGATTGAAAGTCGTGCGTAACCAAATGTCGTTATCCCTGCGTGAGCGACGAGAAACACATTACCACGCGCGCATCTCTAATTCAAAACAAAAAAACCATGTCGCTGGGCAAGAAGCACGTGTTGGGGTTTTCGCCCAATGGTGGCCAATTGTTTGCCTCGGTGGACGAGCATGGCATCCTGCGGATATGGGACACGGAGACGAACACGCTTAAGCAGGAGTTCACGCCCAATCTTCAAGTATCCGGGCCGTGCACGGCGCTCACGTGGGTTGCGGTGGCCGGTCCACGGTCAAAGAAATCACGAAAGAGCCTTCAGGCGCAGGATGCAGTTAACGAACAGCTTCACATTGCTCTGGGAACGCTAAAGGGTGCAGTGGTTATATACTCTCTGGCGGAAGGAAAGGTGAGCAAAAAGCCCCCGAAACCAACAAATATAAAAACATTTTATAAATTGTTTCAGATTGCCCGGAGTCTTAGTGGCGACAACCATGATGGACCAGTCACTTCGATTGTGTACGACAACGCCAGCCACCTGTATACAGTGGGTGCCGATTGTCGAGCGCTCGTTTGGTCCCTGACAGAGGAACGCTGCGTCGCCGAATGGCAGGTGGGCCCGGAGAAACCACAAAACATAGCCTACTTACATAAAAGTCGCACCCTAGCCGTTGGCTCCCGCCAGCTAAAGGTATACGATGTGAAAACAAAGGAGTTGGTGGAGACCTTCACCGGTCACTCGGGCGAAATAAATGGCATCAGCAGTATTGCCTGCTCAGATGGCTCCGAATTCGTGCTCACTATTGCCAAGATGGAGCGCGTTATCTGCTTTTGGAAGATCGACAAGAAGGGCAAAAACAAAGCATCCGCTTGCACGCTGCTTATGGAAGATTTGGCCTACTGTCTGACCAGCGAAGTGCGCGAGGACGGCCAGCTCCGTGTGGCCAGTGTTACTCGCAATGGCATTATACACATTTACCTCCTTAACGTAAATTGGTAAGGCAAGTGATTAAAATTTTGAAGCAGTAATCACAACCTTTATCTTTCCAGTCTATCTGCCGATAAGTTCGTTAAGCCCAAGGTGTCATTGCAAATCGCGTCTGATGAGGCCGAGACTGTGGAACCCTTACTCGCCGTGGCGGCTCATTTTGTGACCGACTCAAATCGCTCACACGAGGTCCTCTTTGGCTACGGTAGCCGCCAGCAACTGCAGTTTGAACGCTTTACTCCCAATTATGGCGAGAAATTAAATGTAATCGTTCGTGCTGATCCAAAGAAGCTGTACGCGAAGAAAAAGGGAAAGGAGCAGCTGGGTTTCCAGGCCGCCACCAAGGTGCAGAAACCTATAGTGAGCCAAAAGAACGTGGAGTACAACAGTGCCCTGCCCATTTCCCAGAAGAAGGTGCAGAACGAGGTGCCTATGGAGGCTCGCCTGCAGCACCTAAAGATCCACGGAACCAAACTGAGTGGCGGCAAATTGCTGACGCAGAGCAAAACACAGCTGCTTATGCAGGCCTTACACAGCAAGGACAAGGCGTAAGCGAATAACAAAAAATAATATTTGATGGTTGCTAACAAGTATGTTTTTAGGATGATACAAGCGGTATTGAGCACACAGGATACGGAGACGATACAGCTGACATTGGATCGTCTTCCGCTCGAATACGTCAGTCCTCTGGTGAACGAACTCTCCATCCTGCTGCAAGGAAAGCACGCCAAGTAATTCTTGCACAACCCTTATCTCCATATATATGCACGATATATTAACAACTGACTACTTATTTCAGTGTCAGCTCTGCCCTGCGATGGCTGCACGTGCTGGCCTCAACCCATACCAGTGTTCTCATGTCCGAGGACAAGGAGGCGTTGCGCGAAAAACTGGCCGTTTGTCTCGGCGTGGCGGAGCAGCGGATGCATTGCCTTTCGGAAGCACTACAGTAAGTACATTGGGAAACATAAGTTTATTGGGAAAAAAACAAGCCTTTAATGGTGGATGCTGAATCAATTGTTGGGCTTCTTGACATTTTTGGACCTGACGTTATGCTTAGGCTTTTCGACGGTGCCGTGGCGGCACTCAGAAATAGCAGCAAAGAAGCTCAGCTTGGTGTGCAAGATAGTGTCGATATAGAAGCGCTGAAAAGTGAACGAGTTGAGGCAGCGTTCGCCCAGGCCATAGTAGAGGGTGTTGTAGCCCTCAAAGCGGTAGGTGATCATCACCGGATAGTGTCGCAAAAGAAGCTTTGACACGGTCAGGATAAATCGCACCTTGGCAACAGCTAGTGGATTGGGACAGCGTGGGGTCGGCCGTGAGAAATGGGCGTCTACAAAAAGAATAGTTCCCTTGATGGGAACTTCGTGGCGAATCGGATTGCTGATAACCACACATTTTGTGTCAGGCGACAGCTCCCATCGACTGACAAAGTCCCGAATGTCGGCAATAGCGTTGGAGTATTCAAAATCGCCGATGGTCAGCATCTTGCGCGCCAGACCACTCGATGCCGAGTCTGCCGAAGTGCCGAGAATACCAGTGTAGTTAGCATGGTTTGTGATCGAGGCCGAGGCGTCGTCTTCTCCGTTGACCACTACGATTTCGTTGAAAACTGAAGAGGCCAAGCTGATGGAGGACATTTTGCTACGTTTTGGATACTTGTAGCAAAACAGTCCACGCGGGTCGGACTCTATTATGGCCAGAGCTTCGCAGATGGTGCCTTCGATCAGATCAACGATGCACTGCATATCCGCATCGTCGCAGACCGGCTTGTTGCACTGATTGGTGAAGCTGGAAACGCTGGGAATGTTTGTTATGGGCAGCGCAGTGCCTGGTCCAATGCCCTGGCCACCGGGTGTGCCCGGTGTTTTCATATAGTGCGAGCTGGCGGCGATGTCATAATAACTGAAGCCATCGGCGCACAAAAGGTCCATTTTCGGGGACTGGTAACAACGAAATTTAGGAATCCGTTTATTAGTCAAAGATACTGTTTGGGATTTCTGTGTAATTATTAAAGCTTTAAGTCAACTTTTCCATGCCTTCTTTTCAGAATAACGGGACGAGTTAACCTCATAATCAGTCAGATGAAGCGAAATGCGGACAATCATCTGAATGACAGCAATGCCTTAATTCTGGAAGAGGACCCAGGCTAGTTAGCCACGTTTTTTTTTTTTTGAGCATAATCCTTACGAGTAATCCTTTTCCTTTTAGATGAGCCCGCCGAATCTATGGAGGATGCCTTGTTGACTGAAAACAATTGGAGCGACTTGGAGGACCAGCAGGATGGGAGCATAAAGAGCAACTCAAACGATGAGCTGGTGGCAGACGATGACCTGGCGACTGACGATGTTGAAGCGAACTCAGACTCTGATGTATCAATGGAGGAGTAGATTGCTTTCCCATAAGTTATGTTTTTAATGCAATTCCTTGGTTGTCATACCAAAAGAAATTAAACTACAATTGTTTTCCAAACACACTTTTCTACACCGAAATTATTAATTTTATTTGTGGTTTTGAACTACATGCAACAACGAATATGGTGAGCCAATTGTTGGTCTAATTCTGACACGAGATTTTATCGATACGCAAGCAAACAAACATTTCCAGTTCATAAATACAGTTGAGTAATGTGCCAATAACAAGGGGTCTGTAGCTTGAGTACACATACGAAGCTACTACTCAATAACGGCTCAGAAACTACTAACAATTAGAGCATTTGTGTGAACATTTCATTTAATTTGCAACAAAACAGCCAGACATGATTACTTCCAATTGGCTTTGATGAAGTTAATTAAACCGTTTGTGGAGCTGTCGTGCGTGGAGACCTCGTTGCAGTGGTCCAACTCGGGCTCAATGGCCTTGGCCAGCTGCTTGCCCAGCTCAACGCCCCACTGATCGAACGAGTTTATGTCCCAGATGATGCCCTGAACGAAGATCTTGTGCTCGTAGAGCGCTAAAAACAAATAGATTGATGTTATTAGGTGTTTACTTGAAACTTGAGCAGTAAACCGTACCAATCAACGCGCCCAGGGTGAAAGGCGAGACCTTCTTGACCACAATTGAGTTTGTCGGCCGGTTGCCAACGAACACCTTGTGGGGCAGCAAGTTATCCAGCTCGTTCCCGCACAGTCCGGCCTTAGAGAGCTCGGCCCGAGCCTCGTCGACAGTCTTGCCGTTGGCAAGGGCCTCCGTTTGGGCGAGGAAGTTCGACAGCAGGATCTTGTGGTGCTTGCCGCCGGCAATGGGGTTGTGCGTTTGGGCGGGGGCGATGAAATCGCAGGGGATCAGGCGGGTGCCCTGGTGGATGAGCTGGTAGAAGGCGTGCTGGCCGTTCGTTCCCGGTTCGCCCCACACAATTGGGCCGGTGCTGTACTTCACGGGTTTACCCGCCTTGCTCACGAACTTGCCGTTACTCTCCATGTCACCCTGCTGGAAATAGGCCGCGAACCTGTGCAAGTACTGGTCGTAGGGCAAAAGAGCGTGCGTTTCCGCCTTGAAGAAGTTGGAGTACCAAATGCCAAGCAAGGCCAGGATTACTGGAGCCTACAATAAAATGGACCGGTAAATAATGTGACTTAATTCAGTAATAAGCTGTAATGTTACATTTTTCTCGAATGGCGTGGACCTGAAGTGGTTGTCCATGTAGTGGGCACCGTCCAGGAGCTGCTCAAAGTTCTCGAATCCGATGGACAGGCAGATGGACAGTCCGATGGCCGACCACAGTGAGTAGCGTCCGCCCACCCAATCCCAGAAGCCGAACATGTTGGCGCTGTCAATGCCGAACTCGGTGACCTTTTCCTTGTTGGTCGAAAGGGCAACGAAATGCTTGGCAACGGACTCAGGCTGAAAGACAAATCAAAATGTGAATAAAGGGCAAATCAAAGTCAATTTATCTCATTTTCTAATTTATGACTTCTTTATGTATTTCTAATATATTAGTTGTTCGTATTTTTACAATCCAGAAATTACGATATGCGATATCTGAAGAGGCTTTTTGTCAGCAAATATGCATTTATGTTTCAAATTCCCATTTTATAGATCTTAAAACAAACATTATGTTTGCAACTTAATAAAAAAGTTTCTCAATAAAATCACAAATAATAGAATTGGAAATTCGTGAATATAAACAAAAACATGTTAGAAATAATATCTCTAAAATTTGTGTGAAATGCTATGCATTTAAATTTTCCGTTGGTCAACTTACCTCCTTGGAATGCTCCAGCAGCCAGGTCTTGGCAGAGGTGGCGTTCGTGATGGTCTCCTGGGTGGTGAAGGTCTTCGAGGCGACGATAAACAGAGTCGTCTCGTAGTTTACCTTCTTGAGCACCTCGGCCAGGTGAGTACCGTCGATGTTGGACACGAAGTGGGAGTGGAGACCCTTCCCGTAGGGCTTAAGTGCTTCGGTGACCATCAATGGGCCCAAATCCGATCCTCCAATGCCAATGTTGACCACGTCGGTGATCTGTTTGCCGGTGCAGCCCCGCCATACGCCCGAGATGACCATGTTGGTGAACTCCTTCATGTGGGCCAGCTCTGCCCGCACGTCGGGCATCACGTCCTTGCCGTCCACCAGGACGGGATCCGTTCCCCGGTTGCGCAGGGCCGTGTGCAGTACGGCGCGGTTCTCCGTGATGTTGATGTGCTGGCCGGAGAACATGTTGTCCCGGGCCGCGTCCACGCGGCGCACCTTGGCCAGTGCGAGGAGCAGCTCCCAGACCTCCTCGTTGATACGGTTTTTCGAGTAGTCGAGCAGTATCTCTCCATCGTTCTGGGTGTGCAGGCGCAGGCTGATAAACAAACGAGAAGTGACGAAATTTGACCTCAGAACAAGTACGATTCGGAGGTCGTTGCTGTGACCTTACGCAAGGACAAATCGAGTGGCGACGACGACACTCGAGAGCCGATGGTGAAAGTGAGAGTGGGCGAAACTCGATGAATAAACGATGAAGCGATGGGGGATACACAAACGAGTATGCTCGTGTATGTGGGTACTACATACGTAACCTTAACCCTGGGTGTGAAAAATACCGACCCCAATAAACCCACCTGTATTTGGAAAACCTTTTCGGATCCTTAACAAAAAGGTCCTTGATGTTCAGGTCCTTGCCCTGGGCATCGAAGTATTCCTGCAGTTTCTGGAACGCTGGCTCCTGATTAAGCGGAGGAAGTGCGCCGGCCATGGTACTTGTTTTTTGCAAGTAGAAAAGTCAAGAGGCAGCAGGAGGATGCGGAGTAAAAGGCGGGGAAGGACTCGTTAGCACTCGAGCGGCTGGTTAAAGCGCACGAAAAAGAGAGCGCGGAGGAACTGTTTTTATAAACTCGCGACACTTCACTTATAACCGCGAATCCGGCTGCTTAGTCGTCGGGTCGTCGAATAGGCTTTTATCTGACTCCGGCAAATTTCCAGAGTACCGCGCCACAACTTCGCCGTGTTTGCTATTGATAGGTAATGAGCGGCCCTGCCGATTTTCCAACGTCCTTTCTGGAATTCGCGAGCTACCTTCAATGTCAAATGAAAAACAAGCGAGTGTTGCCACGTCGGCCGCGCTCTTGTTTTGCTAACCCGATCGGTATAGGAGCCGGTGCGAGTTTAATGTGTAGAATGAGTTAATTTGAACTAAGGGCTCCCTGTTCCTAGATGATAGCCACAGATTGTAAAAGGACTTGAATTGGAATTTTAGAAACAAAATAACCGCCGTTTATCACCACATATTTCTGCAAATATGGCAACGCTTTACCATAAGGGCTGTCAAGGCGCCATCAAATGGCGAGTATCACTTTCAAGTGTCTTGTTTTTATTACAGCAAATGGAAAATTAAATTATTAGTTTTGTGAACATACTAAATCAATGTTTTAATTGTCCTCTACCTGATTCAACTAAATAATAATAATAAGCAATCAAGATATAATTCTTTTTATTCTTTTAAACATTTAAAGTCTAAATATTTTCAGAGATGCGATCCTTTTTCTATTTTGTTTTAAGAGTATTTGATAAAACTTTTTATAAACTTTAACACAAAATAAAGATTATGATTAGTTTTAAAGTGACATCTTAGCATTGACTGAAACCTGTTGGTACTAACGCCTGCGCAGATAACAGCTCGGCAACGCTACGCAAGAAGGGTTACCAGGTCGGTGAAATTCGCTAAAAGATGGCGACGCGCACTTAATTTTTGTTTTTTCCCACTTAATAAAGTACAATTAAACCAAAATAAAAACAGCGCACAAGCAACAATCAGAGTCGATATAAGTACAAAGAAAAAGTGCCTGCCAGATCACGTTGCTCACCCCGAAAACCAATAGCGAGTGGAGTGAAACTAATACAAACATTGACATGTCTCTGGCTAAACGAGAGCAACAAGTGTGTGAAAATCGAATTGTGGCCGTTTAAAATGTTTGAAAGAGCAGTTAGTGCGCCTAAGGGCAGTTAAAGCGATAAAGTTCGCCCAAGAATATAACCTAGATCAAAGGAACAGCAGAAACTTCCCACGAGACGCCAGGCAGTAGCGTCTGCACACGTAACCTTGTGTGCGCGTAGCACGGAAGCTGCTTGTCGGAATCGAGTTTGTAGGTATGTGGCTGCGAGCCACCGCTTAGATTCGCTGCTCACACGGACATTTCGCTTGGATTTAGGTTGGTCACGGTCGCGCGGCCACTTCCAGGACGTCGGGTACGTCACCAGGAGGAGGATGGAGACCACATCGGCAGCTGGATCTGGAGCCGGAACGGCCGACGTTTGTCCCTGCTCCACAGCTACAAATGCTTCCGCCGCCTCAAACGAACAGCCACAGACCAAGCGCCAGAAAATCGAGCAGCAGATCAAGGTGGGCTCCAAAGTTCTGCCGCCTCCCCCGCCGGACATACTCGACTTGGACGCGAACAGCAACAGCCACCTGTGCTCCTCACTTTCCTCGGCCTCCTCGCATTCGCTGTCCACGCCAAGCAGCACCAACAACTCACCCACCACCACGCCCTGCAGCTCTCGGGCGGCGTCCTACGCCCAGCTGCTGCACAATATCTTGCCACAAAACGGAGACGCCGAGCCGCACAGCCAGCCGGAGTCCGCCCAGGACGAGGTGGACCGGGCGGCCAAGTTGCCCGACCTGTTGACCCTCAATACGACCAACAGCAATAGTGGCCATCTGGTCAGCAAGAGCAGCTGCCTTCCGACGACAGCGGCGACACCAACCACAACCATCGATGACATGTTGGAGTTCGAGCAGTCCTTAACCCGCCAGTGCCTTTGCGGAGTCTCGGAGAGAACGCTGCGCAAGCCCTTCCAGTCGCATTACTCGCAGGACACCAACGGCCAGAAGCGAATAGCTTATCTGCGCGAGTGGCCCACCAACAAGCTGCTGCAGTTCTTGTCCAACCTACAGCTCCTCTTCGACATCTACCTGAAGCAGAACGCCAAGGGCTTCATCTGCACGCGGATAATGGACGTCTGCGACGCGTTGATCCGCAACGACCACAAGCTCATCGACGAGATCATCGTGCTGGCCGGCTACGACAACTCGTACGTGCAGTTCCTAGCGGGACGTGTGCTAGCCGCATTCCTGGTAATTGCCAAGCAGGAGCTGAACGACGAGTGGCTGCAGAAGATCGTCGACCAGTTGTTTAACTTCGAGCTGCTCGACCAGGCGGCCGTGCAGAAGATCCACTTTAGCCTGGATATTATAAAGCGTATCGTCGAGTGGAAGGACATGGAGATCCATCCGCTGGACGACGATTGGATGGGAGCGGCGAACAGCGCCAGCGCCGCCTCTGCCGTGGTGCCTCTGTCGACAGAGGCGTCTGTAAGCTACATGCACTTCCCCGTGCAGCAGCAATCGCTCGCCACCAACTACTTTGCGCTGCAGTTTCGCGAGGACACTGAGGGCGAACGAGAGGCGGAGCGGGAGACGCCCGACCACCGGGACGGCCATCGGCAGCGTCAATTCGGCGAGGAGATGAACGTCGCCTACGAGGCGCATACCGCTCCACAGTCCACAACCTTGCCCAACGGCTGCCATGTGGTGACGCTCACCGACTCGGAGAGCTTCGACACGACGCACCTAAAGTGCATAACCATCCAAAAGCTGGAGCACAAGTGGCCGACGTTGGTGAAGAACATGTCGGAGTTGATGACGCCGGCGCACCAGGAAACAGCAGAGCACTGCGTGCTCAACTTCCTTCAGTTGTGGGAGAACATCATCTCGGTGAAGGCCAACCTGTCCATCGACGAGACGCGGCCCTACTACGCACAGCTGGACAAGTTCGAACTGCTGCTCAGCCACAGCCTCTCCTGCACCGTGTACAAGCAGATGCTGTGCCTCTTCAACGAGGCGCTGTGCTATGGCTCCACGCTGGCGCTGCAGGACATGCTGCCCGAGGAGACCTGCAAGCTGGCGCACCAGATCGTCTGCCACGTGCGCGGCTTCCGTATCCTGGAGTCGCTGCCGCGGCGGCAGCCGGACAACATGGTAAGCCTGATCGGCTACAATGGCAGGCCGCTGGTGTATGCGAACGGCACCATTACTTTGGCACGTGCTGCGCAATCAGGAGAAGGTGGACAGGACGAAGAGGGCGAGTCGCCACTGGACCTCATCGAAATGGACAAGACGCTGCTGCAAAAGATGGTGCTGCTGGTGCTGAAGTCGATAGCGGTGACCGTTAAGGAGATCCGCAGCGATTCCTCCGACTCGTCCATCGATTCCAACGATTACGACGCCTTTCAGGACATGATGCTTATCGAGCGCTCCATCCGCGATGTGCTGAGCAAGCTGGAGACGTTCATCAAGCAGACACTGGAGTTCCATCCGGAGTGCCACTTCAGTAAGATCCTGATCCACCTGTTCGACGACCAGGACGATCACCTGATTGAGGCAATGGTCTGCACGCTGGACGTCACGTCGGGCATCTCGTTCCGCAACAACGCCTTCCCCGAGCTGGTGGCCATGCTGAACCCGGTGTACACCTTCCTGGAGTTCCTCAAGATGACATCGAACAGCTCGGACCTGCTGCTGGACCTGCTGGTGAGCAACGAGACCTGCTTCTTGCTCTACCTGCTGCGACTGCTCAAATACATTCGCATGAACTGGACAATGTTCGTGCACAGCTGTAACACCTTCGGCATGGGCAGCGCCATGCTGGACGAGGCGATGGGCGTGCTCATCCGGCTGCGGCTGCAGATATCCCGCCTCGTGTCGCGCCAGCTCTACCCCTACGACATCTCGCCGGTGCTGCGCCTGCTGGAGAGCTGCGAGAGCCTCTACGAGGGCAACGAACTAAGCTGAATGCGGCGCAGGCCCCAACTTCCAACCACATGCAATTAAAATACGTAATTTATTTTAACATTTAATGGAATAGGAGAAACTAGCGCAAAATTCGATGAAGAGGGAGCCCTTGTAGCATACGTGTATTAGCCGTAGGTACCACTCCGACCACACATATCTCCGCAACCAATCCAATAGCGCGTTAACCGTAGTTAAGTCTTGCACCCTTTCATCCGCTTCGCTGGCCCTTCAACCTAGATACATAACTGTATGTAATCGTCATTGTAATTTGTAATGAGCATCACAAGTTCGTAGTTAGTTCATAGTTAATGGTAACATCATAGGTACTGAATTCCAAACTAAACACTACGCTAGCCTAAGATTTTTTTAATCTTGCCTTAAGTAGAATAATGTACAATAGGATGGCAAAATGGCAAAACGTTGTCCCACTTTTCGCGGAAAGTGGGCGTAAATTCGGTGTCTTCGAGAAGAATATTCTTTGTACGTTTTTTTAAAAACACTTGAATAATATAACTTAATTAACTGATTAAAAGAAACGCATTAAGAGGAACACAAGGAGTGCTACTTAAAATTTTTGTATTAAAATACTGTAGTCTTTTTGCAGTTTCGATGGGTTTTTTGGCAGAATGGCGATTGCGGGCTTAATGGCGATTGATCATACGAACGCGGCGCTTTGGATCGACAGCTCCACTCGGCATGGCACTGGCATCCAGGGTCTGGCCAGTGAGGCTTATCACCGAGCCGCGTCTTGCCAGTTCGGGCGGATATGATGGACTTGAAATGTAAACCGTTTGATAGTTAATGCTGATCGGAACCGACGAACGACGATTCATGCGTGGTTCTAGGAGAAGAAAATAATTTGTCTTATGAGACGTGGAACAGTTTTTCGGACTTTACCAAAGCGAATGTCTCCGGAACTTGGCCTAAGTGGATGCTGATGGACTGGTCGGGTGACCAGCGGGGATGCGACCCTGTGCTGGTACTCCTGAACCTTTGGAGCATACTGTGTAAAACCGCCCTCCTCGTTTTGCGTGTACCTATAGCGATCCACCGACACGGAACGCACCTCGCCGAGAATATGCCTGCGCCGGAAGATCGGGGACTCCTCAACTTTTTGCATGCACATGGTGAGGAAATAAGGAGGTGAAGAGATCGCACAGGTTTTCAGAAAGCCCATTCAAACAGAGTAAATGAAACGCAATCTAATATGGCTACGTAAGTTGATCACAGGAGAGCACATAGTAATTGATTTATTTACGTTTACACACATATAGGACAGTAATATATATATATACTGAGTATGTACAACCTTACATTCAGTACAGTTTCACAGAGAAGTGAAGGGGAGGTAAACAGTGGAGGTCGTTCAGAAAGATAGATAGCAAAACGCAATATCGAACCCGAAAAGAGTGCGGTAGTAGGATATAGACGTAGAGAAATGAATAGGACATACTATAGGTACACAATATACAGTACGTTTTCCGAAAAAGTCGGATAATTAGCTCTCATTCAAGATTGGACAGTGCTTTACAATACAGAAAGTTGGCTAACTCAGTACATAGCAGTAGATACATTTAGATTTATAGGATAACAATTCACTTGATCCCTCGGTAACACGGTGTTTAAGCACCTGGCCCATCGAGTTAAAATTTTGGCAAAGTTTTTGGTGAAATACCTTTTGATGACCGGCGATCTTGCTTGTGAATTTGTGCATAGGACTGCAGGGAGCAGCGGCGCAGTCGTTTGTCCCCTTTGTTCTGCTGTCGAAGAAAGAAAACTTACTTTATGCACTTACTTTATATTATAAGCTTACCGATTTGTAGTGTTGATTGATGTCTGAGGCAGCCTTCAAAAGCAGATAGATGAAGACCAAGGCGAATAAATAGATAATGGGCTCCGCCGTATTGCTCTTCTTGGATGCATCCTTCTTTTTGGCGCTCTCCTGCGATTTCACCAAACGAGGTTGCTTGCTGACCCCATTTCTAGTTGTATTTTTGGTCCGCTTTGAAGGCCTTCCATTGAGTCGTTTTGATACTGGGCTTGCAGAAGGAATTCCATCAAAATCCTTGCCAAAAATATCCATCTTCTGACAAGACGTATCGGGGGCTTGGGTTTCCGACTCCTCCTCCATGACTTCTGATTGGGATTGGAGTTTGTTCAGGTCAAAAGCTGCCACACCCGGCTTGAAATAGTATCTGTAGTTGCGTTGCACTCCGGCCACCATGAGGTACACGGTACAGAGCACCACCAGGATGCCTAACGGCACCACATGGTGGTTATTTGAATCCTTTTCCCTGCCAATGCCACTCGATTTTCGTTTCTTTGGAGTTGATAGTGGCTTGATTTCATCAGGAAAGTTGAATTTATCTGCCTTAGGCGGTTTCATTGCACAGTGTTTATTATTTACCAAGCAATCACTGTGTGTATCTGTTGACTGCGAGTCCTGTTCGCGTTTGTGGCGGAAAATCGATAGGGATTGGCTTCACAGCTTCACATATTGGGTGCCAATCGGTATGCTTTAAAGGTCAAGCGGTAGGAGTGGATACACTAATAGGTGTCCTTGTTTATATGTATTTTTATTGAACTTATTGCTCTACTTTTACAACAGTGAAAACTGTTTTGGGAACAACTCTCTCCACCACATCAGAACCATGCATGTTTGTGTGTATATCAAACCTGACCTATGAAATTCAAGTGGTGGTGATATACGTTAAATTTGAATCGCGATTCTTAAACGATACGGACTTAAACGCTAAAAAATTTATTCATTTATGTACAAACTAAAAAGGCATCAAAATTCGAAATATCCATTAGACATCCCAGTAAGTTGGTCGAGTATATCTAAAGTTAAAAATATTTTATAGACAATCGTTATTTAAATGCCGTGAAACATGGTTATGTACCTGTGATTTGCAGATCAGCGGATTGGTTGCTGATCATGGTGTATTGCTTTCGACTTTCTGCAATATTCTGCCGCTTAAACAAAACAGTTCGCAAACTTTCCCCTGAAAATTGATTAAAATATATAATTCATGTGAATAATTATAATTAATACTTACTTCTCAGCACATTTCCTTTTCCATAAGGCTTCGTTTTTTGTAATTTTATGTCGAAAGTATTTGTGGCTAGATTGTTGTCTTTTATTCTATTTACTCTACTCCTACGCTCTGTGTCGTAGAGAATGCTGCCTGGATGGAGTGTTAACTGGGTAAGAGGTTCATTTTCCGTTGTATCGTTTATTTCGTTTAATAAAAGTGGTCCTATCGGATTGGGCAGTTCATCTTCTTGCTTACCAGCTCCTAGGCAGCCGTGCAGCTTGCGCAAGATCGTGCGCAGGATCTTAAAGCGCTTGAGAATACGCTGCGGCTCCACCTGGGATGCGCACATTAAAATGGCCTTGCACTCGCGAAGTATCCGAATGAACTGCTGGTAGAATTCCTCCCCAACTTGGTTCTTCGTTTCGGATAGAACTTTTCTGTTGACCTCCAGCTGAAAGTGCTCAATGAGCAGTAAGCACATTTTTACCAAGTCCTCCAATCGCTGCTTATCATACAGCTTCTCGGTATCACAAATCCCAGACGTTAGAATTTCTAAGCAGCAACCAAGTAGACAGCGACTGTCTATTATCTCCTGAAGCGCCGCCTTGAATTTGGCTACCTCCTCGTTGAAATGTTGTTCTAGGATTTCCGAGTGAAAATCAGTGCCATGAGTCTGAAGAGAAGGTATTAGAATGGTATCTAGCGACTCAAAGGAGGCCAAACAGCTGCGCATCATAGTTTTCACTGAAAAAGAAAAAGTTCGACGATTAGATTTATTCCATATGGTCATACAGTCATTCTAACTTTTTAAGTTTGGCGCAAAGGAAATAGCAAAAATTCCTATCTGAGTGGCCCGATCGATGTTCACATCAAAGTCTGCTATAAATTCATCGGCGATTTCATCATCTTCAGAACTGTTCCTCAGCAGATTTCTTATTTTCTCCACGGAAAATTTATCAAAGTCCATGAAGCACGTGAAAACTAAACGCAAAAGGGCATCGTTGATAAAGTCCTCCAGTTGGTAGAGTGCCTGTTCTAGGTTTATGGCCCGTAGCTTAAGATTTGAGCTGTATGAGGCGCTGGGCACCTTGCACTCCTCTTGAAAGACATTGCACTCGCGGATCACCTGGGAAAAATAATTTAAAACGTTGATCTTCAGGCCTTGGGTCTTCTCCGAGATAGCTACCTTCTGACACAAGGCACTTAGAGCTTTTTTATCCTGCGACAAAGCCACATTGGCGAATCCCAATGATTGTCCCAGAACAAAATCTATGTCGGTACGCAACTTTTGGCTGATTGAAAGGACTTCCTGGGGTGAGTTAAGAGAATTTAAGGGTTCGGTATTCTCTTCGTTGTGAGAAGTAAACAGGGACAAAGTGTCCAGTATGGAATCAACCAACTTAAGAAAGGAGCGCTCCGGAGTAAGTGCATCCTTACTTGAGCCTTCGGTGTATAAATGCAGTAGACGTTTGAGGCACCACCAGATGCGATCCAGAAAGTATTGATGGCTGGCCTAATAACACAAAATAAGTTTTATATAATTGTTTAATCAATTGAAGCATTAAACCCACAGAATCTGAGGAGCCACAACCCAGTTTAATGGTGTTTTCCATTTGGCGAATGCAAATCATAATCTGGGTTAAACAAAGACAAACCAACTCTGAGGACTCGTTTTGCTTTTCCGAGCACATGGAGCTGTGCACCAACGTGGAGAACTCCAAAAGCGCAGCGCACAAGTCCTGTAAAAAATAACAAAGCAACAAGTGAATATCCTTTTCGCCCAAAAATGTCCCTTTTTTCGCACATTTAACCAAATTTTATCCCCTTTATTTTTTCTGTTTAATATAAGTAGGCAAGCTTCTATTTTCTTCCTCAGAACTTCCATTATTAATTGTAATAAGAAGTTTTATTTATATCTAGCAAAAGTAAACAACTTTTTTAAAAAGGTGGCTTGAGTTTTGTGTGATTGGCCAAAAGGCAACCTTGCAACATGTTTGGCATATTTTCTGTCAGTAAGTACCGAAATCCTTTTGGTATTTGGATGGCCAGGGCTGCAAAGTATTTTAAAACAATTAAATGTTTATAAAATTCAAGAAATCAAAAAGTTTGTTGTTTTAAATAGTCTGCGCTTGAATTTGAATCTTCAAAACAAAATTTTTTATTAGACATAATTGGAACACCCTGTGTATATTTGTATTTATTTTATTTGATAAAATGGATTTTGGTATATTTTCATATATTTCTGACAATCTTAGTACGGTCCCACTGTGCGCATTACTTTTTCGGTAGCAAAAACTTAACTTGTAGAAAATTGTCAATTTGCTGGTAGTTGTATATCCATGTGAAGCAGAGATAAGCTCCAAACACACTCCCGTCGCCCACGCCACGTCGCACAGTCGCGCACCTCTAGAAATATCAGAAAGCAGGCCTAAGAGACCAAAAGAATCACGGAATATGAGCTCCTCGAATGCGGGACAGCGCACCAAGCTCATCCAGGAGAAATGTCAGACCCTTCTGACACAGATGCTCCGCGACGAGGACAACAAATACTGCGTAGACTGCGATGCCAAGGGTAAGTTCGTCCCATCTTCCGGATGGAAGATACGCCTCTTGGTGACGCACGAATGTGCATACATACACACCACATATGCAAATGCACTGTGAGAAAAACCATTTTAGCGGTTAGCCTTTAAATAACGAACGTTTTTTAGGTCCCCGCTGGGCTTCCTGGAACCTGGGCATGTTTCTCTGCATCCGCTGTGCCGGCATTCATCGCAACCTGGGCGTGCACATATCGCGGGTCAAGTCTGTCAACCTGGACACTTGGACGCCGGAGCAGGTGATCTCGCTGCAGCAGATGGGGAACTCGCGAGCACGCGCGGTCTACGAGGCGCAGCTGCCGGATGGTTTCCGGCGTCCGCAGACGGACACGGCGCTAGAAAACTTCATCCGGGCCAAGTACGAGCATAAAAAGTACCTGGCTCGTGAATGGGTGCCGCCCTCGCCACCAAAGGTGGACTGGGCTAAGGAAATCGACGAGGAGCTAGAACGGCAAAAACGCAAGAAGAAGACCACCCAGGCCCAGGCCACTTTGGGGCTAGGGGGTGTGTCCAGCGGGGGAGGCGACAAGCGACTATCCGGTGCTTCTTCATCAGCCCTGAAGAATTCGCCCTTGCCCGCTCCGCTGCCCAAGCCGAAGCCCAACCAGGTGGGCGGTTGTAGCCCCAAGACCACGCAGCGCGTCCAGCTGAACAGCAGCGGCGCCAGCAGTGCGGGTGAAAGCGACCTTTTGGGTCTGTCCTCGCCCACTAAGCCCATTGCCGCGACTAGTGCCAGCCAAGACCTGCAAAACGAAAGTTTCACCAGCTTTCTCAGCGCCGAATCGATTGCCGGACAGCCGGATAAGCCAAACGGCAGCAACGGTGATACTGCCAATTTAATGGGCTCGAAGCCGAATTCGTTAGCCCAGGAGGAGCAGGACTTCTTCAACCAGGGTTCGCTTGGCGCCTCCGGCAGCGAAAAGGACCAGTCCGGTAAAATGTCCAAGGACAGCATCTTGGCTCTGTACGGCAATGCGCCGGCCGCCCACAATCCCCAAATGAACTTTGGTGGCTTCACTGGTATGGCGCCGGGCGGATACATGCATCAGCAGCAGCAACAGCAGATCCCTCACCAGTTCATGACGCCCCCGAACTCTGTGAGCATGTACAACTCGCCAGTGATGGCTGCGCCAAACGCGTTTAGCAATGCGCCAATCAGCAGTGCGACTGCCATGAGCATGGGCGTCAGCCATGGCTTTGCTGGAGCCCAGTTTCCTAGCACAGGCGGAAGTCCTTTTGCCGCCGGAGGGCAGGGTGCTGCGACGAATCTTATGCAGACGAACCAGAGCATTCTCAGTGGGATGCCATTGTTTGGTGCGGTGCCACAGCAACAGCAGCAGCAACATCACCCGCAGCTCGGCGGACTTTCCATGAACTTGATGCAGCCCCTGCCCAGCGGACTGAACATGGGCCAGCCACAGACATCGGGCGGATTTGCTGCCGCCGGCTCAACCACCTCCTCAGTACCATCAAATCTGAATCAGCAATTCGGAAACCTTAATATCGGTAATGTCTGGCAATAAATACGAAGTGTATTTATATAGTTGTATTCCTTTAATTAATTTTAAGACACGAGTGCTTGTCTCAGTGTTGCAACATGTGTGTGTGAGACGATGATACTTGTTTATATGCATTCGATTTGTACAACAACTTGCCAATTTAGTTAGTTGTCCTGAGAGGATTCGGAGCGAAACTATACGTATTTATAGAAGAATTCATTGTCAAGCAAGCCATTGTATTAACCGATGTTCATGTTCACCAACGATCGCGTCTGCTCGTTCAAATCTATTCCAATTATACCATAATACATAAATACACGTGTAACACCCAACTAATTAAAATTGAACTACGAACTTAATGCACTTCTCAATCAAATGTACATGTTATTTCGGAGCATTAGCTAGGTATTTGGTACACAGGCATTAAAGAATCGTCCACGCCGGGATGTGAATGTAAAGTATAGAGATTTGGCAATGTACTTTTTAAATGCTTGATTATCCGTAAGAACATATTCACGCCTGTTTGTCAATGTGAATCTTAAATATCATGGCTGGGGAGCCGACGGATTTACTGTATTCGATTTTTAAGTTGCTATGTCTAAGGAATAAATCAAACCACTTCGAACTGTGTAATAATAAAATATTCAGACCATTGTAATGATTCGGGTATATTATTGGGAGGTTTAATGTTCTATTTTTATTTTAAGAACAGAAAGTTCTTTTTATTATTGGACATTTTCAAAAAGGGCAGGTAATACATTTTTGAGGTATATTTAACGATTCAAAATGGTATTTTAGGTATTTAATATTTTATATCCGCATCACTTTAAAAACAATAATATATACATTTATAATAAAAAGGGTACACAGTACATACAAAAATTGTGAATTTTCGATTTAAACGTGCAGCTTAACCAAATAAATTATTTGAACTTTTCCCGCACGATTTGCCAATCGCTGGCAAATGGCTACATTTGGCCACTCACCCCAAAACGCCAGTTGTGTTCACCGCTTGCAATACACGTCAACTTGAAAAATAAATAAAACAAAGCGAAATAAAAAGATTTAAGCCATCGAGAGTGACACAAAATGGGTGACAAAGTGGAGGAGAAGGGGCAGAAGCTCCAGGATAAGTCTACCAGAGATGCGTACTTCGCCAGCCTAGCGGAGTGGGCAAAACAGGCGACAATTGCTCAGAATGCAATGCTGATGTTTCCGTACTACTTGATGGCCAATTACCCGCAGCTTTTCCAGGGTCAGGTGCCTTCAGCTGGAGTCCAAGCCCCCACTCTGGGTCAGCCCAGTCTCTCTGTTTCTTCTCCACAACCAGGTCAAGTGCAGGGAGGCGCTGCTCAGCCTGCCTCGCCTGCTGCACCTCCGTCTCCGCCGGTGCAAAACTTTAGCCGCCTGCGAATCATGGACGAGGCGCAACAGCTAGAGACCATACAGCGACTCGGTGGCTATGAGTACGTAGTGGCACCCTTTTGGAAACGCGCCGTGGCCGAGACCATCGACGTGTTCATCCTGTTTATCCTGAAGATCATCGTAACATTTGGGGTTGTCAACCTGTTCGACATGGAGTTCGATAAGGACGTGATGCGACGCGCGCTGGACGAGGACGACCTGTTCGTGAATTTTTTCGACATTTCGTTAGACTTTATATCGATGTCCACCGACCTGCTGCTAATTGAACTGCTGACTAAGCTGACAGTCTGCTGTTACGAGGCATTGTGGACATACCTTTACGATGGGGCCACGCCGGGAAAGTCGCTAATGAAGATCCGCATACAATACGTTGAGGCGGTCATGCCGCTCCAGGCGCCCGTCTTGCCACAATTTGTGCTTCAGCCGCAGAGGGAGCCAATGAGGGCCTTGCTCTATCCGGCACAAACGCCATCGCTAGTACGCTCCTTTGCCCGCGCCCTCGCCAAGAACCTAGTAATGACCCTGCTGTTCCCCATCTGCGTCGTAATGATATTCTTCAAAAACAACCGTACAGGCTACGACATCATGACGAAGACTATAGTCGTGGAGACCAATTCCAATGCCGCATTCCGCACCCAAGTGCCACCGCAACGCAACCGCTAAGCAAAGCCATCGCACCAAAGCGTCTAGGAACTGTGCTCTCTCTCCTATGCATATAAAAATAGACGTTATTGTTAAAGCTAAATTTAATGTCGTTAATGTACTGATGTCCTGTGAAATAAAATTAATTCTCATACAAAAGAGCCGGAAAGTCCTCAACAGTTATCGGATTACTTTTGATTTATTCAGAAAGTAAGTTTGCATCAGCTTTTACAGGCGGTAATTTTTAGCTTATTTACTCATTTCACATTGACGTTTTTGAGGGTTTGGGCCACTACGTTGCCCTTGCCGGGAACATGGAGAGGAGCGTTCTTGTAGCAGGCCACCAGATCGCCGTTGGTCATCAGATCCGGGGCGCAGGCCTCGAAGATCTTCTTCTTCGGATTGAGCTGAGCATCTGGCTGGCGAGGATAGCCCTCGCAGTGAACCAGATCACCGGGAACAGCGCCGGCCGGCGGACTGAGCACCTCCACCTTGTCAGGTGTCGAGGCGCACATGACCATCGCCTCCGACGTGACGCCGCGCATTTTGGCCGGTTTTAGGTTGCACATGACCACTACCAGACGGTTCTGCATCTCCTCGAGCGGCACGAACTTCACCAGGCCAGAAACCACTGTGCGAGGGGCCGCCTCGCCGCAGTCAATTTTCTCCAGATACAAGCTGTCGGCGTCGGGATGGCGACCCACTTCTACAATTTTGCCCACACGCAGATCCAGACGGCCCACGTCCACAGGCGCCTCTGGAGCGGCCGCTGGCTTCTCGGCGGCCGGTTTCTTTTCCTTGACCTTCTTGTCCTTAGGCTCCTTAGAAGACTTGGCAGCGGGAGCTGGTTCAGATTTCGACTTGTCAGTGGCAGCCGATTCAGATTTCGCCGACGGAGCTACTGTAGCCGTATTGGTGCAGAATCCCCGGGATCCTGGCACTGGAATCTGTTTCTTGCCATTTCTCAGCTCCAGCTGCACCAGTTGAGCCAAGGCGGCCTCCACTTCTTTGGCCAGTTCGGCGTTTTCCTTGATCAACTGCTGCTTCTGGCGTTCCACAAGTTGTTGCTGGAGGCCAGAAATCTTATGGGCAGAAGGTTATCGAACAATTTAAAAAGGGCAGACAATGTGTATACTTGCCTCCGCTTCTATGGAGTTGATCAGCGATTGGGCACGCTCATTGTTGTTCGCTATTTGCTGAAGATCGGCCATGTTTCTCCTGTTTTTCGCGAATTTTATAAAATCCAGGCCGTACTTTTTACATGCGGCTCCCACAGTCGTGGCACCTTTGCGCAGCATAGCCGTTCTTCTTCTTTGTAGCGACAGTCGCCTCGCGGCTCATTGGACAGGTTGTGCTGTTGGTTTTTTGGGGTTTTTTGATACAGTCTAAAGACGGTCACACTGATCGGTGCAAACGCAAAAACGGCTGGCGGAGTTTGAGCAAAAATTGTCCAAAAATAAACAATAAACAAACGGGAGGCCATCACCGTGCTGCAGATGGATTACGTTTACTGCGGCACCGATTCAATCGGTGCCTCCGACGACATATTAAGTGGGTCAGGGGGTCGCTTATAGCTCTAAACTCTCACAAGCACACGTACACACACATTCAAGGAAACTGAGCTTTCTCCTTTGTTTTCTGTTTACTTTTTGCAAAGGTGTTTATGACGCGGGATCTGCGCAAGGAAACGGACACTTTTCACCGAGTTTCAATGGCTTCAACATCGGCAGCACTGATCCTGACTACGTGGAACTGGTACCAGTGCTCGCTGACGGCGGAGAGCATTTTGGGGTTTCCAGCGTGGCGTTCGATGACTACGAGGAGCTGCTTTGGATGGGAAACCAAGGAGTGAGTCGAGCCGCACTACGCCTTAAAATGTCTACTAATCAATTCCCCACCCTCAGGGTCACGTCACCTCATACTACACCAGCTCTATGCAGAAGTACACATCCTTTCAGGTGCACGCCAGCGATATTGTGCGTCAGATCACCACCCTGGACTCCGGAGTGCTGGTTCTCACACAAACCTCTCTTCGTCACCAAATCCGCAGGGGTCTTCCTAAGTTCACCTATAAGTACGGTGCACCCTTCTTTGCAAATCAAATATCTCGCATTCATAGTTTAAACTCCTTGTAGATCCAACAACATGACCGAAATGGTGACCATGCTGCAGCTGTCGCCTCACCGTCTGGTAATGGCCGGGCTGCAGGAGGAGCTTATTGACTTCGATATGCGCGCGCTCAAAGAAACTCGACTCGAGCATGTGGGGGCTGCAGGCTGCACTGTGCTTCGCAAGAATTCCCGCTTTTTGTTCGCCGGCGATCAGATGGGAACAGTTACATTGCGCGATCTGAATAGCTTGAGTGTTCAGCACACAATCAAAACGCACACTAACGTGCTCTCAGACTTTAGTGTCCAGGGCAACCTGCTCATCTCCTGCGGTTACAGCGGTCGACAGAATAACCTGGCCATCGACCGCTTCCTCATGGTCTACGATCTGCGTATGCTGCGCATGATCTCGCCCATCCAAGTGATGATTGATCCGCAAATGCTGAAGTTCCTGCCATCACTTACATCCCGCCTGGCCGTGGTGTCCAGTTACGGCCTGATCCAGCTGGTGGACACCGTGGAGCTCAACGAGCCGCGAGTCTCCATGTATCAGATAAACACCAACAACAGCCAGTGCCTTAGCTTCGACATCAGCTCCTCATCGCAGGCCATGGCTTTTGGCGACCAGTCCGGCCATATCAACATGATTGCCGCTGTGCAGACGCCCCAGCCGCAGTTCAATTCCTTTTCGCGAAATACAGAGTTCGCGGATGTGGTGCCACAGCTGCCGATGGTTTCCATTACGGACACTAACTTTCCGCTGTCATCGGTCATGCTGCCCCACTTGACGACGGGCACACAATGGTTTTCCGACTGGCCGGAGGAACTACTTTGCTACCGCTACCACAGACCCAAGACCATAGATCCCGAAGTGCTGAACAACATGAAAATGCAGGGACCCATTGGATACTCGCCCAATCCGCGCACCGCCCGTCGAAATCAAATTCCGTACGTGATTGAGCAGGGCGTGTGCAGCACAAATGGGAACGGTGCTGCAGCGGTGACCAAATCAGAGAACGGCGTCAAAATCATTCCAAGACGGTATCGCAAAGTCGAGTTGAAGTACACAAAGCTGGGCACCCAGGACTTTGACTTTGAGCAGCATAATCAGACTTGTTTTGCTGGATTAGAGGCAACCTTGCCCAATTCCTACTGCAACGCCATGCTTCAGATACTCTATTTTACAGAAGCTCTGCGTGTTAAACTGATTGAGCATTCCTGTACCAAGGAGTTTTGCTTATCGTGCGAACTGGGCTTCCTGTTCAACATGCTGGATAAAAGCACCGGTTAGTAAGCCTTTATTATCAAGCTGCTCTTAGTTAAAAATTCTTTCTTTTTGCCTTTAGCTTCATCCCCATGCCAAGCCAGCAATTTTCTGCGCTCTTTTCGCACTGTTCCAGAAGCCTCGGCATTAGGCTTGATTCTGACAGATCGTTCTTCAAATGTCAATCTTATAACTCTTATACAGGCAAGTGATACCATTGACTTTAAACGAGATATTTAATATATGCACACCCTCAGAACTGGAACCGATTCATTTTGCATCAAATGCATTACGAAATCTTCGATTCTAGCAGAAACCCATCCGCCCCAAGCGGATCTGTGCAAACATCAACAAACGGTAATAACATTAGATCTGCTGCTAGAAAGATATTCTCTTTATGTTTATTTTATAGCAGAAAACACAAGCCCTTCCGAAACAAGTGGCGCCCCTGAGTTGTATGATTCCATATGTGGTGAGCAGTGGAAAAAGTTCTATTTATTTATATAATTTACATCGTTTAACTCAATTTTAGCAGATGGAAATTCCAAAGAGGACGATCGGGAACGCAGTAAGATTAACACAGAAACAGAGATCAGTAAAATCTTCGGAACAAAGCAAATTTGTGTTAACCGCTGCATCAAATGTCAAGTGGAGAAATCAAAGGAAAACATCTTACTCGCCTGCAACATGTCTTACCCGACTCATATCAAAGATAGTGAGCAGTATTTCAGCTTTGGTACCATTTTAAAGCGTTCTCTCAGCACGGAGAAGAGCATTCAAGCTTTTTGTGAGAACTGTAAGAAGTTTTCGCCAACAAATCAGAGCGTTAAGGTTTGCTTCATAACTTTAAATGTCCAAAATATTGAAAGAAATTATCAAACTTTAATTTAGGTTACATCTCTTCCGCAAATGTTATCCATTAATTGTGGCCTCAACAACGAGAAAGACATTACGTTTCTGAAGCGCCAATTGAATCGGTGCAACGAAAAGCCGTCTGCCGATGCAACAGCATCTTTAAGCACTAGTAAACTGTGTCGCTACGGAGCCAATTGTTCAAGAAGCGACTGCCATTTCATGCACCCCGATCGGTTAGTCGTCCTATAACAGCTAACTAAAGTTTACTTGGTCTTACCGTCTTTTGAAATCTGCAGAAAATCACCATCGCACACTAACCAAGCAAATAACGTCAGCAGTTCTCCTAATGGACGCCAGAAGTCTTGGTTTCCTTTAACGTTTACCATGGGCATCAACGAACAAGACGAGCTACAGGTGCAAACTCAGTCAGATGCAGGTGCCGGTAAGTCGGAGCAGGACGATGAGGCCGAAAAGCCGACCACAAAAACGGCAGATAACAACCGGATGTACGCCCTACACGCTGTGGTCTGCCAAGTTGATGATGGCACCCAAAAGAATTTGGTGTCGCTTATCAATGTGCAGCGTCAATATCACACTATGAAACTGGCGGAATCCCCAGAGGACCCTCAGAATCAATGGTACATCTTCAATGATTTCAGGTAAGTTGGTTTGTTTATAACAAAATAATTTCGCCTAAACATTTGTAACTTCGTCCAGCATTTCGCCCGTGTTGCCCCAGGAGTCAGTTTGGTTCACTTTGGACTGGAAGGTGCCATGTGTACTGTTTTACAGGAATGTCGAGGATGATTCTGAATCTGCCAGTACTACGAGCTCCACTGTAACAGAAAGTGATGACACCGTTCCATCGGAGAGCAGCAGCGACTCGCCTACAAACTTAACCAACCCCTTTTTGGAGGTGATTACTTTAATTGCTTTCTTTTAATGAAAAGAATACATTTCGTGTCCATAACTAGGACATTACAAATCCAATACCAGGCAACGTGAGTACGGACGCTACACTCAAAGCCCTGCAGATGGATGAGATGCCGCAGTCGGGTGACCTGGTCGCCATGGATGCTGAATTCGTTACACTAAACCCGGAGGAGAACGAAATACGGCCAGATGGCAAGACGGCGACAATCAAGCCATGTCACATGAGCGTGGCCCGTATTTCATGCATTCGAGGGTAAGTTAGTTGTGAAAATGAAGAAATCATCTTGCGATTTAAACACCAATTCTTTTTTAGACAAGGCCCTAATGAAGGAGTTCCGTTCATGGATGATTACATCTCCACTCAGGAGAAGGTAGTGGATTACCTAACACAATTCTCGGGCATAAAGCCTGGCGATTTGGACGCCAATTTCAGCAAAAAGCGATTGACTGCTCTTAAGTACTCATATCAGAAATTGAAGTATTTAGTCGATGTGGGCGTGATATTTGTCGGACATGGACTTAAAAATGATTTCAGGTGAGAAAAACTTCCAAAGATGTTTGGAAACAATTTATTCAATATTGATTTTTTAGGGTCATTAATATTTATGTGCCGTCCGAGCAAATAATTGACACGGTGCATCTGTTCCACCTGCCACATCATCGAATGGTGTCCTTGAGGTTTTTGGCTTGGCATTTCTTAGGTTTGTACTTGCTCTATTTTAACATCGTTTACTTTTCTAATCACATCTTAATACGCGGTAGGTACAAAGATTCAATCCGAGACGCACGACTCCATCGAAGATGCACGGACCACTCTGCAGTTGTACAAACACTACTTGAAGCTGCAGGCAGAAAAGAAGTTTAGCAACGCCCTTAAAAACCTTTACGAACGCGGAAAACTACTTCAGTGGAAAGTGCCGGAGGACTGAATAACTTACTCGAACCTGTTGCCAATTCGACGAATTCGACGCATAATCAAAGTAATCGTCAGTACAAACACTATACCGATCTAAAAATCCTGGTTTTTCTCTATTTAATTATGCTTTAGTGAGTTTCATTTTTCTCTGGAGCTTCAGGTATTTCTTTTTGTATTTGTATATCTTTAAAACAAAAAAATGGAAAAAAGAAAAATTGTATATCTTATCCGTGGATATTGTTTGTTTTTATTGTGCTCATTGAAAGGTCCTTCGTCCTGCATTAGTTTTCAAAATGCTAAAGAATTTGTTGTTCTGTCTTACCTTCCGACGTTTTAAACCCCGTGGCCAAGTCCCAACCGCACTAAGGAATAAAAATGTTTATAAAAGTGGATTATAAGAGCGAACTTAAATCTTGGAAGAACTAAACAATTTATTTTAAGAGCATAAAAAACAACTCAAAAAGCTTACTTATTTTATGACAAGAAACATAATTTTCTTGCGTGAGGTTTGGAAAAACATTTAATTTAACTCATGAAAAATATTAAACATTTCTTTTCGAAGATCGTCCGAGACCTACTCTACGGCTTGGTTGCGTTCTTTCTCTTGCCGTAGGTTCTTCTGGCTGGCGAACTTCTTTAGTCGGTTTCGTTGTTTGCTTTTCAGTTTGGGCTTGGGATTTTTTGTTCGTTTTATTCTCATCTGAAGCCCTAGTAGTTTTGTTGGCTCTCGAACCTTTTTTGGTCTGTGGTAATTTTGTTGGGGTTTCAGGTCGCTCTTCCTCTGAATCATTGTCTTGAGGTTTTTCTGCAGCTCTTCGACCTCTTTTTCGCTTAGGCTGAGAGTTTTCTGTTTCACTGCTAGAAGCCCGTCTCCTTCGTTGGCCTTTCTGTTCTTTGACAACGGACTCTGGTTCCTCCTCATCAATATCCTCAGGATATGTAGTAGATTGAACATCTTCATCTTCATCCCGATCTGAATCGTTATCTCCGATATTGCTGTCCTCTGTCGAAATATTGCGACCATCGGAGATGCTGCGCTCTATAGCCGCTCTTAGATCTGTCGATTTGATATCAAAGTCGCGCATAGTTCCCAAGTGCAGGTAATCTGTTAGCCTATTCTGGCTTTTAATCTTTTTCGACAGTAGAATAATATGTTTGTTAAAGTCCTCAATAACCATTATCACCTTTGGAATCAGACGGGTCTCTCTTAAAACTTTTGCACGCTCTGCATCAACCTTTCGCTTTTTGATATGCTGATGCGCTTCCTCATCAAGAGTATTTGCCTCTATGTACGTAATAAGGTCATAAATATTCGCTGGAAGTTGCTTACCCACATCGCGTAGTAGCAGTTCAAATCTGTTGGGGATTAAAACACGGATTTAATATCTTTAGAAGATTCGCTTAAATAAACTTACTTAGTGCTGCGAATGTTTTCTATGCTCGACTCGGATGCGTAGCTTGATATATAGTGTTTGGTCAGGTTTTTCATACAAGTGTAGTGCTGAATTAGTAATTTCATAAGGCCATCCATTAAAGAGCCCAGAGGAATGCAAACGTTGGTAAGTACAAGCAAAGTGCGAGATATGTGGATTATTTGTGTGCAAATGGATCGATCCATCGCATCCAGGTTTCCTCGCCAATATATTTGATCGATTTCGGGAACTACCTGGCATTTAAAGTTTAAATTATTCGCTTTGGTCACAAAATAATCCACATCGGTCAGCTGCTTTTGGATGGCTAAGTAGAGATGCTGTAAACAACTCTCAGCGGTCACTGTACTTATTGATTTTAAACTTAGCTCCACGGAGTTTGATGGCGTGTCGTCGTCTTGGACGCCAAGAACGAGACCCAGCTGCCTGGCAACACTTTCAAAGAACGGACCTAAATGCGTTTTTTGCCGCTGAACAAAAAGCATTCTGTGAACCAAGCCCATTTCGCTATTGAGAATTTCGTTCTTGATGCAAAAGTTTAGGAGCCATGTGTAAGATTCGGTGGCGGCACGTTCTCCATAGTCGATGTGGTCCAAAATAAGCTCCAGTGATTCCAAAAGACAAATTGGAACCTTGGCAATAAACTCATCTTTGCAAATTGATTCATCACTGCCAAATTTGGTCATAAACTCGTCTAAGACATCTTGAACAACATAAGTAACTTCCTTGTTTCTGTTCCCCTTGATAGATGCCATATCTAAAATGTAAGCAAAATAAACATTATTATTGATTCACTATTCATTGTTCTCGCGCTCACCAAAAGACTTGACAAAGTCTTGAAACTTCTTGGAATAGACTTCATGGGCTGTTTTAAGGCACTCCGCAAAGCACTGTGTTGCTAAAGCGGATCTCTGCATATCAAAGTCTTTCCACAGCATCGGCAAACGCTGAATACAGCGCTCATAGATGATCTTGGTTATGTCCGTCAACTGCTTAAAAGTGCGTTTGCTGTAAGCAAGTTGCTTATAATCAGGCTCCCCGCGAATGCTTTCCACTCTACAAGCCGTTACCGATAAAACATAACGAACAAGGGGCTCATTTGACCGTAAAAGTAAAGTTTTTTCGGGAGCAGCAAATGCGACAATGTCACTAAAAATTATTTAAAAGTTAGTAAAACTTCAAATGTTTAAAAGCCATGGACAACTTACTCGAGCAGTAAATGCAATAGCTTGTCTAAAACGGCTAGATCCCAAATATTTTCAGGTTGCGTACACATGCTCTTTACTGGGACACCGTTCATAGTCAGATTACACGCAGATGTGCTATTGTTCTTAGCCGTTTGCTTTAATTGCTTATGGGCTTTCTTGGAAGCATCAGCCAATGCCCTAAGACTTTCCATCAGCTTGCCGTGCTGGTTAAATAGCGGCAAAATTTGAGAAATAGCATCGTTTTGTGGCTTGGATCTCAGCAATAAATGACTTATTATTCCTTCAATAATATTGAGTTGTTGCAATACAAGAGCACATTTCAGATGTGTGGCTGGGGGAGCCTAAAACATTTTGTAATAGTTAATTGTTATTAGTTTATCTATTATTTTTAAGATTTAAACGTACGATGTCTTCCAAAGTTAACCTATTGGCCACCATGCGGTCCACACAAAAACCCAATAGGCGATTCATTTCACGAGTGTCGTAGCCAGATGGAGCTCGCTCAAAAACAGCCAAACAATTGGCTACGAACTGTATTAATCTGCCCAGGTTGTCCTTAAGCTGAATCTCCATATGTAGATCATCATTGGAGGTAACTAACTGATCGTAGCGAATGCGAAAAACCGTGTCCACGTCGTCATCGGACTCTTCTGCAGCGGGAGTCTCAAAAAAGCTACGAAAGTGCCAATCGATTACTTGAAGTACATGGGGCACTAGTTTAGCATTGAGCTCGACGGCCCTTTGAAGATCTGTATAAAATGTGTTTAATTAAGCACTACTTCTGTATTTGAGAATTTTCGACTTACTTTCATAGAGGGTGCATCGTATATCAAACTGTTGCTGCAAGCAGTTTCGCAGCATTCCAATAATTTCCAAAGTAAGCATGTCGAAATTTCTCTGTGGATTGCTCCGACTCCCCAGTGTGTTCTGGGTCATTATGGAGTAACCGGAAATGCTGTGTTGTGTGCAAAAACTGGTGGCACTCGATGTTTGCCGGACAGCATTGCTATTGTTAAGCTGCTTCAAAATCATACAGAACCCATAAATGGCCATTCGTCGCTTTTGAATACCACTAGAAAATAGTTCGGTAATGAATTTAAGCCAAAATAAAAAAAAAACAAAGTAAATATATCTACCTTGAGCTCATAGCCTTGCAAAGCACATCAATCAGAGCATCGCGAACGCGATTGGAAATCTTCAATAAGGGCAGAATAAAGTTCATCATGCGCATAGATTGCTCACCAGACAACTGCATATGGTGCAGAGTTTTTATTTTATTGCTGCATTATACTATTATCTAAACATACCCATTGCATATGCTCCATAACCGTTTGAATGGGCTTAATGCACTCTGAGACGGTATACGTATCAGCCACACTTAAAAGTGTAAGACATTCTAGAAAAATAAATATTTTAGTTAAATATATTTTGTAGCCAAAGTTTTTTCCTACCAGAAAACTGATTCTGATCCTGGTATACTATCATCCACTCGGAAATTAGTTTTATAATGCCTTGGCCAAAAATAAAACATTTGCGAATAAATTTTGTTAGAAATGTAATGGCCAATGTGTGCAGCTTGGGCGAATGGGATTTTAACAGGTAAAATACCAAGTGGACAAGTCCTGGTGTTATCACATCCTTGCCTTCTTTGTTCTGATCTATAAGCACTGCGAATACCTGCTGTAAATCTACTTGTTTGCGTTGCAAAGAGTCACGATACCACACGGAGTAGTCTGCCAATGTTCGCTCTTCTTCGTTATTTTTAATGACATTACGCAAAAAGGGTAGCAAAATGGAATGTGATATCCTGGCAGACTCTGGATCACGATTTATGGTCGTCATGGAAATTATTGCGCTGAGCATAAAGGGGGTGAGGATCACATCCGGCATATGCAGGAAGTTCTGAAACACGGTGCAGATAATGAAAGGTAATTTTTAATAGCCGGTAAACATGCTTACCCTTAGCATTATAGCCAAATGTTTTTCAGTTAGCTTGTACATGGTACAGTAGTTTAAATGATGCAGGATAGTCTCCTCTGCTTCCCTTAGTTCCTTGTCCGAATAAGAGTCTAAAGAGCGGGAGATATATGACAATATATCAAGGTCCTTGATTACAAACTATTAAGTATTGTAGGCCCACCAATGCTGTCCAAGTTAGTTGAGTTGCTACACATGTCTGAGAAGAGACGTTTATAAAAATTGCGATGAAAATATTTCTCCAAGGCCAGTAAGGGAATAATTAATTGGGATGCAGTGCTGCACATTGAAAATAGCTGGTAGCACAGGGCTGGCAGTTCCATGGGTGACAGCTCTTGAAGGGCACCAGAGAATTTGTTGAGCACCGTCAGGATCTCTGCACTGCTGAGATTCATGGACCTAGGGAAAACAACCGATAAGGTAGAGCTTGGAACTCCCACTTGGTTACTTACTTGAACATGTCTGCAATCGGAGTAAGGATCGTAGCTGGCCATTGCATGGTAGCTATACTTCTTACAGTGGTATTCCTGAACTCAGTTCCGTCCATTGAGATGCCGTGCAAAAGAAAACGCGGCCTAGCCAAAAGCAGGGACAGCGCATCTGGCAGCAGGTCCTTCCAGCCCACACACTTGGCGTCCCCCTGGCGAATCCCGTCCATGCAGTGTTCTACCATCCAGGCCAGCTGGTCGGAAGGAAAGGTGACAAGGTCCTGGGACAGACGCGTGATCAGGTCAAAGGTCTGTTTGTAGCTGAGTTCCATGCTACTCAGTCCATCCATAAAGCTGCGAACGCAGTCGAATCGCTTTGCAACTGCCTCCTCGCTATCCGGATTGAAGCCCAGGAGCAGATAGTTCCAAAAAGTTATGCCCTCGCTGCGGCCCATTGTTGCCTTTAGAGTGTCTTTTAACTAAAAAAAAAAATTCGTTAAATGATTCTGATTTGTTATTTTTAAACACTTTACCTCTTTAATTGGTGTGTTTTGGATCAGCAATTCGAGTTCATTCTGACGACCCTTCTCCCCCAGGTTTCGCATCCACGTTAAAATTGAATCTCGTGCCATTCTTGGCTCTTGTTTTGTGAAATAAATTACGATTTAAACAAAGTCCCGCCGAATTTCTCCAACTACCGCGAATTAATATGGCAAACTCACGATGAATCTTCAGATTCAGACTAAATAAATTGATATCGATATCACGTTGATTGGCGGGAATTTTGAAACAACAATACTTAAATAGATTTGGTTTAAGGGAAGTCGAAATAAATCGACGTCTATTTAATGCAATACCTACAAGTCTTTTAACAGTTTTTTCGGGTGACTAAAAACCTGCAACAAGCTACGGTTAAAATCAACCCGACTTGATCCGGATCTTAACTAAGCATTCGCGCTTAAATATGTTTGCCAGTTAAAAGTGATCCAGAAGAATGGAATTGCGGACGGTTGTGTTCTGTAAAGGACTTGTTACGTAGCGCCTCTAGCGGACGCGTTTGTCTAATATTCAAAGATAACAACCGATGGTGGGGTGATTGACTAAGGCCCAATACTCTATTTCGGTTTCTTTCGCACTTACCAGAAAACACCCTTTCACTCGCACTCATTATAGTGCGCAATAGCGGACTGACGAATCTGTCGAGACTACCTTATACTGATTCTACCATGGTCCGTATAAAACCAAAAGCTGGACTGCATCGCCAACAGTTGGTTAAAGCTAATCGCTAGGTGAACAAGTGAAGTTAATTAACAACTTAAAATACAAAATGTGCGGACAATTGAAAGCCCTAAGAGTGGCAAGCGTAGCTCTGGCAGTGGTGCTCCTCCTTCTGGCGGGGAGTAGGAGCATCGAGGCGAAGCCCATGGATCTGTACGACGACGTGAGCGACTTCTTTGACGCCATCTCTCTGGACGACGTGGCCAACACCGGACGCAATACCCATCCGGAGCAGTTCTGCCTGATGCCGGCGCGCAAAGGTGTTTGCCGTGCTCTAATTCCCCGATGGCGCTACGATCCGGAGCAGAAAAAGTGCGTCGAGTTCAAGTTCGGTGGCTGTGACGGCAACGAGAACAACTTCCCCAGCTACAAGGAATGCATGTCTACCTGTGAGGGCATGTAGTGTCTCCTGGATCCGGATGAGAATCGGTCCCACTCCGGCCGATAAGTTGCCAAAGGCGTCTGCTTTTCCTTCGAGCTCTGCAACAAAGCAACAAAGCGAACCAAAATCTTATAATAATAGTATACTCTAAAACTCACGCACATCAGAATCCATGCGATTAACAGTCTCTTCTACCTAATATTTATGTAGTTTCTGTCATTGATCCATTTATTTTATACTTATTTTTGGGTGTTCAACACCTGATACCCGTTTAGAGCTTAAGTTGTTGTGATAAAATATTTTTATTGAATAAAGATTTTTTTATAACGCCAACTTTGAAGTGGTTTTTATCAAAAAAAATTACACCAATATATAGACCTATATTTGGCTTAAATTTGTTGTATTTATGCAATTGTTAAAATTTGTTTTGTATTTGACCAAGGTGTGCATTCCAATCCTTAAACCTAACTTCCCGTCAATTTTTGCCTAAAAACGTATTTTCTAGAAAATTCTAGCAGCTTGAAATGTTTGTAGATAACCCAACAATGAATTCAAACTTAGGTAAAGAGGTAACAGGTTTTGCGAATATTTATAAACATAGTTTTGAACCACTGATTGGGTTACCTAAGCCAAAAGTAGCGAAAACAATTTTCAACGGCCTCAAAAAGTGTGAGAGATCGCTTGGCGCAATTGCCAGAGGCAAGTATCAGTCGAATCAGCCTTAACTTTCATAGATTTCACTTGGAAATGGTCCAAAGCAAGCCCGTACTCACAATGCAAAACTGGCCCATTCATGCGTTCGAGCGGTGATCAATCGATCGATCGATCGATCGCTCTAGACAAATGGCAATAGCAAACAAGATCACAAGCTGCAAAGGTCGAATTCAGGCGGATGAGTGGACCGCGTCAATGGGTGGTGGTAGTTGGGTCTAGGCAAACCACTACGTCAGCGGTAAAAATACGCACGGATACGGTACGAAGTTACTCGAATTTGGACAGATGGACAAACAAACCGGTGGGAAACCGATTCCAAAAACCAAATCCGAACCAAAGTCAAATCAAGTAAACATAAACAATTGAAAGGTGCGAATTTATGCTAAGCCGATTGGCAATAATCCCGGCAAACTAAGGAAAGCAACAACACAAGATTTAATTCATCGAATATGCAAACATAAATGGAATTCGAAGTCAGAGTCGCTGGAGCGAAGCAGCGCCGAGGGCAAAAACTCGACTTCGGCTCGGAATAGTTTCTCGATCTCGATCTGGGAATGGGCAAATTTCCAAGATTATTGTGCGGGCCTGCACTCGATCGAATAAATAGTAAATGGGTTCGTTTGCGATCAACAAAACCGTTGGATCAATGACCTGAAGCCGCTTGCCAAAACAAAACGCGAAAATGCGGGCCCAACCGTGGAGTTGCAACATCCCCACAGCGTTGGACCGGCGACAAATGGACCGGCTGCTTCAGCTCCATCCAAGTGTTTGATACCCTTCTACAGACAAAGTATGGTCAGTGGGCAATCCCACCCATTGGATTTGTATTTGAGACTTAATTACATACTCTCTCTTAGATCGTGCAAAGGAACCACGACCCATAGACCATAGAACTAAAAATATACGTTAAAACTTACCTAGCAAGAAATTTAACAACGTGACGAAATTAACGAAATTAGATTAATAAATTTGAATACTTCTTGTCATGATCATACCATACTATCATATCATAAATAAAAGGTACATACATACATATGACATAAACGTTAAATAACTTTCATATCTGTACATATTTATAACTCGTTTAACCAAAATCCACACATAACTTCTAAAATCACTAGTTTATGGAAATATAGTAACTAATTATTTAAGTTTTATATTGAAGAGTGTTCAATGTTGGCCTTCCCCATTTGTTTTTCATAACTCTATCTAGCCCAAACCCAATCGGTGTCATAATTAATAAAGTTGGTTTTACTAATTTACAATGAAATTTGCTCAGCAATTTACAATTTGTGAGGAGAGTGAAGGGGAGCAGCGCTCGAGCTTCAATCAAGTTTGCGCATGCGCAACGCTTTTTGAGTTTTCTTTGCCACTTTTCGATGTTCGATTTTCGCAATGACTGCATACGGGTTGAGAACTTGGCTAAGCTTCTGGCTAACTCTCGCCCATTGGGAAATAATGCCAATACAAATGGCTAGCAAAATGCAGCCGGGGAGTCAATAAACCTTTTTAACCTGCATATCCACAGTGGCAGCAACAACAGCCGCAATTGCATCAAAAGCAGCCAGCATGGAAAAAATAATGGCAAAACAGAAGGCAAAGAAATTTAAAAAATTTTCGCCGTTTGTTGTGGGCTTTAAATAATTAAAATGCAGCACGCCATGAAAAACTCACAATAACAAATTTTCCGGCTTCAGCGGCCATAAAACAAATGCAATTTTTATCGCAAATGTTTGCAGTGCGTATTTTTCCTGACACTCAAGCTTATTTATTGAAGGCACGTACGCAGAGCTGTGCAGCAGCAAGTCAAGAGTCGGCCGACCACAGGTCTCAACAACAAACCTTCAGCGTATCGAACGCCCCATCCTCCGAAACCTTTCCCTCTAAACCACCATCCGCTCAAGTCGATGAACCTAAATATAAACGGCTTGTAAAAGTCGGTTCTTCGTTTTCCTCTCCGCTTTTTTTGCCGTTGAAGCCGGTGGTGGGAAAAATACATAGTAATAGTAATAAACAAGGCAAGCCCATTATTGTTGTTGGAGCCGCTGATAGTGCAAATATGCATAATGAAGCGTAGACACAGAGCCCCTATGCGTAATGGAAATGATAAACAAAAGCAAAGAGTGCAAGTCTTGTTTTAGCGGCGTATACGTAATACTGGTTTCTCCTGAAAAAAATATTTTTGATAGATTCTCTTTCGCCGGCACCTAAGAACTAAAAAGATAACTTTTATTTATTTTTTCTTGCTGTCAATCGAAAATATAATAACAAATGTATCACTTGTAATGATACTTTAAATAACAAATAATTTTCACTTAATTTTAGCCCAATATTTTGTGATAATTCTATGTTTGTATATAGAGAATAAAAGTCATAGCTCCCGCTTCTCTAAGCACTGTAAAGGATTGTGCCTTAACGAGGCTCACAAGATAACAATAAAAGGCAATACATTCTAAAAAAAAAATAATGTTACGCTGACAAATTTCAAACAACTTCTTATCAGAACTTTGTGTTGATAAAACCTCAAAACCAGAGGAAATAAAAAAATAATCTTGCATCGGTAAACCGAAGATCGTGTACGTTTGCAGTTAAAACTAAAATTTCTAAAATTTTTGTCACCAAAATATTTTTTTGTTGGAAATATTCTATACATTGGAAAGGTTTAAAAAAAGTTATACCAATTTTTTGTGTTATTATAACTTATTTTTAACACAGCTAGTTCGTTTAATGTTACAGCCAGAAAGCGTTTAAACTGGGGGGATAGCAGATTGTGTAGCAACAAATTTATAGACTGAGACGTCTAAATCGACTGTTATAGAGATGTCTCCCAAATTTCGTTGCAAACTTCTGATTAAAATTGTAGAACACTTTGCAAAAATAGTGAAAAACCTCACAGATAACACGAAGAAGATCCACAATTAGGACGTTAAACACTTATCTTATCCATGATGTAGTTTGACAAGCCAGTAGAAACAACGAAATGATGAACTTTAGTTACTATATAATTTATCGACTTTTCCAATTGCTAAATACAATAATATATAATTATCATAGACTAAAATACACAATGTAAATATATTTTTGAATATATATTCCGATTCTTTAATATGTATATATACTTTTTATTGGATTTGTTTCTTTCCGTTGATTAGAACAATCGATTGATAGGCGTACGGAGCTTAACTTTCCTCTAATTATGCTCTCTGTTGTTAGCGTAGCAAAATATGACCATGTAAACATATACAATTAGTATTAGCGTAACTAGATCTAAGTATTATCGTTAGTTCTCTCGTTTTGCTTTGTTTCATTTTATCGTCAACGTTCGAGATGCATATGCCTCTTATTTAGCGCAGCATTTCGCTTGCTTTGTTTTTGTGTTTAATATAACATTTCGACATTTTGGCTTGAATTAGAGGATGGGGCGTGGAATATGGCTTAGACGGTAGCATAAAGATTGTATAGCCCGGCACGGAACACAAACGGAGAAGCATCGAAGGGTGGAAACCAAAGCGGAGCCGAGTGTGTGCGCGTGTAAGGAAGGGAGCAAGTAGTAAATATTAGCAGGCAATGTCCGTGGTCACGCTCTTGATACTTTCAGAGCTGAAGTGCACGCAGCCGTACTTGCAGACCAGCGTCCACACATATGGAATGAAGAACTCCTCGGGAGCGTCCTCCTCGACGTACTTAAACTTAAGATCCGGAAACTTCTGCAAGGGAGAAACGGTATAAATACGCATAGTACTTGATTTGTTTTTCTAGGGAGTTTATAAATTACCCTTAGCCGATCGCTGGACCACTGACTAGCGCCCTTGGAAATAACCTCAAGCACTTCGTTGACGCCGAGCTCACCTCGCTGCTCTTGTACTCTTTGTAGCCGCGAAGAAAAAAATCCAACAACCTGGCGAAGAAAAGGGTCAAAATGCTTTCAAAATCAAAAATAAATCTCCAAGACCAACCATATCGATGTTCTGAATGACATCCTGGAAGGCGTGATGACTGCGGAAGCCCTCGAAGACGCTTCGCTTGTACAGAAGCGTGTACACTAAGTTGGGACAGTAAACCAGTTGGTTTGTTAGGCAGGAATTCAGAATTTCCAGCACCATGCGCAGCACCTCCTCCAAAACGCTCAGATCCTGCAGCATATCCTCTGGCGTCGCTGAAACGTTGACAAACACCGCGCTATCGGCCGGCTCTTTAAGCTGCGCATCCAGGCGCGTGTGCTTTCGAGCCAGCGTTTCGAACAGCGAGACCAGCCGCTGTGCCACGTAGGGATGCAGGGCACGGAAATGGCCAGACATGTTGGCCAACGCCGCCAGGCAATTGGTGTGCAAGTACTTGTCGCGCATCTTCAGCATGTTGTACTGTATAGTGCGGATAACAATTAAGATGAGGATGCCGCCCAGCGATATCTCCGATATGGTGCGCTCCGTGTACCAGGTGATGTTTTTCAGCATCTGTAGGAATCGAAGACGTGTCAGATAAAAAATTTTTAGGTGAACGTAATGGTCTTACGATTGTGTGCACGTTCTTATTGAAGCCCTCGTCCTCACTTAGGATCAGCAGAACGATCAGCGACATGTAGATGTGATGCGAATTGCTGTCAGGGGCATTGTACAGTGTCTGGAGAATAGGTATCACCAGTTGCTCCAGATCCTGTTGCTGCATGACGAAGCGATAGAAGCGCTCATTGCGATGGAGCAGTAGATATAGCAGCAGAGTGGCCTGGTCAATGGTGACGATGAGGCACAGCGTCTCGTAGACCGCCGAGAAGTCAATCTGGAAGGAGACAGCGCCCTGTTTTGGCGAATCCTTGGAGTCGGCGCAGCCAAACAAACTGGCTCTGTACGCGTTTTCCTGCGCCGTGCAGTGGTTCGTCAAGATCAGGATCAGCAGCAGACTCTGGTTGGCCAGTGGATAATGCGTGCGAAATCGCTGCGAGAGCTCGCCACTACCGGCAGCTTGTCCAGTCTTAAGCACGTCCGGCTGCTTGCGAAACGTGAAGATGGAGAGCAGGGACTCGGCGATGCCGAACACGAAGGATCCGGCCGAGCTGGAGCCGAACATGGTGTGTGGTACCTCAACCATTCGCGCTACAAAGTGCAGGAGTGCCGACATCAACACGTTGGCATGCTGGCACTTGTAGACTGTGCGAAATACGATCGACTTTTCAGTGGGCTGCTGGGCGAACAGGTGCACCGACAGCAGGGTAATCAGCATGTTCACGGCCTCCAGGTGCAGGTGGTAGGTGAACTCTTTTACGGGGATCACAACGATCAGATTAACCAACGCATCGATAAATGTCTCGAACTTGGACCCGTCCACAATCACCGGGAGCGCAGCCGCCGCCGACTGCTCGGTGGCTTCCATGGCAATGGTGGCGCTCTCCGCCGGCGTCTGTTGCTGCTGCTCCAAGGCCGCCTGGAGAAGCTCGGCGCTGGGCATCGCCTCGAAGTGCTGCAGCAGCTGAAACTCTGAGCCCGTTTCATTTATGTACTTGACCAGGCTACGGATAATGAAGAGCGCGTTGAAGGTATGCCAGACGTGCATGTTGCTTTCCTGGTCGGACAGCGAAAGCAGCTCGCTGGTCTTCTCCAAAAAGACGGTCACTAGAGAGCCAAAGTTGCCCGTCTTAAGGTTGTTGCCGATGAACGACTGGCACAGCCCCTCAAGCCGGCTGTCCAGGTTGAGCTGGTCCTGGCTGAAAAATCCCAATCAACAACCAGATTTCGCATTAGCCCTGCTGACGTTGCCGCACCACTCCTCCGCTCACCTGTTCTCCGGCAGCACAATGTTATAGTTGAGCAGCGCGCTCCAGAAGGCCTCGTCATCGTGGGCGATGTGCTGGCGTCCAACGAAGCGCTGTAGCCACTGGTTGGACCCCAGGTCGGCCGTCCTGCTGACGTTGATGCCCATTCCTCAGTCCAAAAGAGTGCTGTTGGCCGGCCAATGGTTATATTGGTGGCACGTCACTTGATCATTGGGCGGGGGGGTGAGGAATGCACGGGGACAGCGTGACCCTTGCGCGGTGCTACGGAAATCTTCGCCTAGGCAGTGCTGCCACACTAATCTATCGAAAGTTGCCGCTAAATTTAAATGTTCCCCAAAAGGATATAAGCTAGTGTGGGATCAATCAACCAAAAATTATTGGAGTTTTTCGGTTCTGGCGAAAAAATAGAGTAACACATTTATTAATAAATGACACACAGAAAACTTAAATGCCTAGATAAATAATTGAAACAATTGATTAAAATTATTTTAAGACCGTTGGAGTAATTACTGTACTCACATTCTATAATCATTCTATCACACATATTTGGCAATATCATTTCCAAATAATTATAATCATAATATATCTGTTTAATAGAATTAGTCGAGCTGATATCAGTAAATTAAGATTGCGATTAACAATTCCAGGTGGACACATGTTCTTTAAGTTGACAATAAAAAATAATTGGTTTATTTGGTCCTTGGAATAAAACTCTTCGAGCAGATACAGATAATAACTCCAGACGCTATACGTTGACTTTAAAACGGAAAACAAAAATAAAAAATAAATAGTTTCCAATTGAATATAATGCATTTATTTGAATACGGAACTATAACTAGTTTCTTTATTGGATACTGACGCAGCCTGCTCAGCGCTCTGTTATCCAACGAAGTCATTTTTGTTCTATCCCTTAGTCGTTTCTCTGGGTTTCATACAACTTTAAAATAAATATACATATATGATTGACTTGTTTACACATAAAATAGATAAAACTAAAAAGGGCAACAAAAGGCTATAGGACAATTTTTGGATTTCCGTAACTTTAGCAAATCTTTTTCTCCACCATTCCTTCATTCAGATTGTTTGCTGAATGGCTACAATCATACACGATTATCACAAATTTATTCCTTTTAGTTGGCGCTGCACCCGCTTGTTGTGCATGTGTAAACAAGAAAATATATCTATATATGCGTATAGAATTTTATCGTCCTGCATCAGTCTCCGTTTAGATTAACGAGAACATTGCAAAACAAGCCTCCATGTCCGATTTCCTGTTGTGTTTGTGGTGAGTGGATGACTTAACTTAGGCAAATATACACGATGATGGCGGATGATTGAACTAATCGAATGTGTGATCTGCGGACATGGTGCTCTGGCTCCTCATCGCTCCTCCTGCCGCTGGTCTTTTGGCATGGCTTCAATCTTCGTTCTACCCCTTGGCAAGATCTCCACCTTAGAGCTTGCGTAGGCCCTGGTGCTTTTGCTTCTTGGCCAGCAGCTGTTTCAGGCTGAACGACGAGAGTGCGATCCCGAAGACAGCCAGCATGGTGGCCGAGCGGGTCACCACACGGTTGGGCGACGAAGAGCTAGTCGTGTACCCATGGCTGCAGTGCGTCGCGGCCTGTGTGGACAACGACGGCGCCTGCGGGAGATAAGATAGGAGAACCGATTTAGGTGTCGGGTATTTATAGCTAGCCAAACAAACAATAAACTTGGCCCACTGCCCGACGGCCCCCGCCCACATAGGCAAACTGCGCAGCAAAAATATTTTGCGCCGGCCGTTGGCAACCAGGTTCAAGTGCTCCGGACGCACGAAAGCTATTACCCCACACGTTCCCACGTTCAATGAACTGGTTATGAAGGGTCGATGTAATGCCTGATTAGTTAGTATGCCTCCCGCTGATATTTTTTTGCGATAGGGCTGTGATGATCTCCATTTCCCTTATCATTTGCATTCAGCTCCGCTGACAATCCCAGCTTGAAAACGCTCTCCGGATGACGCAGTTGCCGCGACCTCCTTTCCAAAGTTCACATTTACTGATAGGATGGCCTCTCGTTCGCAGCGCTATCTGTTTGGGCCACTTCAACATGCTCTAGACGCGTGCCAGGCATTAATAATTCGCAAATCGCGTCGCAAAAAAAAAAAAACAAAGCGGAATTGTTTATAAATAAACGAACTTGAATTCTTGTCCGGTGGCTGCATGTATAATTTCATTTGCAAATTTATTTCAAATACTTGAGTAAGGCAAAATTCCATCTAATTATGAGCGAGGTGATGAGAGTTTCGCATCCGTGGTGGTTTCCAGGTTCTCGATTAGGTGTCTCACCGTCTGGGCGCGAATGCCTTTGCCGGTGGATTCTATGGCCAAGCGCTTTGGACGTCTGCCACGAGTAATCGGCTTTGCCTCTGTGCAGTGGCGCTTGATGGCGTCCAGGAAGGGCATAGCGGGATTTAACTCCGGAATACTGATAATGATGTTGACAGCCGCTGGCGGTGTTTGCGGTTGAGTTGATGCTATTCTGGGCGGAGTGCTGAATGGATCTCCTTGGGGTTTAACGCTGGGAGACGACTTTAGACTAGCGGGCAATAAGGGTATTTCCTGTTTGCCTTGGCAGATGGACTTTGTAGGAGTTTTGAAGGATGACAATTTGGGTTTTCTGAGGGAAATGGAGGCTGGGGGAATCTTCAGCAGCCCTACCTCCTTCTTAATTGTTAAGCTCTGACTTTGTGGATTTTTTATTTTTGGTGAAGTTCTTAGTTTTGCTGGCAGTAGGGGTAGTTCCTTCTCTGCTATCACAGCTTTTGGTGATTCCTTATGTTCGGAAATGTGTTCCTCTAAAAAACTTAAATCCGGTAGTTCCAGCTCTGGACAGGGCTTAATTTCTAGAGGCTCTTCAGTTAACAGATTCGGCATTGAGTGCAGATTTTTATTGGATTCAGAAGGGGAGTCAACTGAGTCCGCATCTGTAGAGGGGGTAAGTTGTTGTAGCAATTGCAGTATAAATTCGTCGTCATCGTCTGGATCAAGTTCAGCCAATGGAACAACATCCGGTGAATGAACTAACCGGGAAGGAGATTTAAGAATTTTAAGGGGATCCGATGGTGGAGCAGCTTTTAGCTCTTCCAGCTCCTCATCCGAGGAGATCTCATCGTTGTGCGGCCACAAACAGCTCAGCGACTCGCATTTCAGGAGCTGCTCCTCTAGATTAATATAGAAGAAACGCAGCTTGTGGTCCTTGCCCAGACTTTGACATTCAAGGCACGCGTCTCCCGGCTGCAGTTTCTCCATTTCGAGCGGCGGTTGTGGGTGGGCGCTTACATGTCCGGAAAACTCACAGGTTGCCCCCGAAACGCGCATGCTGCTTCCCGATTTTCTCGATTAAAGTGCGAGTGCTCACCTGACCGAAGGTTAAACGGAAAGCGTACAGCCCGAGATTGGTTGTTTTCATGGTCCGCTTCAAATACAGCAAATCGGGACCTGCAAGCAATGACACGGTATCCGGTTATTCGAGCTTACATAACCCGAATTGATTTTTCCCCCGAGTCTCTGTTTCTCTACTCATTGTTTGCGAGCGACAGCCAGAGAAAAATGTGTTTCTTATCACTTACGTTTCGCTTAGCTTCTGAAAACTGAGTGGGTCGACGCTCTCTGACGTTCCTCAGGCAGTGCAGCCAATTAAAACAGCAACGTTGCTAAAATTTGGCGAGCAAATGAAAACCAAGAAAATAAAACGATCTAGAACGCATGTGAGCAGCAGAGCAGGGTTGCCGGAAGGTGAACTGCTCTTCAAAATCCAGTTGTTGACCTAAGTTGGCATCTCCAACTTTGAATTGGTTTGAGCCCCGGATCTTTTTGAGTTGCTAAGTTAGTGCTCATTGAAAACTGTGACTTTATTTTTATAACAGTAGCTTTATATAACGTATTTAGGATCAGCAGCCTGTGAAAGAGCTTTCTTAAAAAATAAGAAAAGTTTGTCGTTTCGTTCCAGTTGCTATCAGCTGTTTTCCTGTCGAAAAAGGGGCCGTTTGACAACACTAGCTTCTCAGTCGGTGCATTGGATTTTATTTCATAATTCGCAGAACGAGCTAAATTTAATATCCCCACGAAATGGAGCTTTCCGAGGGAGTCAAGGAGCGTCTGGGAGTTGTGGTAGATGTCGTTCAGACAGGATTGCATTGGGGATTCGTCCCCCTGGTTCTGTATTTGGGTAAGTTCTCATTCATGTTTTTATCTGCCCATCCACACGCGGATGGTAAGAAGAAGAAGTCTGGAAATGCTGTTATCCGGTATTGATTTTGTCTATTTTGTATTTTTGCAGGCTTTATGAAGGGAGCCGAGCCCGGAATGCCGCCGTTGAACGTTTTCAGCCTGTTGTGGCAATAAAAAAAAACCATCCGACCTCAACACAAACATTTCCCCGTCTCGTGCCCTGCATTTTGTTTCAGATTGGATTTCTGGGCACCTGCGCAGTACCTGCACTTATTGGAAATAAATTTCTGTTACAAAAAAATTAAAATTTTGCCATGTATCCTTAAAACAATGAACTTCCTACTAAAACACATAATTGTCGAAGAAGTTTTTTGTTTGGGTATTTTCATCGTATTTACTGGCGGGTGACTGTATTTTTTAGACAGCCCAAGTTGGTCGCACTATCGCAGATGCGGTCACACTGTTTGCAAATCCACACACACCAGCGCGGTTTTTTCGCAGCGCAAAATTGTATATTTCACACAAAATAACAGCAATTAATACAAACAAACGGTTGGACTGGACACCCAAGAGTGCCAGCCATCTCGCGAAACAAAAAATTTTTGTTATTTGCCCGCGCCGCTGCCCGAAATCACGTGATGAAAATCCGCCTGAAAAGTCGCCCTCGTCCGTGAAATGTGAAGCAGTTTTTCCAAGCAAATTGGGCGGAGTGTGGAGTTTGAGTTTGATAGTGCGAGCCCAGTCGAAATTCGAAAATCGTATGAATCGGCTTACCAAATATATATAATGCCCTCGCAAAATGTGAGCTTCCGCGGGTGCGGGTCCTACGCGATAAATGCGCAATTCGGGGCCAATTAGTGGCTGTCTGCGGTGTCCTTCGGCCGCTCCTCCTGCTCCTGCCACTCCTTCACCTGCACGGAACAAGCTCGTTTGCAGGCCACAGACTTTGAACTTGCGACGCGCGTGTGCGTGCGATCGCGGAAAACAAAAGAAAAGCCTACAGGCAGCAAACAATAACAATAACTCGAGTCGCACACTATCGATGCGAGAACAAAATATGTTATCTGCACCCCGGCTAATCTTCCTGGGCGCTCTGCTCGGCGCCTCCGTTTGCGGTGAGTTCCCAGGGCTCTGTCAGTCCGAATCAGGTGCGAAACTAACCTAAAATGTCTTCCCCCGCCCGAGCAGCCTCCCCCATTGAGTATGTGATGGACACCAGTCTGAATGGCTCCCGGTCCGATCCTGCAACATCCCATTCTGGAAAATGGTCACCGACGACAAGGGTGCCGCCAGCGGTAAAGGCGCCGAATGGAACAGCTGGCTTGGCTTATCAATCGCCATCATTGTCGCTTTCCGCTGATAACAGGAGCCACGACAACAATAACAACAACGGCAACAATGGCACGGCTGTCACCATGCTGCTGCCGCAAGACGGTGACGGATCCGGAGCACTTGTCACCGCTGCCCCCCAACTGCCCATCTACGTAGCTCAGCCTAGCGCCAAGAAACCAGAAAGTAAGTCCCAGAATGCCTTATAAACGAAGAGCACACTGAGCGATAAAGTAAGTCTCGGAAAATCATAATTTGATAAACAGAAACAATTAGATTAATTGACCGGCCCCGTTTTTACTTTCGCACGTTTTATTTGAACTCTATTTGGATTAACTCCACTTGATAAAATGGAAAGTTTAAATATTTTTGTTTATTTTTTTTGAAGGTGGGAAAAAAAAAAACGAAACAAACAAATACTTATACATCCTTTTTTAGTACCGGGATTTTTGTATTGGTTTGTAGTGGATATATACAGTTTGCCACTTTAAGTAAAATTAAATAAATCCAAAATAATTAATGATAAGCGAATAATATTTAAGTGGCAGAAACTGTGAGCAGAATTAAGCTAGGTTAATAACCTTCCTTATAAGCGTTTTATATTTCGATATTATAAGCTTAAATAGAAAGTTTCAAGTGCACGAATTTAATAGCATTGTGATCAATTCTCTGTGTGTATATCGCGTGACTGTAACACCTCAAAGACTCTGAATTCTTTTAAACGGCCGTCTTCGTCTTCGTCTCCGTCTCCGTCTCCGTCTCTGGCTCCGATACCAATTCCGTTCCCATCTCGTGACGTCAGCTTTCGGTGTGGTGTCAATGAGCTGCGCCAGACAGCTCTCATGGCCCACTCCAACGCTGCCTGGCAGCAGACACCCCCACGTCTGGATGCATTTCCTCGCTGCACTCGGGCACTTGCAACTGCAGTCGGTACAACAAAATAGAAAAAAAAAGCAGGCCTAAGCACTGGATTCTCGCAGCCGGGGCAAGGAAAAACTGGTCGCATTGTCTGGCCCTCCACTTTGCACTTGTCTTCTCCGCGTCTGCTTTGTTAATGCTAAATGGTTTTGTTTTTGTTTCATCACGCTCTCGGCTGTGTCGGTGGATGTGGATGTGGATGTCTGTCTGGGCGAGCGTGTGCCCAGCCAGGTGCCCCGGGGCATGGTTATAGCAAAACCCAACTTGTGGCTGAAGTCGAAGGAAATACCAATCCGCAAACGGTTGATTTATAGATCTTCGTTCTCTAATTAGTTAATTTCTGGCAGCACCTAATTGATTGATTTGATTCAGTCGGAGTGTGGGCATTTTTCAAACACGATAATTTAGTTATTTGTAAACATAACCAGTGGCAGTTTTAATAAAATTCGCATAGGTTTCGGCCTTTTAACTTTACTATACTATACTATACTATACTATACTTTACTTTTAACCTTACTATATTAATTACTATCTCTGTGTTTTCAAGGCGGACAAGGCATTGACATTTTTAAGAAAGAGCTGAAAGTCCTTAGCATTGACTTTATTCATTAATACCTTGTTAAACCCATATTTTGTTTTATTTATGAAATAATTTTTTCATTGCTTAAAAACCATCATTAAAAACTTTTTATCTGGTCAAAACTTTCTCCATATTAAATTTATTTAATTTAGAAAATTGCTTCATGTTTTAAAACATTTATCTAATAGTCAAGTTTTCCTTCTTTAACTCGCAGGAATGATCAAGTGCCACTGCGACATTTGCAAGGAAAAGAACTACATATGCGAGACTGACGGCTACTGCTTCACGTCGGTGGAGAAAAACGCGGACGACACCATCCTCTTCAGTTACAGGTGAGTCCCCTGCGGCCAAGGGAACAGGCCGTCGAGTAGGTTAGCACTTGCCCCCAGAGCAGCCAGAGTGAATATATCTGATCCGAATGACCTACGGTGCAGATGTCTGAATATGTCGCAGAGCTTTCCGCCGGGCCGCTTCATTTGGTGCAACGATGGTTTGCACGGCGGACCCACGGCTCGGCCGGTGGGACGGAGAGGTGCCCACGCCTGCTGCAACGACAGTGACTTCTGCAACCGTTTCCTGCGGCCCAAGACGAAGGACCAGCCATCTAATCCTTTGAGGCATCAGCTCGGGTCGTCGGTCGGCGTCGAAGGTGCGTGCGCTTCTGCACGTGTTTCGCTCCTTAAACCCTTTCCCTTCTGACTGCTCCCTCTTTTTCTGTTCACTCGCACGCCGTTCAACAACAAGTTGCCCAGTTTTGATCATACTTTGGACTGTTTTCCCACCACTTATGCTCGTTGAGTTGAAGTTTTTTGAAATGATCATAACCCGAAATGCAGAGCACTACTAATGATGACCTTCTGAAAACCAGAGTGGCGTTTTAGACATTGTTTTAAATATAATTATAATACTTTTATTGCTACTAACCAGACTGAAATCTCAATTAGCAACAAGCCGAAGGCAGAGCAACCACAGCAGCAGAAGCAGCAAACCAACCACCAATGCCAAGCAATACTAATTTCGTTTAATTGTTATATTTCTATATCTCCCGAATTATCTTCGCTCCCTTCGGCCTCCACTCGACTAAATCGACTAAATCGAATAAATCCCCGCTCGTTTGCATTATTTCACGGTGACGTAGGTGCCTTACTGTGAAATACAATATGCAGCGGAAATTTCCCCTTGAATGTCTTACCAGTAACGAAAAATTAAATTCGTTTAGGATTGATTGCTGTCAGAGTGATTTCTGCAATAAAAATGAGATTATGAAGAGGATATTTGAAACAGGTATTGCCACATTCAAGTAACAACAACCACACAACCAACTACAATACAATTTCTCTCTTTAGTTTGCACTCTTTCTCTAATTCACTCTTTCTAATTATGCACTGCATCAATATGATTAAAGTAATAACAATGCAATAATTTGTAATAATATTTTTGGTTTAGTATAGTCTCTTATTCTTCAGGTCGGCTCAATGCCAAAGAGTTGCCCTCAAGTTTATTATTTAACTTAACTATTTGCACTTTTTTCCGCTTTTCGGGCTCCCACCTCTATTTTCCTCTGTTTACACTGTTTTCTTTTATTTTGCTTTTCCCCGTGGCACAAACACACACCATAAATCTTATACGGAATCCAGCTTACACCTTATCCTAATAAATTACACGTAACTCTATGCATGCCAAAGTATCTTTGCAAATTCGAATCGTGTTTGTAGTTTGTAGATATTTGACTTTTACTGAATGGGCGACTTTTTGTGTCCTGGGGGCATTACTTGTTCGCTATCTTTCCACGGGAAATCTATTGCTTTTCAAGAATATTGTTCCCCATTTACGAAATTCTCTGGCAATATACGAATTTGGGGTTATTTTACAATCCTAATGGTTTTAGGGTTAATAAGAAACGTGGTTTCTAAACTATGTTTTCTTGTCTTCTTGTTTGAAACAAGCAGATTTGTTCCGATTTTCACTTTTGAGTTATTTAAATAAATAAATGGTAAATTGACGCTGGCAGAACCTAATTTGGATTTAATGTCCCGAAAGTGAAACGCGGAACTTGCCTTGCAACCTGGTGTAAAAGAAACCGACCCCACATTTGGCAGTGGTTCCTCCCACATTTCTCTGGCATTTTGATGGTCGACAGTCTCTGCTTACTGCCTTTGCACCCAAAACACAACTGAATCCACCTGCTGCAGCTGCAACAATCAACCCAACCCCCTTCCTGGCTGAGCTACCACCAAAAATAAATAAACAAAAGCTGCTGCTACATTTTAGCTTGTAAGTGGTAACAATAGCTTCTTCTCAACTGCACACCGCAACAACTACAACAAGAACAACCAGAACAAGTGCTAATCTCCAACTACCCCGAGAACTAGAACCTAATTTAGATGTAGTACTAAAAAAAAAAAAACACCTGCTAAAGCAATCTAGTAGATAAAAGCAAAATCCAACTAAATATTATGTATGTAGATGCATAACAAACCAGTTGCCACCCGAAGATCCGACCCCGTGCAAATTTAATTCGGAGACAGCCTCCTCAAAGTGCTGCACCGAAGATTTTTGCAATACGCGTGCAAATTACAGTGGTGTCATACCAGGTGAGATCAGCAATGCACCGCCAACAACGCCACCCAACACCCAACACCAACACAACCACCCCCACCGCCACCCAAAAATCCAACCCACCAGCCATCGAAGTAGCCACGCCCATGCCATTGCACCACCTCATTTGAGTAGTTTTTTTTGGTATACTCGAATTTGTATCGCATCGAATTCACACAAGAAACGCATACTCGCATAAGCATACCTGGCTAACACACACACACACGGCTTCGCACAACCACGCTTTAAGCGACCACCCCCATCCCACCCCAGTTTGCGTCCTTGTTTGTCCTTCGAGGGGAGAATAGGTACGAAACCACCGACCCTGTTTTCCCATTTTATTTCGTTAAAAATTATAGTTTTATATTATAAATTAATTATTAAACAGCCAGCAAATTGTCAATTACAAAGAAGATCTTGAAGATACAATTATTCATTGTCATTCGTTTCTACCGAACTATCGAATTTTAATATCTAATTCTTATTCTTATATTAGTAGCTTTATTAAATTTAATTAAATTCAATTGGGAATAAAATGGGAAAGCTGGGTTTTATTTCGCTCGTTCCAATTCGTTGTTTCGATGGTTTGTCCTTGTTTATTCGTTGACCGTCTTTGCCACATCTCAAGTGAATCATACGCACCACAATGTTACCTTGTCGGTGGCCTCGTCTGCTGGCCCACGGCACCACCACCACGCAACCTCCACCCCTTATTTAGGCCGCAACCTTTCACCTGTCAACTGAGTTATTTTGTCTGCTGACCTTTTGCGTCATCATCGTATTGACTTGTTAAAAACGCATTTGAGAAGGAAGTAAGCAAGGCATTCAAAGCAACAACAAACCCGTCTCAAGGGCCTTTACTGGCAACAACACCAAGCACCCAACCACTCAACCACCCAACCATCCAACCACCAAACAGGAGAAGAAGGTGGAGTTTCAAGAAGCCCCTGCAGACGATGGCCTTGTTTGCCCCCTCGTTAACTCCCTCCATTGTCCGCCCGCTCCTCCAACTGTCTGTGCCGGCGTGTCTCGGTGCTCTGTGCTTGGTTCAGGGTGTGTGTGTGTGTGTATTTGTGTGTCTGCCCTTTTTTCTGTTTATGCAGTTTCTCGCCATTCATTCATGTGCAATGCCGCTTTGAAAGCTGCAGTTGCAACTGCAAGTTGCAGTCAACGTTCTCTCATTTCATTCATTAATGGCCGCATTTTTTACCCGCCGTCTGCCGCTTTTTTATACCTTACCCTAGCAGAAGTTCCATTAGCCCACTCATAAAGTGTTGAAATATACAACTTATTATTTATTGCAGTCTGAAAAGCTTATCTGCAATTAATTAAGAGGATCCATGCTGTTTAATTTTAAGACTTCTTTTAGATAAAAATACAAATTTATAAAAAAGAGCAATCCCAAAATAAGTTTACTTCAAATTAACATGGACATTTTTAAAAAGTTATTATTTCTGGAATTTCTTTTCTAAACTTTTGTTTAATGTTTATGTTGTAGACTAAGCTCTAGTGAGAAAATGATTTCTCCAAGTTTGAATGGGTTAAAGCAAAGACTATAGAATATCAAGATGTTGCATGACCTCAAAAAAATCGTTCTATGGTGGGTCTTGATATGGGGACCCACATGACTTTGCACTTTTAAAGGCAGCTAAGACCATATACTCAATTAGTTCGCCCCGCTTCATGAAGCCTAGTGGTGTTGTGGTAGATTCTATGCCTCGTGTACATGAAGGCCCGGGTTCGTATCCCCGCCGAGCCCAGCCATATCATAAATTGTTTTTTTTTTTTTTTTTTTTTTGTGTAAATTAATTAATTATTTTATTTTTACATTTTTTTTTCAATTTTTTGTTTTTATAATTTTTTTTGCGTTCATGCAAGTGGTGAACAGCCTGATACAATTATACACGGTAGTCCACTCGGCAAAATCCATAGTCCCCTAATTTAACTTTGTCAAGTGAGTGTGAGTGAAACGGCTACATTGTGCTTCAGTTTGACAAGCGGCACGCACTGAAAATAAGGGACCAAAACCGAACGACTTCGGCAAGCCGAGTGGACTACCTTGTATAATTGTATCATGGTGAGCAGCAAAATACCCTAACACGCGTATGTACACGCGCATGTGTGAAAATTTAACGACACAATTATCTGAATAAGGAACATTATTAATATTGCACCTATGAATTCTTTAATTTAATTATTATAAACGAAAAATTATGATTTAAATGAAAATTAAAGAAAATAAAATAATAATGCTTTACAAGTCTGATATACCCTTCAACTACTGTAAAGTGTATAAAGCCTGATAAACTGAAAATTGTCAGCTGTGAACAAATTTCCACTTTGGGAACACGACGAATATTAAAAACGAAGACGAAAGCCGAAAGCAGCAGTTCGTCGTGTTTCTATTTTTAGATTTTCCCTTTTTACCCCGACCGACCCCATCATGAAGCTCGAAACAGAAACGAAAAATTTTTTGTATGGGATGCAACATCTTGATATTCTATAGTCTTTGGTTAAAGTCAATGTACAACTTCTGAAAGGGTACTGAAGCGTCGGAGCGGCATATTTATTAATATTGTTTTCAGTAGTTTTTCGCTCATTTCCATTGCACTTTTGTGTTTGTTCAGTGGGAGGTTGGTATGTTTGTGTGTGAGTGTATTAGTTCGTCTGCGGAATATCTCGGTTGATAATCGGGTTTGGACTTGGTATGTTTTCTGTGTTTGTAAACAGTCAAAAATGCGTTTATTCTCGTTGATACGTTTTTCATTATTTAGTAGTTTTGAAGTAGTTTTAAGCCCGTTGCCGTTGGTATGCAAAGGTTTGTAAATAACTAGAAAAATTCATGTGCAGGTCAGTGCTGTGTATGTAAATAAATTATTACATTTAACTATTATTAACCGCTAACCGTGATTGGAATGAGCTTTTCGGGTTTGGATTTGTTTCGTTTCGTTATTGCACCCTGATTTCTTACTGTTTTCACGCACATTTACTTGTTAACGGCTTCCTGCATGCCACTCTCAATTGATTGACTAACATTCTGCATTCTCTGTATTTATTTTCCATTAATTCAATCACAACTTCATGGAGTATATCTTGTCTGCTTTAAATAACGAAACTCTTCTTGGATCCCGTCCAGATTATGTGCCCCATCGTCTGACCAGCTGGGAATTTGTGGCCATCATCCTGGGAATTACCCTCTTCATTTGCCTCACGGGCACCAGTACTTGGTACTATTGCCAACGTCGCAAGCGGTTGGCGAGCGGCAGGCCTTTTGCCAAGGAGGATTCCGTGTACGATCCCATACTGAACGGCAACACCACCATCCACGACATCATCGAGATGACCACCTCCGGTTCGGGTTCGGGTGAGTTCCATGGGGGGATAAGTTACCATCTTTAGCTTTGACTAATTCTGCCCCTTGCTTTTTAGCTGGACTGCCCCTGCTGGTGCAGAGATCCATTGCCCGCCAGGTGCAGCTGTGCCACGTAATCGGAAAGGGACGTTTCGGTGAGGTCTGGCGTGGTCGCTGGCGCGGTGAGAATGTGGCAGTTAAAATCTTCTCTAGTCGCGAGGAGTGCTCATGGTTCCGCGAAGCGGAAATCTACCAGACGGTAATGCTCCGGCACGAGAACATTCTGGGCTTCATAGCTGCTGACAACAAGGGTGAGCCTATCAGCCTAGCCTCTTTAATATATCCCAAATGCTAACATTTGTTTTAAACCGATTTTCGTTCAGATAATGGAACTTGGACACAGTTGTGGCTGGTAACCGACTACCACGAGAACGGATCGCTCTTTGATTATTTGACCACACACACCGTGGACACAAACACCATGTTGAACATGTCGCTGAGTATTGCCACTGGGCTGGCCCATCTGCACATGGACATTGTGGGCACTCGCGGCAAGCCCGCCATCGCCCATCGCGATCTCAAGTCCAAGAACATACTGGTCAAGTCAAACCTGAGCTGTGCTATCGGTGATTTGGGACTAGCCGTGCGCCACGTGGAAAAAAATGACTCAGTTGACATACCCTCAACGCATCGGGTCGGCACCAAGCGCTACATGGCGCCCGAGGTGCTGGACGAGAGCATGAATGACCAGCACTTTGACTCGTACAAGCGGGCTGATGTTTACGCCTTCGGTCTGATCCTCTGGGAGATTGCACGTCGCTGCAACATGGGCATGATATACGATGAGTACCAGTTGCCATACTACGATGCCGTGCAGCCAGATCCCAGCATCGAGGAGATGAAGAAGGTCAGTCTGTGATGTGTTAAAAGTAAAAAATGCAGCTGATCAACTATTTTTAATATTCTTTCAGGTCGTTTGTATTGAGAAGAGCCGCCCAAACATTCCAAATCGCTGGCACGCCTCCGATGTGCTGCACAACATGGCCAAGGTAATGAAGGAGTGCTGGTATCCAAATCCCGTGGCCCGCTTGACAGCGCTGCGCATCAAAAAGACACTTGCTAGCATCAGTGTGGAGGACAAGGTCAAGAACTGATTGTGGCTCTAGTTCGACGAGTAGCCCCGAGTCCCGATCGACGGAATCGGGGGAAGACATACATTAGCAACCTGTAACCTGGCCCCGTGTTACCTTAAATGTCCTGGCAGCGCCTGCGAAGCAGTTCCAGAAACCCGTTAAGAAATGAAATACAAAGAAAATTGTAAATATTAAGTGCTAACTCATGCTTAACGTTTCCAATGCTTTGCTTTGTTACCAAACAGAACGAGCTCGTTATTGATTTTGCGTTTATACCATCCTGAACTATTGTACATAACCTTCGTCGACATTTTCGCTGAGATTCGCTTGTTTCCTGGCAGCGTGAGCAAAGCGGCGCCCAAAGGAATCTGCCGCACTGCCATTAGAGCTACCAATTAGGGCCTAGTTATGTACCAACAAACCAACAAACACCTTATATACACAAAATATATATTTTTTATAAATCCTGTTCGAGAACGAGGGAACCCAGCTAACAAACCGATAAATACAAAACGAAAAATACAGTAAGACTTTGTCAAGACTGAGCAGCAGTGGAAAGCAGTGAGAAAATAGATTCAAGTCGCGGGGCCCTTTCGCCTGTAATATAGAAAATATTCAAAGAACCGCCACAACCAGATCATTCACAGAGAAGAGAATTAAACGTTTTAGGCATCAACTAATAGATAGGCGTTGATAAACTCAGGAAATCGTAACGTAAAAATAAAATTAAAAGAATCGCAATTTGGTGCGCCGCCTGCTCACGTACAGCTTGCCATGCCCACGTCGCTATTGCTGCTGCTGTGCCTCCTAAGCTTAATATATTCCAAGCCCTTCTCCCATAAGTATACACCCATATCGATGGAAGAGCATCTTTCTGTAAACTTAAGTTACAAATGTTTGAAATTGTTTATGTGAAACTCTCGACCCTGGCATTCAACCAGCATTGGTTGCATGTTCATCCTCACGCATGCCTATTATTTTTGTTATTTCATCTATCCATATCCATATTTCGCACATCCATGTGACCTTCGACTTATTTTGTTTCTTGTTCTTATAACCAAAGCTTGTTCTTCCTATTTTATTGTAGCCACAAATAATAAAGCAAAGTAAACAAAACTATATTATAACTAAAAAGTGTATGGTATATTTATTAATGAATTGTATACTATATTTGCTTACATTGTAAATTCTAAGGAACTAAATGTTTCGTGAACAAACCTAAACCAATAATTTTAGTCACTGCACACACAGTTTAGGGTGCTTATTCCGGGTTAAACAATATGTTTATCATAAAGTAATTAATTTCTCACATTAAATGCCATAAAGCTAAATGAGTCCTTTATCAACATATACCTGTAAACACAATCCTCTACCAGAATGCAATAGTAGATTCAACACAACCCATGATTCCTCAACCCATATTACACACGCCAGCTGAGAGATTAAAGTAAACATTAATTAACGTTTTAATCATTTCGATGTAAGCTAAGAGTAAGCGAGTAAGCTGGTACGACCAGTGCATGCAAGATTGTAATTAGGGTTATTATTATAAGTACATATTGTTATACTTTCGGCCTGCGAAATTTATTTTCCTATTTTATTTTAAGCCTACTAAAGTTAATCATTTCCTGTACGAACACAATCGATTTCTTTGGGAAAAAAATCTAAACAAAATATTTTTAGCTGTATTCGCGTACGTAAATTTAGTTTTTGAAACCATTCTATTCCTGTAATTATAAAATCTGTAAATAGTTGGTACGTGCGAGTCGAACACAATATATCGCGGTAATTGATTAATGTTTGACTGTGTTCCAAGCTAAGTTTTAGCCGAAAGTTGTTCTCTAAGACAAACCCACAAAACAACCTCCGAAATGGGGCACTTCCTAAAACCCACGACCTTAGTCCCTGATCCAAACCAAAAACAACTTACATTGAACTGAGTTTAAGATTCAATTAAAACCGAAGAACACAAAATCAACAAAAGACTTAAACAATGCGCAAAACATATAAAAATTAATTTTACAAAAATAAATCCTATTTTGCTGGCAAACATAATTTTGGTTCAAATTTTTTAAAGATTTGAAGATCTAAAACGATGAACTTTGTGCGAATTATGTTAGGCTCAAGTAAGCGAAAAGTGTCTCAGCCATAAAGTTAAGGGCGACAGCATTTGTAATGTGTATTAATCATAAATGGATTGGATCAAAAGAGATATATAGAAAGGCAATGAGAGATAAAGGGAGGAATGATTTACTTGGGTGTAATGTTAAAAACAAAAGCGTTGAAAGTGTAAACAGAGTCTAACTTTTAGCTTTAAGCTGCGTTTTTACTGGCACTTTAAATAAAAATACAAAAATAAAACCAAACCGAAAATATTTGTAAAATACATTTTTACGTTTGTTGTTTATTTTTCTTATTTCAGTCGTCTGCTTAATTAATATAAAATTTTGTGGGCTTGTAAAGTATTTTTAATTTAATTTATGTGTTTGTTTTGTCCCATTCATCCTTATAAATATTCCTGGGCATTTGGTTTTTGGGGTTTGAATGTTTTTAAAAAGTACTTGGGTAAAAAGCGTGGGTGCATGCATTACTTATTCTTTGTGAAGCTGAAAAAAAATCTTATTTAGAATTCATACTTGCCGTGGGCATCCTATCGCATAGATAATTTGGTGTGATTTAAGAAACAAGTATGAATTAATAAAATAGGTTTATTTAAAAAGGAAAAAGTTAACACGCTAGTGGTTATATTACGACGATTTTGTTGGAAATGTTTTTTCTTAGTAGGTTTGGAGATTCTCCGACTGGATCCAAATTATAATACTTTCTGTAAGGAATTGCACCTGCCATCCTCTTTCTAGCCTCATTTTAAAGAGTGTTTTCGAGTTAAAATGCAGATCTTTGCTAATTCTTTATTGTATTCGATTTACATTTAGATGTGAAACGATTTAACTTTTGCTTGAATATGGTGAAGTTTCATTGAAATTCCCTTCTTTTGATAAATAACATTGAATGCCTCAGTCAGTATATTTGGAGTTTCTACTAAAAACACATTTAGATATCTAAGATCGTTTGAGTAATAATAAATATTCATAAGCAGATTATTTAAATCCAATTGCTTTGAACTACAGCAATTTTTACTTGATATGTATTCGTTTAATAATTGGGTATGTTGCAATATTGAAATAATTCTTCGGAATATACTTCAATAAGTTTTCTGGTACATCATCTGTTATCGATTTTCTGAGCTTCTTTACAGAGGGAGTGTGCTTCTTAATTCCGGTGGTGCTGTTTAAAGAGTGTTTATAATAAAGAACATACATTATTAGTAGTCATTTAGGGGTTTATCAATTCTGCATTGACTCCTCACCTCGGTTCCGACCATGTCCACACAGTCGAAGGCATCGCGGAAATAGCCACAGCTCAGCTTAATGGCTGCTCGGTGGTGCAACCGCTGTTGCTGGCAACACATGCCACTAAAATATTTAATAGTTACCATTGACCGTGCCTACTTCAACGACTCTCAAGAACTTACTTGATCACCTGGCAGTCGCTGCTGCTGCTGCACTCGCTGCCCAGCGGTTGCCTTTGCTTCAACCCGAATATGTCCTCCAGGATCGACGTGGCTCCTCCCGATTCCGCATCCGTCTCGCATCTCCAGATGCCCTCCTGGGCGACCAGCATGCAGGCGCTGCCCTGAGGACAATCAGCATGCCGCTGGCATAAATCACGCTGACGCCCAAACACGTAAACGCATTTTCCCTCTGCCAAATATTTCGAACACTCAAGAAAATTAGGTATTTATTATTTTTTAGTATTAGCCTAAAACCTAAACGAAAATTATTATGTTTTTAAAAACTTGTTTTTGTTGATTTCGCATTTGACAGGTATAGCGATGTCTACTTTCATGTAAGCACATAATAGGTGCCAATTGTTTTTATTTAATTTAAATTTTAAGACGTGAAATCACTACAGCAAATAAATCTTTATTCGTGGAAAAATATTCTTGGTTTTTTAATCAGGCTTATATGGGAAAACGGACTGCTATTTAAGGGGTTAACAATTTTATTTTTGTTAAAGGCAATCAAAATGATATATAGTTTTTAAATTTAGTTATTAAAAGTAATAAAAAGTCAATGGATGAGTCTTATTTGTTATTCTGAAACCGTTAAAATAATATAGGTTTTGCACACAATAAAACTTTAATTAGGAAACCGGTAAACCAGGTAAACACCTGGTTTTTAAGCTCTAGTAGGTTGTGCTCAACCTCCACAAATGCATTTCTCAGTGTAAAGGATAAAACGGAAGGGTGCAGCAATGCAATTAGGCCAACTTACCGCCGTATGTGTTGACGCAGACCCCGGAGGGACAGCAGTCCTCGTTGAGGAGACAGGCGCGGTCGGCGCAGGGCGTGTCCTCAATCAGCGGCTCCACAATTCCGTAAACTTCGGTCTGCTGGCGCAGCTATAGGGAAGGGTCGAATGAGGTGGCAATTAGAGTGGCATTTGTTAAAGCGTACGTATGCGTTATATTTCCCCCTCACTGCGCTGCAGCAGTCGGTTATCAATAACGCTGACACTTGTCGAGCGTTAATTAATTTTAGCATCGCTGTGCCCTTTGAACTTTACCCTTGATTGTGATCGGTGAGCCAAGTGGCAAATAAACCATACGAGAACGGTCGTTTCAATTTCAATTTGCTGCAAAACACTGTGGTGAATGCCTACGGCTATTTGCGACATGTCAATATTGCGTATACGCAGTTAAGTGTGCACAGGCCATACAATTTTCAGTTAGTGGGGTTGCTAAAAGGTCAATGTTTTTAATACATTTTGTTCTAAAAGAGTTTCAAGATATTAATAAAACTTAAGACATTTAGTCGGAGTGACATTTTAAATGATCTCGAGAGACTTAGCCCTTTTTTATTGCACTGAGTACCCTCGTTTAGAAGTGTCTTAACTTTTTCACCGTAATTCACCGTGGAGCATCTCAACATTTTAATTTTTAGCTTAGAGTTTCGATAAATAAAATTAGTTTGTTTGCCGGGAGCAACCATTGCTTATCCATCTATCTGTGTTAGTGGTTAAATGCTCCGTGGTTCCGCTCTGCAATTACCCGCTATTCCACCCACCCAACTTACCTGCTGTGGCATCGGAACAGGTTGGTGTGGTTCCTGCTCCACGGCGGAATAAGCGCCCAGGTAGTCGTTCAAGTCCAGATCTCCGGCAATGGGGAACGGGGCTCTGCGGTGCATCAGGTTGCGCGAATCGCGACCGAAGAGTGCTCGCTGCCAGGCGTTTCCGGATGGAAACGAGGAGGGGGCCGTGGCTAGAGAGGTGTCCAGCTGATGGGAGAATACCAGGAGGAGCAGCACGGCTGCCCACCTCGGAGTGTTGCTCATGGCGGCCACGTTAGTACATTGTCGTCCGTGGAATGCCTGTTGCTGATGCCACCTTCTGTGGCCTCTTGCCTGTTCCCCGGTGAGCTGTGGCAACGAAAACCGAGAACACGCTTAATTAAAACGTATGCCTAGCCGGGAGTCGATTGCTGCCCTCCGGGATGAGCAAATTTCCGTGTACATGCGCTCGAGCGGAGCGTGCGGCATATAAATCGCTGCCTCCTAGCCCGGAGTCGCCTCGGCGGTTCCGTTAACGGCTCCTGGCAATTTCCCTGTCAGGCGGCTCATTAAAATTGTCGGCTTGCTTTTAGTGTTATTACCGGCTGTGCCTTAATTTATGTATTCTTAGACTGCGCCTCCCTGTCATAGCTCCATTTTTATTGCCGGATGAATGTGGCATATATAAATCGTAATGAGCACATGTCGGCGGTTAGCAGTTAATACATCAAATTATGGCCGTTTCACTTACTTGTGTAAGTAAGCTAAATTTGACAGTCAGTTAGAATCCAAATAAGGTCGAGAAAGCTTACAACACACGTAACGCAACTTTAGACATTGTAATTTGATTTCATTTTTGCAGGAACTTTGTATTGTGAGATCTTCACAAGCTCATAATAAAAATTAAGGTCGAAATTATTATTTTTAAAAACAATTTGAAGCTACTTATTTTCCCCAGCAACTTTAAAAGTGAATTATGTTCTCAAGTCAAAGCGAAACGATGGAAGTTAACATGCCTGCGGGAATACACAAACTCAAAAGTACAATTTCCTTTCCTTTTAAAAATGCATGTTAATTGTATTCAGTTTTCCCCTAGGAGAAACAATTAAAACAATTTATACAAAAGCTTCTACCGAATGAATTTCAAGTTTTAACATACCCAGCTTTTAACTGAGTTCCTAAAGTGGATTATTTGCCATAAACAAACTAAGTTGTAGAGCTGTCCCTTTGTTCCTCACTTAATGTTCTGCCCACGCCCAGTAGCTGGGACCTAGTAGCCAATTATAGCATTTAGATACCCCTATTTTACGATACAAACATCAATCTGTTTGGAAAACTGACTTGGACAAAATGTTAAATATAACTGCCTACTTATGGGGGCGGCAATTTATATTATTAGCCAGCTGAATTGCTTCCGTAATGGGCAACCTTGATGGCTGACATTGAGTTTCAGGCTTTGACCTGGTCGATTGGCAACAGTTGTTAGCACTCTGGCATAAATAATTAAATGAATGAAAGGCTGTTGACTCGCCAAAGGCAATGGAAAACGTTTTTCCGGCGTGGGAAAGCAATTTAGTTAATGCTCGTGGTCTTGGAGGTGGCACAAGCAAATGGAGTAGACCGCGCAAGATAGAGTCCTTTTTGGTTTTCTTTTGGCGTTCTGTTAATTACTTTTCCCTACTTTAACCGGACGGGCTTGTCAAAAGCTCTTGTCAACCAACTTCTCGGGTTTGTTGCCTGGCATTTCGCCCCTTTTCCGCCGTGGACAATATTCACAATTAACCATCCATAGCCGGTTATTAAATCTGGACTAATTGCGTTCCAGCTAAATATGGACGGTTTTCGGTTGGCAGGTAAGAAAATTAAAATGTATCCATGTTCTTTTTTCTTAATTTACTAAGTGCCGTTTAGACATTCAGGTTTGACTTCTTATCAGGTGGAAAGTGTCAAACTGCTATTTCTGGCGATTGCAAAACTTTGGCTTCCGTCCATTCCAACCGCTGAATGTGGCTAATTGCTTTGGGGCACTTGAAAGTTTTGCAATTAGTCGGTTTTTCTGCGATATTTTACACAATTGGCCAAACTTTACCAATCATTGGAAGGTGGCTAGAGTTTGGATGCATTAGGGCGATGAGTTGATAAAAGTTTCCTAATTGAGCATCAGCTTGTGCTGAAAGTTGACCTCTGCGGAAAATATGCTTGCTATGAATTTTGCCAACTTAAAAAGTCTTCTCACTAGGGTTTTAGCATAAGTATGTTTTCTTTTTGATGTACATTCATAATAAGTTATTACAATCTAATGAATCAGGTATTAGGAAATTAGCTTTGGGCAATTTTAAAACAGTTTAATATAGTCTTGTGCGACTTTGATTTTTTGAGTTATTTGGGAAAGTGTTATGTTTATCAATGTAAAATGTTGGAAACTTAATGATTGAATTTTTTTTTTTAATTTTTATTATTATTTTTTTGTTTAAATAATACCATTCTTAACATTTTCAGGCTCGCAATAAATTTTATAAAAGCTAAAGTACAAATTTAATTACCAAAAGTTAGTCGTGCACTTAAATAAGATTAAAATTACACACTTTACCGCTCACGATATGCCTTTCATACCATATCCTATTTCCCGAAACTTATCCCGTTCTCAAGATTAGAAATTTGATCAAATGCCGAACAGCTCTTAATTTTCCGCCGCACAAAAAAACGTAGCAAAGCCTGCTGATTTGAAATTAGGCCGACGTTGGTGGAATTTGATTGCGACACGCCCACAGATGCGATTAAAGTGCAGTTGCATTAGTTGCATCACCTCGCCGCGCCCTTCTCCTGTTCCCAGAAGTGAATCAGGTACACCAAATGCGATACACGTGTCAACTTTCACTTTCACGGAATGCCAGCGGGCTGGAGGATGGGTTCTGAGTGGCACATACCTGCTGGCAGCTCGTCCTGTCGGCTACTGACTGTCTGAGTTGGCTGAAACAACACCTGTCGGCTAGCTGTTGCCACAGAGCTTTTTGGCCAGCCGAGCTTTCGGTTGGATTTTTATGAATTAAGTGTGTTTGTGGCGCAGCCAAAGCTCCTAGGAATCAATTTTAATGAAGCACACACCCGCATATTTTTGGCATGGTGTGGTGTAGATGTTTAAATTGTGGCCGTGACGTCACTGTGATTTGTGGCTACAATGCAAATTTAATGAGGCTTTTCATGTTAACAGCAAGGAATTCTTGGCAAGAACTGGCTGTCCTACAGGCAAATCTGTTAAACGGAAAGCACGCAATTTGGTTACCAAATCGAGATGAAAGGAGCCTGCCCTGCAGGACATTTTATGCATCAGTATAATGAGGATTGTATGGTCATGCCACTCACTGCTCCTTTGCGCAGAGCGCCCTTCATGTTGAATATTCAATATGCAAATGATCTCAGCCACTTGCGATGAGGGGAAGAAAATATTGTTGCACCTGCACTAGTGGTAATAAACTTATGGGTTTTAAAACTTTAACAGTTTTGGAGTGTAGCTTTTACAATTTCATCCGGGTTTAAGATGCAATTAGGTCATTGGTCATTATCATTGAAAATCAAGATAAATTTAAAGGTTAACAAGTTAAATTTAAAATTATAAATAGTTATAATTAAAACATTTGATCTTTGAGTAACTACGGCTGTGCTTACCATTATGAATCGTTAATTACTAGATTTATCTTTAAATTGCAACAAGTTTTGCAATATACTTTAGCTACAAAAAACAGAATAATTTTTTAAGCAACCCCTTTGTTGAATCCTGGACAGTCCAGATGCAAAACGAAATTGTCTGAGACTTAAAGTGTTAACCTTGTTTTCAGTTTACCAGCAGCGTTCTAGCTGGGCAAGCTGGGGCAGACACTCTCTGACTCAACAACTTTGAGTATTCCGAGTGCGGGAAATGCAGGGGGCTGAGTACAGTGGCAATTTCAGAATGTAGTAAAGTGAGCTTCGTGGGGCGGAAATTGCATCAAGGTTCCCGCGTCAGTATATATCTAGAATTCCATTGCTTTAGTTTGATTTTTGTGGAACTGACGGGCAGCGTCGTAAAATGTGCACCCTTTTATGATAAAATGCTAAGATGAAACTTTCTGCTTCAGAGCTCTTCAACATACAAAATCTGGCTAAAAGTTTACCTGTATTTAATTTTAGGAAAGATAAATTCTAAAAAGTTTTTGAGAAAAACACTAACTTTAAGAATTTTTACTAATAATTATGTCGTTTATTTCGATCTCTTTTTGATTTTCGATTTGTTCGTTCGCTTAACAATTAACATAAAACGTAATTAGATAAAAAATTAATAATATAAATCGATAAATTAGTAAATTCAATTGAACTAAAAACATTTGCTCTCGCTTTCATTTGAACATAACAACAATTTGCCTATGAAGATAACAATTTTTTTAGTTGAATCAAACGCACAAATCATTTCGTTTCGTTTCGTCACATAAATAAATAAATAGTCAAATAAATAGGCTTAGAACTAGAATAAATATGTCTTACTCATACGGCTTGCAATTAGCGTAATTCTCATTCAGACTCTACAAAAGTTAGGCACGCGTACTTTAAAAAAACGGAACCTGCAGCCTGATCAAACAAAATATCGGAGTCTCGGAATATTGGCATCCCCAGCGTATTTCGTTTGAAATTGCTTCAGTGGACTTTCAATTAAGCTAATGAAATGATGGTAGCATTGAGGGGGGAGGTCGAGGAAAGGGTTCGAAAAATGTGACGTTGCAAAAAGGTTGAGCCAACTCTTCTCACGCTTCTGTCCACGACTCTTTAAACTCTACGTTCTATTTACACTTGTTGCTCCTTCCCCGGCAGCTTGTTGGCCATCTCGGAGGCGTTTGCACCACGGCGGTTGTGGCTTACTTCACTCCTGTTATGCTGCGCAGCCAGGGCTTGTAGAAGGTGGTCCGCATGTAGACGCCCGGCAGATACGGCGCCGCACACTTGATGCCGTGCGACACGGTTCCGGCCAACTCGTACCGCCCGTCTGGGCGCTGCAGCACCAGCGGACCGCCACTGTCACCCTGTCGGAAAAATTGGAAAAGGTTAGGTCGAGGTTCATTGGAAAAGTGTACACTAAGGGATTGAAAAAACTCTGAGACATACAAGTTTAATTTTGTTTTGGCTTCAAGACGACTAATGTAATCGCCCAAAATAGAACGAAAATTTAAGTCTTTAGAAAAAATGAATTTGTTGAAATGTCTTTTAAAAGACTTTTCCATTGAATTTATCAGAATTTTAATTAGCTGATACAATATTTAAAACTTTTTGTAATTCCTATACGTATTTTTACTTTTATTTTTTCCCCGGAACTCACCTCGCAGGAGTCCTTTTGCCCGTTGGCGTAACCGGCGCACAGGAAGGAGTTGAGAATCTTCTTGTTGTGACCAGCGGTGTGGAACATCTCCTGGCAAACGCTGTTCTCGATAATCGGCACCTAATTTAAAATGGCCCGGGGTTAGTTGGTTCTTCAAAGAGAATTGTTGTGGGTGGTTGCTTACCTGCACCTCCTGCAAAACGGAGGGCACTCCGCCACCGTACTTGAGGCGTCCCCAGCCAGTTACGGTGGCCATGCGACCAGTGAAGTCCGCCACGTCGTTGGGCATGCAAATGGGCACTGCGAAGGAGTACAGATAAAAGTGAAAATTAATATTTAACTAATAGATAAAATATGATGATATCTTTTTTCCGTTCTGAGATAATATAAGATTTAAGATAAGAATAGCTTCAAGTTCAACTTGTAGAAACGTATTTGACCAAAATAAAAAACTATGGACTTAAGGCAAATTTAAACTTCCAAATGAAATAACATTTTATGAAAGTAAAATAAAATCTAATTTCCGCTCAACCTCGCATTAATTTCTGAAGACTTTGACTTACCTATATGAGTATCGAATTGTATGGGACTGTCCAACTCCAGCAGGGCCAAATCGTTCTCAAAGGTGGCTGGATCGTATTGCCGGTGGACGATGACGCGCCTCACATTCTTCGTCACGGAGCGCTTGCTCTCCAGATCGCCGGATATATCGAATTCACCCATCACGGCCACCAATGAGGCCAGGAAGCTGTGGAAATCACAGTACAATACCCAATTAATGACCATACAATGCGTTACCCCAGTGGTTATCTTACCCGGGCTGACAATGGGCGGCAGTGATGACGTAGCGGCTGGTGATGAGGACGCCGCCGCACTTGTTCTTGGTGAAGAGGCCCAGCCAGGTGGACTCCCTGACAAGGACCTGCCACGGGAAGGCGCCGAAGGTGGAGCCCTTGCCGCCGACGATGCGGCCGGACTTGACATGGGGCCGCACACCGCACTCTGTTGATGGGGAGTGAAATGCGAGGTTAGGAGCGGGGAGTGTTCGAGAAGTCGAGTCTGAGAGTTTCGGGGGAAGCATAGAACTTTGGGGAGGGACAATTACACGGATTGGAGGGGTGTTGGGAGGGGGTTGTTAAAACTAGGAGGGGTTTTATTTTGGGGAAGATTCTCTAATTGGGTTTCCGGTTCCGCCGCTTGAGCTTGCGACGCGCTAGAGTTGTGTATCAATCGAAAATGCAATGGGGTTTAGGATTAGGTTGAGGAAGCGTTGGGTTAGATGCGTGAGTGGTTAGGAACAGGTGAAGGGCAGGTGAGAGAACAAGAAATAGAGAGAGAAAGACAGTTGTTTCGGGTCCATGCTAGTCCATGCTACATTCAGTCCACACTTACGGATCTTCCGCCCGTTGGCTCCGCCGTAGGAACTCAGGGTAGATCCCTGGTCGATCTCGTTGTCGCTCGGATTGGGGTTCACGTCCTCTTCGTCCTCCTCGTCCACGATCTCATCGTCCGCCGGTCGGGCCGAGCTCTCGGTTGTGGTCTTGATGGTGCTGGTCACCCGACGGGTGGGCTTCTTGGTCGCCGGCTTCCTGGTAGTGGTGGTGGTCACCTTGGCGGCCACGGTGGTGCGACGTGTTACGGGTTTGCGAGTGGTGCTGCTCACGGCGGAGGTCTTCTTGTTCGGAGCCTTGGTGGTGACCCGAACCACGGGTTTCTTTGTGGTCACTTTTGGTCTGACAGTGGTGGCTACTCTCACGGGTTTGCGGGTGGTGGCCACCCTCACGGGCTTGGTGGCTCCTCCTGCTCCCGCCTGATAGGTGGCCGCCGTCTTATTACTTCCGGGTTCATCGATCATATCGGCCAGGGCTTCGAAGTTGCCCTGCAGCGAGGCCACCAACTTGTGGACCAGTGTGTGCATCTTGTCCTTCAGCACCACATCCTCCACGAAGGCGGGAGTGGACAGGTCCAGATCGCTGGTCACCGCACTGGAGGCAGCGGACATGTTCAGATTGGGGTTCCTCACCGGCGGGAAGTTGACAAAGTCGTTGGGCGACGTGTAGGTCTCCTCCATCAGGTTCTGGCCAACCTTCTCGCCAGGAACCGAGAAGGCGGGATACGAGGGCGTGGGTCCGAAGTAACCGGGGAAAGCGGGCTTGTCATCGGAGGGCACTGCGTAGATGGCCTCCGTGGTGGACTGGGTGAAGGCCACGTGCACGGGGCTGCTGCCAAAGTATCCCGGATCCTCGAAGTCGTTGGAACTCACTCCCTGCACTCCGGGTCTTCCGGTCACATATCCGTTCGTGCTGGAGGCCAGCTTGTTGCTATCGTCGCTCAAAGAACTGTAGGTCACCAAATTGATGGCAGTGGGCTTGGGCGTTATCAAAACAGTGGGCCTCGGGGGCTTGGGAGTTCCATTGATCTGCACGAAACCGGGTTTCTTGTGGCCATAGACTCCACTGCTGGTCGGTCTTTGGGCGTAGATGGGTGTGGAAGCAGTGGCCACCAGCGGAGGTTGGTAGTTACCTGGCGTGGAGCCCACAATGTTCTCCGCGGTGCTCTGGATGAAGGCATCCAGCTTGTCATCGGCCATGAAAAGCGGTGGCACATTGTCGTAGTGATAGTCAACAGTGGCTGGAGGTCGAGGAGTACTAGGTCCGGTTACATAGCTGGTAGAGATGGGTTTGGATGTCGAGGGTTTCCTGCCCGGGGAGCTGGCCACGTGCTCCTCGAAGTTGTGCGATGGCATTGGGGCCAACTGATCGTAGCTGGCAGATGGAGCCGATGGTTGATCGTACTGGCTAGGTGGAGCATCTGGCTTATCGTAGTTGAGAGATGGAGCAGCTGGAGCAGGAGCTGCGGCTGTGGTCTGTTCGTAACCTCCATTTGCTGGCCTGGGGTAGCCAGTCTGCTCATGATCCTTGTGATGACTAGCCACTGGCTTCTTGATCTGAATGTGAGTGATCGGGGACTCTGGTACACTATCATATCCAGTGGACACGGGTTTCCTGGTGCTCTGCTCGCTGAGCTTTTCCTGGTTGTAGGCACCTGCACTTGGCTGAGGTTGAGGCTTTCTCTTGGTGTTCTCCACGCTGATGGGTCTCTTCACGCCAGGTCGCTTGGTGCTTGGTTTGGGTCGGGGTCTGGGACTGGCCGTCACCAAAACGGGTCTTTCCGACGAGCTTTCTGCCGACACAGCGTCGTACTGAGGACGATGAGCTGCCGGAGGAGGAGCTGCAGTTGGTGGGGCAATATAACTGGAAGTGGTCTCCTGCTGCTGATATCCATTCGAGGTCTCGTCTGACTGCTCCTCCACCTTGGTGGTGTGCGAGGACACGGACACCTCGGCGGGAACTTGGTATTCACCACTTCCTGGCTGGGGACTGTAGTGCTGCATGGTCACCATTCCGATGTAAGAGGCCACCGGACGATTCTGCTTATTGGCATTGGTGGTGGGACGCACGTAGGTTGGCGCTGGCTGTGGCTCCTCCGTTTGAACGGTGGAGAGCTTTTGGTATGTGGACTCTGTGCTGGCTTCGTAGGAGGCGCTGCTCACTTGGCCGTATCCCGCTGCCGTGGCTGGGAGGTTCTCCTCCTCTTCCATGTAGGACACATCCACTGGGTAGGCAATTCCCATCACGGGCATCTTGTTGAACTCGGAGGTCTGTGGGGCAACTGGAGCAGCTGCATCGTTGTAGCCATTCGCAGGCAATGTGTGATCCTCCAGCACAGCGGACACATCCTCTCCGTAACCTGGACGAGCGGTGGGGCTCTCAGCAGACTGACTGACTCCTGCCGAGGCATCCTGCTCATCCGAAACCTTGTCATAGGATGGCTCGTAGTTAACCGTTGTGGTGTAGCCATAATCGGACTGCGAATCCTGCTCCTGGACTTTCTCAGCCTCGTTCTCCTGGTAGAAAGTGGGTGGTTGGGTGGCTGGCTCAGTGTGAGCTGCTGCTGGATATCCGTAAGAGGGAGTCTGCTGGCTCACCACGTTGTAACTGGGACCGTGGCTAGTGTTGTTCAGCTGCAGGATGATGGACTCGATGGAGTCCACATGGGTGGTGATCGAGGAAACAGTGGTGGGACCATTCTGATTGGTTGGTCGCTTGGCACTCGTGCTGGAGGAGATGTAGCTCTGCTCCACTGGTTGTTGAGATAACTGCTGCTTTGGTGGCTCCGCATAAACGGGCTGAGGTCCATAGCCAGTGGAGAACTGCAGATCCTCGACGAGATCGGCATCTGCCCCTGGGTGAGTGATGTCACTGTGCGTGAATTCTCCACCATCCAGGATCAAGTGGTTGTGGTGGTGGTTGTTGGTCGACTGGGCAGGTTTCGGACTTGGCTTGGGTTTCACCTGCTGGATGGGTCGCTTCATGCTCTCCGCCAACTGAGGAACGGGTTTCGGCTTGGGTTTCTGAGTGGCTTTCTGAGTGGGCTTTGGAGTGGGCTTCTGCGTGGTCTTCTGAGTGGGTTTCTGAGTGGGCTTGGTCTTGGGTTTCTGGGTCGCTGCTGGCGTGGAGGAAGCCTCTTCGAAAGAGTTGGACTCTGAGCTGGTTTGGTCCTGCAAGCCACTGGCTATCTTCGTGGGCACCTCGGTGGTGAAAACGATGTGGTGGTTGTCGGCATGTTCCGGTGGCAAAGTGCTGAGCACCTGCATCACGAAGTCATCGTTTTGCGGCGGCGACGAGGGTGAGTTGATGGTCACGGAGTGCTTGTGCACATGGAAGTTGGGTGGTTGGACGGGCTGGGCGGGTGGCTTGGTGACCTTCTGAGTGGTCTGCTCGTTTAGGTTCTCTGCTGGGTGAGAGGGTTCCTGTTCGAATTCCACACTGACGGAGGAAGACTGAGTGGCCTCGGTGGAGGAACCGCTGCTGGAGTACGCAGGTTCATCCTTCACCGGTTGCTCCGGCTCTGGTTGATCCTCCTGCTGCTGGGACTCGCCGCCATAAGCTCCGCTGGGCGGACTGATGCTGCTGCTGCTGCCCAGCTGCTGGTACACCTTGTCCAGGTTCTGCTGGTCGTAGATGCTCTGCGCCGGCTGCTGGGCCACCTGCTCCTCGCTCAGCGACTGCTGCTGCTGCTCCCCATAGCTCTCGAACGAGGACTGGGCCGCCGCCTGGTGCAGCTTCTGCTGCTGCTGGTGCTGCTGGAAGTAGGCGTTCTGGGCCTCGTTGATCAGCGTGCTGGCCAACTCGTGCGTGGGCGGGATCTGGCAGCAGGCGCCGAACAGGAAGCCGTCCATGCAGGCGCCCACCACCTCGCCGCCCCGCTGGGCGCACTCGTGGTTGAACATGCAGATGGTGGGTCCCTCGGCCCGCGGATCCGAGCTGGGCAGCGTCTTGGTGGCCCGACAGTGCTTCGGGGTGATGCGGTAGCCTCCGAACAGCTTGCGACCACCTGTATATGAGTAAAAAAGGTTTAATATTTAGTGAATGAGTTCAATCAATTTATAAGACGGTCAATTTATAAGACGGCTTGATATGAAATAATACAAATAATTGTATAATAAGTATGTAAACTTATTTGTTTTTTGATGGCACAACATATTTTTTTTTATCAATATCTATAGATATGTCATAAACTTAAAAATACATAAATATATTTTTTATTATTCGTCTCAGATATTTTTTTCCAATAAAAAATTTAAAAGAAAAAGTAAAACAATATCTTTTAAGAGGTCTTAATACAAATCTGTGTTAGATAATGTCCCTGAATAATGTCCCAGTTTAACAATAAACTTTGTACAATGGATGTCTCCTTTATTATTGAGTTTAATTTGAAGTTGTTACATTGCATTTGCCAAATTAAAGTTTTCAATTTCAATTTACCCAGATCTCGGAACTGATTTCGCCAATAATCTTAAATCTAACCGTCAAATTCCCCGTGGCCAAAGCTTAATTAACATGTCATTCAAGCATCGCTTTTTGGCTTTTTGGCTCAACTGTAGTTGATTGGATTATACCTGGAGGGGGTAGTGAAAATGTGGGAAATTCCTCAAATGAAAGTGACAACATCGGACGAGCACATCAATGCCGCACAAATGCCATCTATATAATTGCTCTTTTCAGTGCTAATTGTGACAAACAGCCTTGGGCAAACATCACCAGCAGCCGCTACACAAGCATAAACTTAAAAGTGTATAAACTCAATTAGCAGCAACCGTATTTTCCCTGTTCTGTGGGCAGCCAACCCAGGCGAGCAGCCCACCGAAGACCACTCGAAAAACCGTCAAGTGAAAGTGGCCCTGGCTCGCTGGTTGGCTGGCATAGCAGCCACTTGCCGTGTCAAAGTTCATCTGCGGCCCAGGTGTGGGCAATGCACTTCAGAGTTTTTCCACCTCATTTGCCAAATGACGACAGCAACCACAGGCTGGGAGAAAGGTTAGATCTGGCTAACACAGGAGTTGATGTACTCTATCGGTAGCCTCTTATAATAATAAAAAATGTATTTTTTTACACTAGCATAAAAATATTTTATCACCTCTTTACGACCAAAAGAAATTAATGGATATTATACTATTACCTAAGTTACTAAAGATATTAATAAATATAACATAAAAACAAGTATTCAGCCATGCCAATATCTGTAGAGTCTTTTAAAACATTTAGAGGTCGTAAATACAAAAAAACTTTAACAAGCATGAAATTATCGTTAAATTTTATGTACCAGCAATTTTCTTCGCTTGTTAGCTTTAAGCATAAAATCAATATATTTTAATAATATAAATTATTTAATTTATGTTTAATATATAATTCTAAATAAAAATTATAAGCTTGCTAAAAAGATCAACAATGTAATATTGCGGGCTTAAGTTTGTGGAGTCCAAAAGCAGGCTTTTAAAATCCTCGAAAACAAAACCATTTAATGCGTGCCCAAGTACCGCAGTCACTTGCAGCTCCTGACATTTGAAACGAAATTGATTTTGGCAGCAATTAAACCAGAAGTGGGAAAGCAGAGGCCGCCGACTCGACTTCTGACGGGTTTATGCTGACAAATTAACACCTCGCGGTCGCTCCACTTGCGGCTGGTGGCCCCAATCCGCAACGCGGACTATGTCAATGTTTGGTCGTGAAATTGGAGCATAGGAGCCCAGTGCAAACACGGCCGGCGAACTAGATTCGGAGGCTTACTGGCAATTAGTTCGCTGCTAATTAAATGAAAATCAGAAGGTAACGAAACCGAAATTGCAGGGAACGGACCGAAATAAAGGCAATCATGACTCAGGCCGATCCGAAGTATGCCGGACACGTAGCGCCAGTGAAAGTAAAGCGGAGCAGTACGGAGTCCGACTTCGAGTCGGATTCAAGTGTATTAGGCAAAAGCAGCGAAAAAGTAGTGCAGAAAACCCCATTAGAATAGCAGTCAAAATATCATCGTACATACATAATTGAGTAAAAGTGATAGTGTTTCGCCATCGCCTTTTCTCCATTTTCTCGCTGCCCATTCATCTCTCGGAGCGATTTCGTTTTTTGTGGCGTCTACTAATAAAATAACAATAATGTTTTTTGCGGCTTTATTATTTGCAGACATTTGCCTTTTTACGATCAGACACTTAAGTGCTCTTAAGTATTCTTCCGCAAATCGTTAAAAGCGGGCGCAAACACAGTGCGAAAGAGAGTTGGCCAAGAGACGTGAGAAAAGGCCGCTGGCTGTTGGAGTTGCCCCGAAACAAAAGCCCTGTTTCCCCAAGAAAGAGCCGATTAACCCAGCCACCGTCTCCGAAAGAGACAAATCGGTAGTGCCATCAGTTCGCCGAGCTCCCAGGCCCAAGAGTCTGGGCTCTCGAGCCGCGGAGTCAATGAATTAATTACCGACCTGGGGCTGAATTAATGAAGTTCGGCAGGCAGCACGACCAACCGGCGATAATTATGCATTTACCATAATTCATTTGATCTAGCCCGTGAAAATTGAATGTTGTACTACATGATTATGCATTTTGAAAGTTACACCAAAAATATTAGTTTAACCGCACGCCTACACAGGGGAGCTCTTTTAATTAAGATAGAAACAATTTAGAATAAATAAGCATACAAAATAGTACATATTAAATGTATATTATTTTTACCTGAGGTTTTTTAAATAGTCTATTTTTGATTAGGATTTTAAGCGTGCCTAGCAAGATACTCATACTTGTTTTTTAAATATTAAAATAAATATGCAACTATTTTAACTTCTTCACATTGCACAAAATAACAACATTCGAAACTACCTAATGTTTCATTGCTTCCAATTTCTTCTACATAGGTTCGTTATAAAGCAGGTTCCACTGTTAAGAAAAACGTGTTGAACATTTAATGTGGTGATTAGACCCTTGTTCAGCCAACACTTTCAGACGCCTCGAATCAAATGTGTTAAGAATGCTTGGGCACACCTCGTTGCGAGATGGCCCCTCACCTGTCATATGTATTTCAGAAAGAGACATCTCTGTGTTAAAGCCTTCCTGCGGATAACTTATCACGATCTGGCGATCCTCTGACCCTAATTGCTGGATCGAGAAATTCGAGTCAATGCGCGATGGCTGCATCGTCATAATCGCAGGCGACGCATGCAAAATAGGTTACAGCATCGCACCTGAGGAACAGCCAAGGCAACAGCAACGAAAAGCCGGCTAAATCGAGTATATATACACACATATTTGTGGCCACCTGAGCGCCGAACGAAAGTGTGTCAAACGCCTGAATAATTTCGCGGCGCTTTAAACATTTTTCGGTGTTTATTAGGGGGAAAAGATCGGAAAAAATACGAACGGAGGAAGCAGCTGCAAAATGAGATAACAAGTTTGTCTTCTTAACCAAAAGTCGGAGCAGCTCGGTGGCAACGCCATTAATCATCGATGAAAATTGGCCCAATAGCCGAATTCTGTTCTGTTGCATGCCGCAGCCGTCGATGGCCAGTGTGTCACTTGGCCCTTGGGGCAGTGGGCTCTTAATATGGCCATAAATACGTACAATGCCGTACAATGCCTTTTGGCCAACGGAACAGTTATCGCGGCTGTGCTGCCGTCCGTGCAGTGAAATTTATGCGCACGGCCAGGGAATGGAAATTAATTAAATCACGAGTATGATGCTGGCCAAGATCGGGAGAGGAACGCGTCTCTACTCCGCTCTGCACCGATCTGCTCTGATCTGCTCCGCTCTGAGATTTCGTAGAACTCGTTTTCATGCCCGATCTCCAGCCATTCGACGTGCCGGAGTCCAAAGAATGTAAACAAACGAGGCGCTTTAACGGTAAATGGAAAATTATTATCGATCAATTAGCCCAAGACTGCAAAAAGATACTTTCTTGCCGCAACATGCAACTCCACGTGTATCGGGCCCGCAGATCACACTGATCTTGGCCAGTTTTGCATTTAACGAATCTTGCTCTAATTGCGTTGTGAAAGTGTTCAATGTTCTTGCACTCAATTGGCGCAAGTTATTAACCGATCAGCGCCATTAGCACCCAAGTGAAATCGAAGAATCGATAAGTTCGATTGAAACTGGTTATCAAGTAAACTTCACATTTATTTAAAGTCTTAAATAAGTTTCTTGTTAAAAATAAATGAAAATATAATAGATGTACATAATAAAATAAACAGGTTATAAACTTAACTAAGTTTGATAACTCGTAAACAAATTTCTTGGTAAGCTCTCTGGGATACCGGTAAAGAAATGGCTACAAGCATTAAGAAATCGTGCTTCGAATGAGGAATATTTGCAATAGATTTGAAGTGAAACGATAAAAATTAACTTGTTATAAACACCAGAAATTAATTAATTTACTATAAAATACTATTATTAAACGAACGCAATTGCTAAGTTACAAATTTTTGTAGGTACGAAGCACATAAAACTACAAATTTGAAATATTACTTTCCCAAACCAAAGGTCGTTTTTCTAGTACAATTAATTAGAGAAACTCTTACTATCGACAGGAAAAAGCCCTAACGATTTATTGGCCTCAGATAAGTCACCATCTAATGACCAACGAACGATAGCGACGAAGAGAAAAAATAACCAATGTCACTTTTCATGGAATTAGCATAAAAAATGTTTTCATTCATCCCGAGTTAATTTCACTTTTCCAAGACAAAGCGAAGAAAAACTGTTTACCTTTCATGAATCGCTTGATTTAGGCTACTAATTATGACTTTGGCCAGTGGAAGCGAGAGTGGCGAGTGCAGTTTACCGGAGGTTTGTGCCAGCTTTTTGCCTTATTGTTGTTTTATGTTGTCTTTTTATTAATTTTAATGGTCTTTACGTGCGGCTGTGCTTCGGTAAAAAACATCTTTCTTAAGCGCTCTGTTCCGCGATGTCATCACGCAAGAAGATTTCCCGCTTTGCGTGAGAGAAATGGAAAGTTTCCATCCGAGTCTTGACCTTTCGCGGCTAACCATCGTATTTGGTTATCCGATGAGG